CCCACCCACATGCATCAATATGTTATGTTTTGACACACAGTTAACCCCTTTAAAGAAATAATGCATTCCATCAGGGGTTTAAAAGATATCAAATATGGGTGACCAAAATTAAGCTGAAAGTAATGGAGCACATGAGTTTTCCCTATGGCAAAATAACAGGAAAATATTGTTTTCTGCTTTATCTAAAAGAAATTTATTATTCCTTTTTATGGGTTAACTATGTCTGAAAACGCAAAATATTGATGCAACAAAAATTGGAAAAGCAGGGGTAAAGGGCTTGAAAATCAGGACAACATTTCGGAAAAAACATGTGGGTGGATTGTTTGCACCTTCGCTGTCTCAAAGTCCAAACTATTTTATCATCTCTAAGAGTTCTTTTCCCATAGGTAATGCAATGGCCTATCATATGCACCTGCTTAAATCCTCAGGAAACAGACAAAATCTAACATATGACTGTCTGAAACATGTTGCGATACTTTCCGTGCTCCTTTGAGACCTGATATTTTTGCACATTGCACTACTTGTTAAAATTCTTAAACTTCCTTAAAATTCATCTTCGGTATGTTTTACTTCTTAGTTTCACACTCTAAAAATATATGTTTCATCATAGAGGTAAGGATGATTTTGGACTTGTTTAAAATCTTTAACTTCCTTAAAACCAATCTAAATTATGTTCTACATCTTTAGTTCCATACTACAAAACCATAAATATCACCAAAGAGGGATGGATTTAGAAACTATAGGGGTCAGCCATGGCTATACCTGGAATTTGTAAATTTGAAACCTTATATTTACAATTTTTCAAATTTTGGACTTGTTTAAAACCTTTAACTTCCTTAAAACCCATCTAAACTATGTTTTACATCTTAGTTCCACACTATAAAACCATAAATATCATCATAGAGGGATGGATCTAGAACCTATAGGGGTCAGCCATGGTTATACCTGGAATTCGTATATTTGAAACCTTATATTTACAATTTTTCAAATTTTGGACTTGTTTAAGACCTTTAACTTCCTTAAAACCCATCTAAATTATGTTTTACATCTTAGTTCCACACTATAAAACCATAAATATCATCATAGAGGGATGGATCTAGAAACTATAGGGGTCAGCCATGGCTATACCTGTAATTCGTAAATTTGAAACCTTATATTTACAATTTTTCAAATTTTGGACTTGTTTAAAACCTTTAACTTCCTTAAAACCCATCTAAATTATGTTTTACATCTTAGTTTCACACTATAAAACCATAAATATCATTATAGAGGGTTGCATCTAGAAATTATAAAGGTCAGCTATAGTCATACACAAAATCCAGCTGTCAAAAATGTCAAATTTTTCGAAAAATCAACAATTTTTTTTCAGCTCCTACCTCTTCCATGGCTTTGCATCTTTCAGGGTTACTAACCCTGCTATTGGGCACTTCACATGAATTTTTCCAAGATCTTACAGTGTCTAATTGAAAAGTTAGAATCAAAATAGTAAGAAAATGAGTCACGTATTTGCCCCCTGGGGTACATAGTTTGTACTAATTTTCAAATTCTTTAGGAGTTATCAGCATCAATTATACTGTAAGTGATTCATATATATAATATCTATGTATGTCACTTACAAACATCAAAATATCTAAGGTTATTTAGTGTGAACAATTTTTTCCCCAGGGTGGGGTGTTTTTGGGGGTGGGGGGCTAACTCATCAAAAAAAAGAACTTCCTACCACTCTGTGAAGCTATCACCTAGGTGGAAGTTTCATCCAAGACTCTCCCCTAACTGAAAATGCTGCCAAACCAACTATACACCATTTATTGAGAATTTTCCTCCCCGCCCCTAGAGTAATACGTATACGTATCATTTGTATCTTAATTTTATTATGGTCATTACATTACATTACATTAGGAGCAGTACATCTGGTGATATCTTAAGATAAATATGGTTATAACACACCTTGCAGCATCCCTCAATACACATGGATATCTCTGTTGCGTTGGCGTCACGCTCACTACACAGAGTGCCATCGGGAAAGAACGCCGACCTTCGGGAACCAGAGGACCCCTTAAGGTAACAATTTACGTCACATAAAAGATAAAATTTATCTGGACTGGACTGGAGATCGTACGAATTCACGGCCCATATGTCCAATTCAATACATGCACTCGTGCTCCACTCGATGACACTGGGGTTCGTTTCGGTTACAAAATGTCGGGACCTCTAAGGTACGCCTTTTAGCTGTGAAATTAGGGATAGGATGCAACCATTTTGCTCATTAAACACATTTACACATCACATCGGACATAAACTGGGGTATGCATAAGCTACACTCCCCTCCATAAGTTTGGCAACCTTAGCTCCCCCATTGAACTACGTGTTAAAGCCTCTTTATATTTGAATTTTTATTTACTTAACCTGTGATGAAATAACTTATAATATTGGTGGAAACATAACTTGACTTTATTTACAATACCTCCAAATTTTCTCAATTGTTTTCCTCAATTACAATTAGTTGAGAATTGATCCGATCCCCCTCCATCCCAAATTAATTTATTTCGATTATTTTTTGTATATGGAAACTAAATTTAAAAAGTGAGCAATGTCATAAGTATTGTGATAATAACGTCCCTTATACCTATTTATTACAGGTCCTGTAGACCATTGTTGCCCGATTTATAGCAAAAACATTGACTTTTGCACGTTGGTGATGATGCGCCTTTTTTAATAGATCTCATATCTTAAAAAGCATTCCGTTACCATGGTTACGCAAGACATCTTACCTTGGAATCTTAAATCATATGTATCTTTGTCATTATTTCGTCTATAGATATAATATTGGTATCAAATTAAACCTAAATAAATTTTTCATATAATTACTATATTCAATTATGCAAATTAGCTGATTTGCATAAATTGTGACGTCATAAATCTATTTTTCGTTCAGAATTTTCAAGTATAGCAATGTATCTTTAAGAACTGAATCCGTACATGTATGGTAGAATCTCTTCAATGTTATGACTTTTATTTTATGAGCAGAAGGTTTAAGCAACATAAAAGTGAAAACAGATTCAAAATTGGATCAGAACTAACAATTTAAGTTATTAAGCTTTCTGGGCAGCTACCATATACAAGTCCTAAGTAGAACAAATTAATGCAAAAATATATACTTTAATGTCTCTCAATCTTACAACCCACATGCTGCTACCAGCATGACTGATCCGAAAATTGACATTTCGTCTACAGCGCAATGTAAATACGAGCTTTGTGAGAAATCCTACAAATTAGATACTCTATATCTCATGAGGTCCTTGGTAGAGGAAATGTAAAAATGTAAAGTATATGTTTGCATTTGCTCTTCCAAGGACTATTTGTGAGATATTGAGTATCTTATTTGTCATAAGGTATGAGTACCGTAATCCAACACCAAATTCGAAAATTCATAACAATACTTTGCACATATGGCGTTCGTGACCAACTATAAAACGCTTACCCCCCATAGTGTTATATATCAAAATGTACCTGTTCATATAGGGGTTCGATTGATCTACATCAAATTATAGGGAGTCAGGTTACTTTTTGAGATATCAGCGTCCATTTATTGTGACTCGCGTTTGCTACCACTTCCTCAATTCTGATATGATGGGCAAACGCGTAGTAAACATGCTCACGTCGGAACTATTCTGACCTACATCGCTATTTTCGTAATTCAAATGAAAGTTGAACTCCTCCTCTTTATTTTGATACCAAATAGTGGCATACTAGGTACCCTAGAAGCCAACTATGGCGTTATTTAGAACAATACCACGAGTTTTTAAATGGACTATATAGGACTATATAGTCATACCTTTTGGCGGATGGATATGGAACCTCATACCATAAAGCTTTTATTTACATTGCGCTCTCGACGAAATGTCAATTTTCTGACCAGTCGTACTCAACGCTGGCACTAGCTCGTCCTTTGCTGATTTGAGAGAAGTTTCAAAATATGTTTCTACGTTTGCTCTACGAATGATTGAATGACTTATGTTTCCGTTCGTAAAATATTTTACATCTAATTTGTCTTAAATCGCTGATGCAGTTGGCACTCTAAAAGAAATGTCAATTTTCGGACCAGTCTTACGTCACGCTGGTAGCAGCACGTGGGTTGTTAGTTTGAGAGACGTTATTTAAGTCATGTAAAGGAATATTGTATTATGGATAAACGGGTTGGCAGAGGCGATAAGTGGAAAATCATGGAAGCAAAATTAAACAAATGATACTGATGATTTTTTCTTTGAATAAAAAAGATTGCCAATGTCATAACATTTCTCTAAGAATAACGTTAACCAATACTGTATTGTAAAATTGTAAAATGTATGTTTACCATGTAACTCTATTGTAATTGTTTTTTTGCAATTGCTTTAACATGCTTATTCTTTGAAATAATAAAAAATTATAATATAAAAAAGCTTTGATTTACATTGCGCTCTAGACGAAATGTCCATTTTCTGACCAGTCGTACTTTACGCTGGTACAATCCCTGATGCAGTTTGAAGAGTCTGATGCTCGAGAAGAAATGTCAATTTTCGGAGCAGTCGTACTTCTCTATATCTCATGAATAGAATGGCCAATCAACAAGTCCTTGATAGGGCAGGGCAAATGCAAAATTGTAACCTTAAACATCTCACCAATTAGCAAATATCCTGCTTCCACATTATTAAGATATTATAATGACATTGGTACCATATGAAAGCAAAAAGGTATTTCTGCTATATCTCGAAAAAAATATGCAAACTATTCATTATGATCAATTTTTAAAGATTAAGTTTACATATTTACAAAGAAATAATTATACAGCATGGTATTATATACATCGGGTGCCCCGAAAATGAGACACTTTTTTATTAACCCATTTCCAAGCAAAAATTCTTTTCCGTATTTTAGTATAATTGACCTGCCATTCTATTCCTTACAATCTCAAATACAAATCTCCCAAAAGATTCACGAAATGTTATAAATTGATGAAGTTATCATGGATTCAAAGTGCAAAAATGGGTGAAAATGTTTAAATTCTTCCGAATAATAAGTAACCATTCTAATAGAAAAATGATACATTATTGTAAAAATGTTAAGTTTTCCTGAAATAAAGTGTTTGCTTTTGGGATTTTTAGAAAAAACACATGACAAGGAATATCATGAGCCACAAATATTTTAAAATTGAAACATATTTTTTGTTGGCCTGCTCGCGAGATCTGATTCTCTCTTGAACAGCAGGATACAGAAACATCATGCAGAAGTTGAACATTATACAACAAATATTTCGGGGAATACTTGGATTTGTGAATCTTTCTAAAGATTTTCCAACATATTGCGGATGGGCAATGGTTTGTTAATAAAAAAACACAAAAATGTGCACAAATTTGTCTAAGTATAAATGACTTAACTTATAAGCCTAATAAACCTTGTTAAATACGTTGGAGTATAAGAATAATTTATCTCGCTCACGTCTGCACTTGGTAAGAAGGTACCCTAACCATATTCCCTTATATCGCCAAACTTTCTTTAATGTCTCTCATTTTTATCATCCATGTACAAAGAAGAAAGTTCCTTGCAAGGGCAATTACTAAGCACGGCCAGTTCTACGTTCATCAACTGTCTTTTTTAATTTAATAATATTTTGTGAGGTGCCCATAGCAACAATGACGCTGCTGATGTTATATTAAAAGTCATCTGCAATGTCATGGAATGAACCACTAAAATACTTTGTATATAATCTTCGGGGAGATCAGGTTTCAAGAAGTTAATCCAAAACCTTCCATTACCTAAACCTCATTTATCCTACAGTATGACACGTGGTTCCAGATGCAAGACAGAGGAACATAGAAACAGCACCTTGGGAAATCGAGATATTTATATTCGCACAAATATGAAGGATTGCAGGGTTATTTCGTCGTCAAAGTTAGAGGGTTACACTACCGTTTAACTAGCCTAGTTAGTATGTCTTACAGTTTTTCCTGGAGACTTTTAGTATTGGTGACATTAACATAAAGATGTTCTTTAAAAGCACTCATTCGCAAATATGGAGTTTCTTGTTCCAAGATACCTTCCATCTTGGATACAATGTCGGAAAATTGTGGACGAGTAGCTGCATCCTGGCTCCAACATTCTACCATCACATTATACCTGAAAATTTAAACAAACAACTCGATATATTACAAAATACTTCACAAAATTCTCCGTATTTATAATTAATATAAGGACGCCAAACTGCTCTTTCTACGGAATAAGAAACAAAATTGAGAGAACAATTCCAATATAAGAGGGCAGCATTTTTGGCTTCTTTGTCGCAGTCACATGTCTAAAGTTTTCCAGAAAATATTCTTCAGAAAACTCTTGTTTTAATGGCAATTTTTATGATCTTTATACGGAATTACTTAGTTTTAAACTGCTAAATATTTTCTCATGAGTTTCAAATGAACAAAATGTTTCATTAAACTATTGTATTAAATGCATCGAAAAATATCATAAATCAAATATTTTGGTAGCTAATGAAACGTACAGCTCTGATTTACAATGTTGTGGCCTGTCCATTACTTTACCCGACTTGACAAGTCTCATAACCGCTTTGCCATTCATCCCAGAGTATGGAGTTGAACCTGGGGTAAAGTTTTAACATTATGTGGATATTTACGGCTTAATGCATTTGGTAGAATAAAGTGCGATAGTTCAATTTAAATATTTGGTTTTAATAAAAATGACATATTCTAATCCTTTAATAATGATTCTCAACCTGCGGATGTATTTTTAAGATTTGATTCGAAACATATAGATAATGTAACTATGTTGATCATTGCGGTAAACAGCCCATAACAATAAATTACCAAATGTTACTATTTCCCATAGGAGAATCCCATAGGCCCAGACATCATTCTTTGTTGTGTAGATATTGTGAAAAAGAGCCTCGGGAGACATCCATCGTATGGGTAGACGGCCCTATGGTTTTGAAATTATATATATACGGGTTGTCAAATAAGTCCCGACCGCCCCCCCCCCCCCTCAACAGCCAACTAAGATATATGGTACCACGTGTGATAAATCATTGGAAAGGTCTTCCAAAGTTACGTTGATTGGCATATATCTGACACATGTCAATCAATCTCACTAATTTTTACATTGTATCAATGGAGGTGACCATAGGCCTAGAAACATGGCAATTTGGCGTGTTTGGCAGGATTTTAAGAATCGGGTATGATAAAAGTTAAAGGACCTATTTAAAGATGACAACATACGTAATGGCAATAAATTGAACCAATTTCTTGATAGGGTTAGATGTGTAGAAAATAGACGTGCAAGGAAAGTGATGAAAACCTTTTTGTATTAAGTGGAATGCGAAAGGGTTAACTTTTTGACATATTTCTGAGGTCATATCCTTCTCATTTTGACGCAATAAAAACTGCTTAAGGAGGCTACACTAACTATAAAGAACATCATCAAAATATAGGTGAATTTTATCCAAAATACTTGGTGAGTTGGTGAGTTAACATAACTTTGGATGATCTTTCCAATGGTATATCAAACTAGGTACCATATATTAAGGTTTCTGCTGCAGAAGGGGGACAGGACTTATTTGACACCCTGTATATATATAGATTATACAACTAATTTCTCGCCATTTAAGTAATAGCATTATCTGATGATTTATACAAATATCAAATTAATGGATCCGACTTCATGGATGGTAGCGAAAATTATATTTGTGAATTTAAACTGCATCTAGCAAAATTCCTTTTTGACCCAAGATGTCATTTTGATAGCTCATTTATCTTGATGAATTACGTGACCACTTGGGAAGTCATACCCAAATTTTTAATTTTGTTCGAACGGAATAAAATCTAACTTTTTTCATTTTTAATTTGTTTTTCAAAAAAACATATTTTTAACTAGGTAAATCATGGTATTTTTATTATTATTGTCTGACAATCTGCAATCCAAAGATTTTAACTAATATCTTGATCACTTCTTGCGTTTGAATTTCTTTGTAAGGTAGAAAGGTGAAGTGAGAAGATTGAGAAATGGCTGTTAAATGACTGTTTACATTTTGAATTTTGTACACGGCAATGATGCCCATATATGGCAAAATATCGGAATTGCATTCTGGGATCCAATCATCCTTGTTGATAAAATTACTTGCTTGTGACTTTCTGCTGTAGAGATCTTTTTCACCAACATCTCTGGAAAGTCCAAAGTCCGAGATCTTGCAAATTTTACTGGCACTGAGCAACACGTTCCTAGTAGCAAGGTCACGATGCAGGAACTAAAATAAAAGATTTTACGTTTTCTTCATCTGGGAAAAATATGTCAATGCAAATAGAATACAGTTGCATGTTACAACACTGGTGTACATGATGTAGCAGTGTTCGTGATATAAATGTTTTATTATAGATATGGTTTCATGATGGGCTGTGTCGTCATAGTGCATCATGGTTACATAAAGAGCTGGACAACGTCATTTTTATAAAGGTGTGATAGTCTATTTGAATTGCAATTTAATAAAGAACTCTGTATGATTCGATTGGATTTAAAAGCATTTAGATATCTATGGCATGCATATAATAACTTACCCTGATAATGTACTCGGGCTCTCCCCTCGTGCATGTCTACGAGTTAGTACAAGAGTACATGCACTTTAAATGCTTTTATTTCCAATAAAGAATGATACAGGATTCTTTACTCCGTATCAGGTTGCCCTCAGTCAATATGATATTTTCCTTAGCATATATAAAAAAAATTGTATCCCTCCCGGCCCATTAAATAACCTCTATATACTATACAAGCATTCTATTTGTATATCAACTTGCTTTATTTATCGAAATGTGATTCATTCCTTTGGCAATCTGCAGCCCAAACTGCAGAAATTCCTTGCTAGTATCCAGCATGTCGGCCCGAATGTACTTTGCTTTGTTGGCCCTCAAGTAGCTGTGTAGGTCACCCAGGGCTAAATGTTCAACAAGTATCATCGTGTGCTCTGTAATGAGAATCGTTAATTGATGAAATAGATTGTGTGAAGTAGATTACTATAACAATTAATGATTGCAGGGCAAAGCAAAATAAAAACATGCCCCAGAGTTAAGATGCTACACTTCTGACACGATGACATCATACAATGAGGCTGTTTTTTATTATTACATGTCCCATTTACCTTGAAAATTTCAAATAAATTGGTAAAAAATAAAGAAATGACAGACTAATTCCCAGAACTTATGTACAATAAAGACAGATAAGTATCTAAAGTAACTTGCTAAATACTAAAGTACACCATTCAGGGTCTCAAGTAAGTAGAGAATAGTAAGAATAAAATTGCTACTAATTGTGCAATGACATTATGACAATCAATTAAATATACAACGCAAATGATATTTAAACTGATCCACCAACCATTGTATTTTGAGAAACCCAGAAGTTCTATAACATTGTCGTGTCTTGGTAGCTGCTTCATCAGATCAAGTTCACGGAGTAAAGACTGATGGTCGTCATCGGACGCATTATCTGTCAAAATCAAAATTGGCAGTCAATTATATAATTGATAATGATTGCTTTTTAAAGTATTTATTTAGCCTATTTGTTTGTTTGTTCCTTGATAAAATAGATGTACAATAGGGAAAATCAACAGTTGTCCAACAGTTGTTCAACGGTAGTGTCTTAATTATCACTCAAGCAGTGGTTGGGAAAATAGTTGATGGGTTGGGCCTTAGCCAGGAGGGTATAGTGACAAGTATCATGGGTATTGTATACGCATATTATATATGAAAATGATACCATACGAATATTTAGGCCTTAATATTCGTATCATCCGCTTCAAACGTGCTTACATAATAAAAAAAAAATCTCGAAGGTCAACATGTAATGAAGTGAGGCCTAAGCAATCCAATTTTTACCCATTAAGATCTTTGCAGCGGCCGTAAATGGGGCATATCTTGGGTCGCTCACGTTCACTAGCTTAACAACTCCGAATTCTCCTGCGCCTAGTGTCGCCCCAATGTCAATTACTTCCATTGGGTACTCTCTCACACGTGTGTTGAGCTAAATCAGACATTCGTTAAAAAGACACAGGGTAAACAATATCACATCCTTGGATAGTACACAAAAAAAGAATTCATATTTAAAAGTTTGGCAATATTATGATTGTGTTAGTATAAGTTACTATTATGAGGAATTGTTGTAAATTATCAAACAGCAGTTGGCATATATCAAAACTTCAGATAAGATTTTAGGATAGAAAATTCGATAAAAACATGAAACATTCACGAATTTAAATGACTGATCTAAATTTAACTTATAAAGGCCTGAGTCAAAATATGTATTGACTAAAATTATAAAAAGTCAACAACCAACTGCAATCATAATTTTTACTTACGGTCGGAGATTATATTGACAAAGCCTTGAGATAATTCAGAAACGATGTTTATTAACGATACTTAAAGGATACTTAAAAATTTAATTACTCACATTTTGCACGTCGTTTTCATGGACCTGGGAGCCTGTGTCGAAGATCGGTTGAACTTCTTCGTATTCGACACTTTGACTTTGAATGTCAGAAGCATTCATGTCAACCATTATATGAGTGCTATATAAAATAAGAACTGAGACTCAGTGACCATTCAACAGAGATAGAAGCAGGAAGATACAAATAAAAAATGTAACTAATTTTAAACTTATTTGTAAAGCTAGGAAATGGGTCAAAAAGTGAATTTCACGAGACAAAAATGGCGGCAATTTTGAAAATATCCGAGCTTTTGAACAAGGTGTCATAGGGGAGTTTTCTATATTGATGTTGAACAGAAATAACTTAAAACAGGAATCCTATCGACAGAGGTTTTAAAATGTGCCACTATTGTTGACAGACGGACGGACGGACAGACAGACGGACAAGTGAGTGATTGCGAAAGATCACCATGTGAGCTAATAACACAGGGGCCGCAAAATGATTTTCAAAAATGACTTTGATGCTATGTAACTTTTTTTTTTTGCTCTGTAACTTTAGTACTCATCAAGTAAACTAAACACTTGGTGCACAAAAAGTTAGGCAATTCAATTTTCTATATGAAAATATGTTTTGCTGAATCTTTTACTGAATGGATATCCTGATTTCTGATTTACCCCGAACCCACAGTTTCGCTTTGGTTTACATGGGAATGACGATTTTAAAAATTCATCATCAATTTTCGACCTATTGTAATTGAGGGGAAAAATTGAGAAAATTTGGAGGTATTGGAAATAAGGTCAAGTTTTGTTTCCATCAATATTTTAAGTTATTTCATCGCAGGTTAAGTAAATAAAAATTCAAACGTAAAGAGGCTTTAACACGTAGTTTAATGGCGGAGCTAAGGTTGCCAAACTTAGGGAGGGGAGTGTATGTTAAACCATGCCATGTATTATATATCATTTTAAAGGTAAAACATTACCTAACAAAATGACACCATCCAATTGAAAAACCTTTGTTTTCTCGTGGAGTTTGACACCAGGGTTGCAGTGAGCGACCAAAAATCAAAAAATGAAAATTCCCAAATTTCCCTCCATATTGCAGTCACAGCTGCACTCAATATGCTTGACTGAATCGTCATAAATTAATTTAAGAGAAATACACAATTAATAATGTATTAAAAATAAATAAGTATTATTGCTGAATTTTGCACTATCCTTGTATAAATGTACCTCTTTTGAGGGTGCTAAAGTTCAAACTCCATTTTTCACAATTTGTAAATCCACAGTGAATAATTTTTTGGTAGCTCATGACACCCCTGGTGTCAATTTTAGCCTCCGACTCCACATGAAAACAACGGTATTTCAATCAGATGGTGTCATATTGTCATTACATGATTTATCTCTGGCATGGTTTAACGTTATATCATATGATATTCATCCTTAAACTTGCGTATTGTTTTTTGGCCCACCCTGTATATTACTTATGTAATAAATTAATGGGTACGACATAGAGGCACGTACCGATTGTCTAATGAGTAGTCATTCTTCTTCAGGCGTTTGTTCTCCTTGCGCAGTTTGTAGACCCAGCATGATAGAAAGCCTATGGTACTAGTGACTACCAATGAGCAAACGACTCCCCAGCCAATCGCGACTACGTCATGAAGTTCACGTATACATATTGACGCACCTGTACATGTAGAACTCGTATATCTGGTATATGATATCTTTAACTCGCAACAAGTGTTGATAAAAGATGATCCAGGAGTATGTGTTACGCGGTATATGGCATATATTCATGGTTGCGCGGTATTTGTGATACGGGTGAATATGCCATACTCACCTGCGGTGTATGGCATATTCCGCAGGTGAGTATGCGATATTCCGCAGTGAATATGCGATACATTGATTTCAGTGAATACCCGATACTCACCTGCAGAATATGCCATATACCGCAGGTGAATATGACATATACCGCAGGTGAAAACTTGATATAGAAAGCCTTGATTTGATTGGTTGCGAGAATCGATTCTAAATGTAAAACTACGCTGGATTACCAGTATAGTTAGTGCGTCGGGTACTAATATATGAATCCTGGATTGATTGAGTAAGTTTCATTCCGCGAGATTGGTGACTGATAAATCTGCAGAGTTAATATATTCCATACACAGTACTGTTGATTCAGTAATCATTATAATTTATAACGTTTTACTTGTTCGTTCAATCGATGCAACTGACATTTGCGTACTTCCGTATCACGTTCTCATTGGTTAGTGTGTATGCCATATACCGCAGGTGAATCTGGCATACACCGCAAGTGAATATGCCATATTCGTTGCGGAATAAGACATATTTTTGTATCGTGTTTACCGCGTAACAGTATGGACATGCGATATGGGATAAAACTCTAGATGGGAGAGGGGGCTTAAGGGCAAAAGTTAGACTGATTTCTACCATTTGTCATAATGATGAAATGTAAAGATCAGTCTTCAGGAAAAATAATATTGTATAATTAACAAATGTAACAACTGTTTTCCTCCACCCTGTATATATATAGCGAATATGGAATATGACTAAGTGTACTTCAGGGAAGGTTGATAAAGTATCACAAGTAACTATAAAACAGAAATAGAGGCTACGGAAAACACATTTTGGAGGGCTTCAAGTATAATTCAATTCACTCATACATCATATAGTCTCTTCAAAGAGTAAAACAAATGAACTCGTCTATCTTCACTTTCCAGCAAATGTCGCTCCTCAAATAACCCAAAGTCTTAACATGCGATTTTTTTTTCTCAGGTCTTAAGACCCCCCCCCCCCCCCCTACATTCATTGTGTACCGTACTTTATAAAAAAAGATGGTACACAGTGAGTGTGGGGGATTAACCCATGTTCCTAGGCCTGTGGATCTGTCTAGTAGTCCGCATTGTGTTACTGTTATTTGGTGACTGTTCATTCGGGGGTAAAAGGCCCACCAATGTTTGAACCATAATTGTGTAGCTCAGTTACAATAATTTAGAAATGTATGGCTTTGATCATTTCTCTTAAATCACTAATCACGAACAGGCTTTGATAAGTGATCGGGGACACTCTGTTGAAGGGACGTCGTGTATTTCGGTTGCGTTTATTCAATGCCGTGTTTTCACCAAGGAGGATTGGCTCCCAGAATGCAACATTTATATTCTGTCCCATATATGGGCATGTCATGATATATCATTTGAGTTGAAACAGCCGCCATTTGTTCATTTCAACATTTGAATCGTGAATTTCGGTCTTATTTCCTGACGAAAAATTCCAAAATTCACAAGAAATGATCGAGATATTGGTTTGAATCTTTTGAACTGTTCATTTTGAATTCATAGTCGGTTATTACTTCAGAAAAAACGACATTTCGACGTTTTCATTGTTGGAAAATATCGAGTTTCGATCCTGAGAGATAATCCTTCTTCGGCGTTCACCATATTTAACAGAAATTACAATGACACTTTTTATTTTCGACAATAGTCTTCTTCGTGCTACTGAAAACAAAAAAATAGATAACCACAAGTTTTTTGAACAATGCTTACCAGTTTCGTTTGACATTAGAGTGACTTCAGACGACACAATTCCTCTGTTGTGTATATTTATAGCATTACACGTATAAACTCCTGTATAATAGCAATTCCCTGTAACCCCTCCTAGGTCTAACACCCCTGGAAATATAAAATCACAGTGTTTCACTTGGCATGTGCAATATTTTGGAAACGATTGTATAATTAATGTTTTCATTGCCATTGAAAAAGTTAAAAAATATAAAAAATGTGGACGTGTCTTGATCCATCCTGTAATGGTCTGTATATGAACAACATTAAAAGGATGAGTCTGGGAATGAGTCTGGGTATCGACTTAGAAAATATTGAAAATTGTAATGTCTGAAAAACCAACTCAGTCACACATATTATTAAACTTCAATATCTTATCCTTCTTCTGAGATTACAAAAATATCAATTTGTATCACAATTGGTGAAGAATATTGGCATCAAAGACAGTGCATATCACTTTGTCAGAATTGAACAAAAATCAATGGCAAATATTAAATGAATTATTTTTACAAAAGTTTGAAACATATCCTCCAAAACATTGCTTATTTTCTTTGTATAGACATTGAATGGTATTTCTGGATAAGTAAATTGGTGATTATCTGGGTAATCAAGAGATTATAGTCACTCAAAGGTACTGAGCATCCAGTTTTGAGACTTCAATTATGTTGGTGAAGTTACACATATTTCAGCTAAATTCATGCTGAGCACAACATTTTGGTTTCGATTTTATAATCTCTATACATGACCCTGGTGATGAAAAGTCAGAATCAGCCAAAAAAACTAAACCGGAAAACTGTGCTCATTGTGAAAACTAAAAGTGAAGCAACTTTTTTTGATATTTCTTACATCAAATGGCAGCCATCTTGTTTTTCCCCCTTCAAATTAAACTGGCGGGAAATTCAAAAATTTGAAAAAAAAATTGATCCTTAAGGTCAGGGTGCATGATGGGAAATTTTCTGCATTCCTCAATTGAGTCACATGTTATTTTTCAAACAAGAATCACTCCTTCCCTTCATTGTCTATATCTTCCAGTTTTGCACAAAGAGTGCACTTATGTGCCTAGAAAAGACTTGTGAGAAGAATGTTTTGATAAGGTGTATAAAAAACAAGAAAATTTAGTGAAAAAAATCAGAAAATTTTCAGAATTTTTTTTCACTGAATTTTCTCATTTTTTATACTTAATACAAAACAAACCTTATTCTTATATTATACTTATTCTGACTCTCAGCAGGGGGTTAGTTATGCGTCAAAACTCGTGAAAAAGTAAATATACTTATCAAATATAACTAGGACAACAGTAATAAAAACCATATTTCACATACATTTGACTGGGGGACCAAAAGGGCATATATCCAGACACATCCTTTGTAACTAAAGCTTGGAGGTTTTGGTGATTTTGAAGTCATGTCTGCGCTTCACAGTTCAAAATCAATGCAGCCTTTGTAATAATTTGACACCACCTTCTAATTTGCCTCACTGACCTTTTATAGTTTCTCAAGACATATTCTCTCAAAATCAGGAAATAGGGTGATGAGCAGGCAAATTCTAAGGGCCTTCAGTCACAAAAAAATAACGAGTGACAACTTAAACTTCCGAGCGAAGATTTAATGATATTTATTAGGACCAGTGCGTGGATCATGGGTCTTCTAAAATTTGAATCTGTTTCTTACAGACAGTTGAAAGTACAAAATCATGCTTTGAAGATCAGCTGAGTTTTTATAGATGTCATGGAAAGGAAGTGTGTTAATAATATACCGAGATTTGACTTCAAGGTTTTTGCCACGGGCTCTTCAGTTGATTCTGAATCGTGGCAACTTGGCAGTGTTTTGTAGGTCCAAGTGTATCTGTAAAATAATCAACAACTCACAATTTCCTCCATACGTTTGACAACATGAAACTCGCATGTTTTTAACGCTGCATACAATGTGTATGTGAAAATTAATTATTACCACCTTGCCGGGCCAGTTCTATGGGTTTTAGTGCTAGTTTCTTAGAAGGCATTCATTTTACTATATCGACATGAGCAATATGTGACGTCATAGTGGCGGTCAATATAGCCGGTCAAGAATGCGTTTAACGCCCGGTAATTTTCCCATCGTTCATTGCGTAAGATTTTCTTGCTGTTTCAGTCCTGGTCATTAACGGTGGTAATAATACTAATAATAACGTCATTTCTGCGGGCAATATAGTGAAATATTCGGCCCTCGGTCCAACATTTCACCATATTGCCCTTCGAAATGACGTTATTGTACTATTGTTTTATTAAATATTGGATATAATATATCTGTTGAATCTGTTCGAACTGCATATTCATTAACTAAGGCAAGATGTGACATATCATTATGATTAAAGCCTAAAGGCTATGGACATTGTGTAAATTATTATTATATACAATTAGACTGTGGACTATTCTGTAGAAGTGCTCTAGAAATGGATCCTGCTTTTCATGGAAGGTCACACATTCCAACATATTTCAAACAATTTGTATGATTATAATAGACACTTTCTGGGTAGTTGGACTTTATGTAGGGGTGGCAGAAGGCCCTCAGGCCAATTTATACCCCTACCCCAACAAAACCTTGGGGGTACTTTAATACCACCCAATTAAAATAATACTAATGCATATCAGATATTCATCGTTTTATAGTGGGTAGGGCATGCCATGGTAAGTCAGTGACAGAAATTTCCAATCTCTGACTTATATGGTTACCATGGAAACAGTATTTATATCTCACAATCTTCTCAATTTGACCCCGTCCCAAATGTGTCCTTAAGTTCTCAAAGTGAAATATTTGCAAATCTGTTTGGATTTTGTGGCTGCAACTTTGTCAAAAGTTGAATTAATATGTATGTATTCACACTAAAGCACTAAAAACTTGATTTAATGATCTCATAGATTAATAATATATATCAAATGTAGTCACACACAACTGCTTTTAGGGAAAAGTGGGCGTGGCACTTTTTGGTACTTGTGTAATTGTTGCAGCATTAAATGAAAAATACTTATTACACTAACAACAATTGACATTTAATTAGCATCTACTAACATTGTATAACATTGTAGTATGTTCATTATCATTATTAGATACTTTAAATATTTTATATAAGTGTTATCATGACCCTTCCCTATCATAGGTCATTAATGGTCAAATTAACTTTTAAGTCCTAGAGGTCCTTAGTCTTTTTGGCTTGTCAAAGTCGTATTCATTGACTTGAACTTAGAATATAAATAGTTTCATTGATCAAGAGCTATGAGTTAAAATTGATTAATACATTTGTCAGGGTTAGAGCCATTTTATGCAATTGAAAAGTAATGGACCGACACTGATCAGTACCAAGCGAAGGTAACGGCCGTAACCTTCGCATCTAAGATGGCGGACAGTAATTGTCGATTTTGATTGAATTAAACTACTTTAGAGTTGATGTTATGCTTTGACATTTGCACCAAATCAGGCTTAAATGACACTGGAACCATAGATGTAGTAAACATGAATAAATGATATGTGAAATGTTATGCCCTGCCTTAATACATAACTAAGATTTTCTCGGATAAATGGTGTCTTACAATTGACTAACTGATTCTATTATCAACATCAGGTAATGCATGATCTATCCAATGGATTAACGAAAATACTTGATTCCAATATGGCAAAATAAATTATTCCATGTATGAATTGCATTGTGCATCATTTTGCAGAGATTACATAATGCATCCATTGACTCATGGTCAACATAGTATTTCACAAAATAATGAATTAAATATAAACAATTTACACATATCTGAAATGCTGTACCTTTAGTGATTCCTTCAACCTGGAAAGTGGTTTGTTATGTTAAAACTTAAAATAATATCTAAACAAATCTGTTTAGTGTATAAAAACAATAAAAGTTAATATGTTTAATATCAAATATTATAACATACCTATGATGATGTATAGTGCAAAGTGTACACAAGACAGCGGGCCAATATAAGTTTTGAAAAGCCCGCGCCCGCTAACTTTCTGATTGGTTAAGGCGCTGACGTCATAACCAATCAATCGAAGGTAAAACTGCGCGAGCAATTTTTCTAAACTCATTTCAATCATTTTCAAACCATTTGTTTGTCAATTCTATAAGAAAACGGTACTCTCTGACCAGTCTACATCATCATAGGTATGTTATAAATCGTTTATGTCACTATCGTGGCACATATGCCACGGTAGTGACATAACCTCTAATTATTAGACATATGAATATAACCTAAAATAAGAAATCTTGTTCTCGTATTCCATCTTTGAATTGGTTGAATGATTTTGGCACAGTAGAAATGATGGTCATGATTAAATATTACATGTAATATGCCCTGATGCTGTAACATCAATGGTCCTTTATAATCAGGTATGACTGAAATACTGGACAAGATCTTATAAGGTAACAGTTTCCATATAACGTATGTTCCATATTACTAACCCCAAATCTCCATTGTGTAAGTTTATGAGTCATTATCTCTCATAGTTTATTATGGCAAATGCCTATCCTTGTCTAGAATATGTCATTTTATCAATTTTATAAACAAGTATACAATTACACGCCCCCCCCCCCCCCTCCCACACCAAAACTCCATTTTCTTTATCAAATCTGTTATGATTCTCTGTCAGGCTTCCCCAATTTTCCATACTGTCAAGTAAACATCTAAATAGGATTGCTGTTGTTTTGAAATGTTGACTTTTCTTGGGGAAATATTGTTTCAATTCTGACAAAAGTTTTTAGCCAATATCATTCAATTTATCAATATCCAAACGCAGGGTTTCAGAAAGTATGCATTTTGTTTGTGCCTGTATTTTCATCATGTGTACTTATTAAGACAGCTATATTTAAACGTAAATACATTAAAACATGATACATATAATCTTTTGACAATTTCTTCAGTAAAGTGGCCATTTTGAGAAATGATATATAGCTTGTACCTTTGTTTGATGCTCAACAAGATGTTCGACTGGATTTGCCTTTGTCTAATTCATATATATACCAAATACGAGAATCAGAATCTTATTCTACAAAACGGGTGTTCATGGAAGTGGCACTAATTATTGCATCATTGCTATAAATCGTGTGATTTGATTGGCTAATTCAGAACCATGTGACTAAAAATACCAGCGTATTTCACAGCTCCCTGAATTATTTCCATATTTAAAAGACGTATTGTCCAGCGTATTGCCCGCCTGGGGATTCTGACAACTGCACTTTCAATGATTTTTGCAACATGTATTACCATCGCCCTACGGGCTGCGGGCAATACATATTGGAAAAATCATTGAAAGATGAACAGGTATTGCCCTCCATAGAATGAAATATTTGCTTAACATTTCTTACTGTTTCGGGCTTAATATCAATTTTGTTATAAACTGAACAAAGCGGCACCTTTAACATGCAGCTAATTCTCCCATCTAACCAAGAGAGCCTCTTTTAATATATCGAAATTTAAAAATTGCCTCTGATTCAATTTGTTCAATCAAATCTAAAATGGTAATGCTTTCACCAGAAACATGGATATCACTAATTTTGATTCATATTTAAAATGGTGTGCATGAATAGACCTGTGTATTTTATACCAAATAGAGACACTTCCCTGGAGAGTTCTAAATCTCTATATGTTAACAGCCTAGTTCCCACATCCCTTGTTGACTTTGCTTCCATATTTCCTGTGAAGCCGTGGAACAGTTCTCTTGTTCTTCACAATTTCCATTTTAATGTAACTCAATGAATAAGGCCAATTCATATCACTGGCTTCCCTAGGTCATTTGAATTCCTTGCAATTTTTAAATCAGCAATAAAGAATAATGGGTTAAATTATCAAATAATGAAAAAGTTGCAAATTATGAGATTTGCTATATAGCTTCGAAATCTTGCTGAAGTGTAGTTTAACTATAGGTTAACAGGCTAAATTCTCATTGAGATGATTTTAAAGAATCTTAAACATTGACTTATTGTTTCAGTGGTCCTATTAAAGTTCATGTGTACACAATCTGAACAACATCCAGTTTCAAACACTTCTGATTATCATCAAGTTTCAAACACAATCTGAACATCATCAAATTCAATGCAAATGCAGTTTTACTTTAATCCAACAGAACGAATATGGTAAATCAATAGACTAAGTGACACATGTCAAGTCAATGGTAAATACTTGTATCTAGCCCAACTAGCACAAGTGCTGCCATGTACCGACTAGTATCAATCCATCTATCCATATACATAGCACCTAATGAGGTCACGATTTCAAGTAAAGCTTTTTCCCTTGTCTATGGTAAAAAATAAGTTAAACAGAAAAGTTAGTTTGACACCATTGGTGATGCCCACCTTGTATGGTATAGGGATAAAAGGAAAGTTCATGATAACACTTACATAAAATAATTTAAGTATCTAATAATGATAATGAACATATTACAATGTTACACAATGTTAGTAAATGATAACTAAATGTCAATTATTGTTAGTGTAATATGTATTTTTCATTTAATGCTGCAACAATTACACAAGTTCCAAAAAGTGCCACGCCCACTTTTCCCTAAAAGTAGGTGTGTGTGACTATATTTGATAGATATTATTGATTTATTGGAGCATTATATCAACTTTTTAGTGCTTTCGTGTGAATATATACATATTTATACAACTTTTGACAAAGTTGCAGCCACAAAATCCAAACAAATTTGCAAATATTTCACTTTGAGGGCTAGGGGAGATATTTTGGAGGAGGTCAAATTGAGAAGATTTTGAGATATAAATACTGTTTCCATGGTAACCATATAAGTTAGAGATTGGACATTTCTGGCACTGACTAACCATGGTATGCTCTGCCTACTATAAAACTATGAGTATATGACATGCATTAGTATTCTTTTTATCAGGTGGTGTTTAAGTACCCCCAAGGTTTTCTTAGGGTGGGGGTATGAATTGGCCTGAGGGCCGTCTGCCACCCCTACATGAAGTCCAACTACCCAGAAAGTGCCTAGCATAATCATACAGACTGTTTGAAATATGTTGGAATGTGTGACCTTCCATGAAAAATGGAAATTGCAATTATCAGAGTAGTCCACAGTCTAAATTAGTGACATAAGCGAATTAAAATTATTAGAATCTAACTTACCTAGGTGCTGGATTACCTTTTGATGCACAATTCAGTGTTACATGTTCGTTTTTATAGTATGATATCATACGGTCAGTTACGTCATCTGCGCCTATCATTATAGAGGGCTTTCGTGCCGCATCTGGGATAAAATTGTGGCGTAAATTGAATGGAGTAACAAGACTTACTCTTTTAAGGATTTAAGCCCTGGACTCAGTGGAATGTGGAAGGTGTTGCTTTCCAAATTTGCACGAGATGCGCAGCATCGAGTGTTAATTTTAGGAAACAACGCCTGAAAGGAATGGACATTCCACAATGCATTGAGTCTTGGGCTTAAATTCTTTTCACACATTGCAAAGTTTTTTCTACCATCATGTTACCTAAAAGATACGAAATCACTAAAATAACATATTTTCAATGAAACTTTTTGCGAAGGCGGGTCGGGTTGGCAAAGCATCAATTTTAATCTAATAGTCAAGTTATCACCTTGATAACCACATAAAGAATGACCTTGGATTCCGTGATAATGATAATGTATTTAATTTAGCTTTGAAATCTCTATTTTGTAATAAAGGTGTGGGGGTTGTGGATTAAATTAAATAACTACTATACATTGTACGACAATATAACGGCGACATCTATCTGCCATTATAACATCCTCAGATGACGTCATTATCTTATAGTGGCAAGAAATGATCCCTCCATCCATTTCTGGTTGGGCAACAAGAGAAATACCTGCAAACAATTTTCATAATTGACCAATAAATCAGTGATATTGTGTAGTGAAGGTGAAATCATTCACATATTACTGAGTATGCGACTCATTTCGATCTCGTGTATAAAGAAGTATCACTTAGTAATCTTAAGTAATAAACTTACTCAATAAATCAAAGATTCATATATTATACTCAAATCAAGGCATTCTGTATCACGTTTTCACCTGCGATATATGCCATACCCACCTGCGGTTTATGGCATATTCTGCAAGTAGGTATGACATATTCCACAGGTGAGTATGGCGTATTCACTGTAATCAATGTTTTGCATATTCTCTGCAGATTATGCCATACTCACCTGCGAAATATGCCATATACCGCAGGTGAGTATGGCATTTTCACCCGTATGACATATATGACATATTCCGCGTAGCAGTGTCATGATAGTACACTTTCTGCCAAGAAAAGGAACATACAATTACATGCAAGCATGACGTTTAAAAAATATTAAAAAATAAATATTTTATAGATTTGGACTTTTTTTCCTAACTATTGTTTATCGCGTGTGTCTTGTTCATCCTCCTAATAGGCAGGTATCCAGAATCCGGAAGAATATATTCTGGATTTTGAAGCCCTGTGATCGGAGGATTGTCGTCACTTGGCAGGTAGAGTGTACTAGGCTAAGATACGATACGCGTACGGATAATGTATTCTTGTATTTTCCTAGTACGTAATTCATGTGAAAATACCGTACCTGATGTCACTACTTTGGTTCTTCCTTGTCTTTTACCTGCAGCGGTTGACGTAATAGGTTTCCCATTGAACTCCCAAGCAAACTCAGGGACATATTTCTCATCACCAATGAAATCAACAGCACAAACAAGTGAAATAGAATCATTCTCCATTTTGTTGACTGTATCTTCAGGGCAGACAATCTCATCTTCAATAAGACAATATCCAACATCTAACAACCCAGTCACATTTCCTAAGGCTACCGTGTGGTCTATCATTTCTGCGGTCAGTAACATTTTTATGTCACCACCAAAAGTGGTGACATATTGTTATGGTCTCCGTTTTTTGCGACGGCGGTTGGTGGTTGGAGGTTGGCGTCCGGCGTCCGGCGTCTGTAACAATTTCTTACAACTTCCTATAACTTAACAAATACTGTTTAGACTGACTTCAATTTTTTTCTGAATCATCTACATGTTCTCAGGAGTTCAAATCTGACTTTAGATTTGACATTTGACCTTCTCAAGGTCAAAAGGTATTTTTTCAACTTGCTTCACATTGACTAAATTTTTTTTCAAAATCATCTACATGTTCTCAGAAACTCAAATCTGACTTTAGTTTTGACATTTAACCTTCAAATCTGACTTTAGATTTGACATTTGACCTTCAATGACCTTCTCAAGGTCAAAAAAGGTCAAAAAGGTCTGTTTTCAACTTGCTTCAAATTGACTAAAAAAAATTTTCAAAATCATCTACGTGTTCTCAGAAATTCAAATCTGACTTTAGATTTGACTTAAGATTTGACATTTGACCTTCAATGACCTTCTCAAAGTCAAAAAAGGTCAAAAAGGTCTTTTTTCAACTTGCTTCAAATTGAGTAAATTTTTTTTTCAAATCATCTACATGTTCTCAGAAATTCAAGTCTGACTTTAGATTTGACATTTGACCTTCAATGACCTTCTCAATGTCAAAAAAGGTCAAAAAGGTATTTTTTCATCTTGCTTCAAATTGACTAATTTTTTTTTTCAAAATCATCTACATGTTCTCAGAAATTCAAATATGACTTTAGATTTGACTTTAGATTTGACATTTTACCTTCAATGACCTTCTCAAGGTCAAAAAAGGTCAAAAAGGTCTTTTTTCAACTTGCTTCAAATTGACTCATTTTTTTCAAAATCATCTACATGTTCTCAGAAATTCAAATCTGACTTTAGATTTGACATTTGACCTTTAATGACCTTCTCAAGGTCAAAAAAGGTCAAAAAGGTCTGTTTTCAACTTGCTTCAAATTGACCAAATTTTTTTTTCAAAATCATCTACATCTTTTCAGAAGTTCAAATTTGACTTTACAAGTTCTCAGAAGTTCAAATCTGACTTTAGATTTGACCTTTGACCTTCAATGACCTTCTCAAGGGCTGATGTGAAAAAGTCAGTCCACTCTAGTGTAAATCTTCAAAAGTGTATAGACAGTACAATATTTGTACTGTGCCAAACGATCCTGAGACTGAAACATTTCTGGCATTTGGACACTTTCAACCTCAAATATGACATGAAATGTGACTCCTAGAGTAATCACCAATTTTGCATGTTTTATACCTGTATACATGTTTAGCTTTTATCAAAATTTGGTACATAGTACCAAATTATGAGACTTATGCTTATACTATTTAACTTTTGATCACTATAATATTGTGTGCAACTAGTTTTAACTTGCTTCAGATTGAACAATTTCTTTTTTCAAAATCATCTACAAGATCCCAGAAGCTCAAATCTTCAAAAACCTTCTTAGGTCAAAAAGTATTTTCCAACTTGCTTTAAATTGACCAAATTGTTTTAGGTGGTGACATTTTGTCATGTTAATGCCTTGTAATTAAGTTGCTGTGGTATCAGTGACCTTACATCAAACAGTATACGTATTTGTTGTGTTTACAGCAAAAATATGACCGAAACTGACAAAAAAACTGTTTCCAAAGGTACATTATCCGTCAAACCCTACTGAGCATGCAGAAGCAAGTCAACGGAATCCGACGTGCGGCCACCGTTGGACTTGTCTGCGGTCTGACAACGGCCTGTTGATTTTTACGGAGACCGCAGAAATGAACAAATATTATAACTCCGAGTTATAATTTCTACGGCTAACCTGTGGCCCGTAAAAAAACTGGATACGCCGTACGGAGACCGCAAGGCGAGCGTAGAAAAACTACGCAGAAATTCACTGATTTAATTGATCTGCGGTCGACGCACGGTCGCCGTACGACAAATGTGACTGAGGTGTACAGCTTATAGAGATCACATATACTTTGCTCGATGCAACAGAACAACGATATCAAATTATAACACCCCAGTCACATTTGTCGCACGGCGGCCGCAAGTCGACCGCAGAACAATTAAATCGGTGAATTTCTGCGGCGAGCGTAGAAAAACTACGCTCGCCTTGCGGCCTCCGTACGGCGTATGCAGATTTTTACAGACCGCAGGGAAGGCGTAGAAATTATAACTCGGAGTTATAATATTTGTTCATTTCTTCATTTCTGAGGTCCCCGTAGAAATCAACCGGCTCAACAAGATTGAATCATTATTTGTCAATGTTTCACGATCACTTTTCATTTGATATTACATCCTAGCACTTTGAATAACATTTATAAATTGTCCCGATGTAAACAAAATGAAAAAAATATCATTTATCAATATAAATTTAAAATTCACCGTGCAGCTGCCGTGGGAAATGTGACTGCAAAAGTATGAGAGCGCAGAAATTCTGCGGCGAGCGTAGAAAAGCTACTGGCCGCAGAAATGATAGACCGCAAGGTCGTCGTAGGAAATGTGACTGGGGTGTTAGGAAGTGAGATTGCCACTTTCGTTTATTGCAAAAAGTAGCCTTTGTAACAACATGGTGTTATGAACGTACACTAATGCCTGGGTCACATTTGCTCCGATCCATCGGCCAGCGCCCGGCCGATTGAATGTTTTTTTTCAATATTGTATTCAATTTTGAACAAAATACTCAATCGGCCGGGCGCCGTAGCGAAAATCGGAGCAAACGTGACCAGGGCATTATGACATGATTCCCTAACACCCCAGTCACACCCCAGATCAATTAAATCAGTGTATTTCTGCGGCGAGCGTAGGAAAACTACGCTCGCCTTGCGGCCTCCGTACGGCGTATCCACTTTTTTACAGGCCGCACGTGCGGCTGCCGTGGGAAACTGTACGATTTTGCACTTAAAAAACACGCCATCGATAAAAACTAGCTCTAAATTTTCAACAAACGAATCATTTAGTTCCCTGTTCAATAGCTTATGAAGACTAGTCTAGTCTAGTCAAATTGGCAATATCACATCCACCAAATGTTACCCTCTACCTCGAACTGAAAGAAAATCCATCAAGAATGCAAAAAGGCAGGCCCGAGCCCTCCTCCCCCCGGCTGTAAGAGCATGGTAGGACCTACACGTACCATACACATTTAACTCTGCACTGCCGATTTGTTTTATATCTGGTGAGCTCTGGTAACATGCATATTTCCCACCATCGTCAAGCTGGATATTCTTTACTACCAGATCATAGCTACTTTGAATCTCAAATTTGTTTGCGAGCTCATTTGCCACTTTTCTATTTGATGATATCGGACGCCCATCTACAGACCAGGAGATACGATGCTGACCAATTGTAGATACTGTACATTTAAGGACACTCTCAGAATCGCCAACTTTTGCCGCTTTATCTGAAGGGACTTCTCTGATGATAACTTGTGCTTTAACATCTGGAATCAACACAATATTGAAACTAATGATACAAATAATTTAGAAATAGAAGTACGAGGATCATGGACACGTGTACACACATTTTTAATAAAATCCTTACCCCTTCACACGTTAATGATATTTTGAAGTATTTGTTTTTTCTGATTTACTCAAAATCATATACTCTTACTTGTATATAAGCTAGGGAACGTAAAACACTTTATTAAATTATATGGACTAGTGCATTTATAATGGTTGCATTCTTTGCAGATGGTTTATCCTATTTTTGTATAACCAATATGTGCCATGATATGCTCACGATGTCCAACCCAAACGCTCTTACATGCACTACGGAGCGTTTCATTAGCTAAACAAAGAAACGCTCCGGATTAGGAAAAATGGCGGGCATGAATGATGGGCTGTCTGACGATTTCCCAAATAATGGGAATAAAAGGTAAGCTTATGTGTTACTTTTTTCGAGTATACAATTCGATGGGTGTGATATTCATGTTTTACTTGGCTGGTTGTTGACGTTTGAAGCAACTTGGAAATGCTGTATGAAGCAGTATAGCTAGTTATCAAAATTCATAAACGAATTTGTCAGTCTACCGGTCAAAGTCTACCGGTCAAAACAACTTTTGTCGAGACATGTGATTAGTTGTGTAAAGATTAGAGCATTGGGGTATATTTTGGTCAATTTACAAAGCTTCAGCGCACCATACATTATCGTAATTGTGATTTGATGACCGAAAATCCAGTCTAAAAAATGACAACAATCCCATATTAAAGAAACGCTCCGACCTGGTTAATACAGTTAACTGGAAACGCTCCCGGTACTAGTCTAGATATGTTTAGGCATTTAAGAATTAGCTTGACTTTCCTTTTCAAGAAGAGAAAGAAAAGATCTATTATATCCCTTGGCATCAAAAGAAGAAAGATTAATCCACATATAAACGTTTTGTTTCTTTGTCAATAGTTTGAGCACACATGTAGGCATATAGCATCTGATGTAGGCTTCAGTCCGATAGTTGCATGTGTAGCACCACCAGATTGGGAAGTTTCAATTTGCCTAACTAGTACAACACGTTTTTTAGAGATAGATTCGATTACGAACTCATCTCTAATAATCTGAAAATAATATCAAAACAAAATGGTAAGAGCGTTTCTAAAATTGTGTCCAAAATCGACGGAGCGTTTCGAGAACAAGTAATGGATTTGGACAGGAATTTTAGCAAATTAGCATATACGAGTTTGTGATCAACTACTTTGACAGAAAGATTAACGTTTTCATTTAAATACTACTTTAATTCGTAATTTATGGTCAATTCGTCAACTTCAGATTCGTTCCATCTACACTACGGAGCTTTGATCAAGCAAATAACAGTTTACCACCAGAAGTTGAATAAATAAGATCTTTGCTCGGGGTATTGTTCATCGAATGGCACATAATTGGTGGATTTACACTTGCGCGCTAAGACGTCTTAGCTAAAACGTTTTAGCGTTAAAACGTTTTACAAATGTAATGTTAATCCAGATTTACTCAAGAGCTCTCGGCTAAGAGCGCTTAGCTAAAACGTTTTAGAACCCTAGTCATAGCCAAGACGTCTTAGCGTTAAAACGTTTTACGAAGCAAGTGTAAATCCATCGGTTTTAGCTAAGAGCTCTTAGCCCGGTTTTTTGCGTTGCGCCGAACGAAACATTTGAAACTTTCCATTTACATATGTCGCATGGTCCTTTATTTTGCCTTATCCCTTGTTCCCAATATCATCCCAAAATTATTGAGAAGAACTTATTTGCATGGCGATTTATCATAATCCTAATTTATGCATAAAATCGTCCTGCTCTCTTTCATGCTTTTAACAATGCTGTCTTTAGGACATATTTTTCTGAAACCGATGCATTTTTAGTACAAAGTCGAGTACGAAGTATAGAAGCGGGAAAGGAATAGCTATATTGACTGAACCGTCCTTCAACCAGTACTGAACTGCTTTTTTCATTTTACATGTATACCTACATATCTCTAAGACGTTTTAGGAAAACAGGTGTAAACTCGATCTTATTTCCTAAGACGTCTTGAAAATGGTAATGTAAACTCAACTTAATTTTCCTAAAACGTTTTAGCCAAAACGTCTTGAAATGCTGCGCGTAGTGTAAATTGGGCTAATATGTCACCATAGCGTATGATATTTAGGAGAAACGAGTGAAACAATACTTACGGTCAAAGTGGGATCTTCAAACGCCGCCATTTTATTTTGCTGCGCAGCGTTTCCATGTGAATGAAACGCTCCGCCATGCATGTGAGAGCGTTTGGGTTAGACACAGTGATGCTGCATTTGCATTTATCAGTTCTAGATCAGCACGCCCGGTCAGCACGTTGAATTTTGCAAATGGGCCCACATGGATATGACCTGTAAGCTATCACGAGCACATTGGAGAATCTCAATGAATTAGATAGACCAACCCAGTAAAGCATCATCACCACCATCACTCGAACCCAACCCCCACCTATTGATCAAGGGTCTCGCATATTTTTTTATGTACATTGTACAGCGTTTATAACATGACTTTTCCACAAATATGCAAATTACACTGTCCATGTTATACACTCGTATATAAAGACTTTTTGCTTATTTGTGCATGCATTCTTACTGTTTTAACGAGGCGTATAGCCTTTTTATTTTTTCGTGAAGCCATGTGTTCCTGACACGTTTGGGCGTCCGGGAATAACAACGTCTACCCAAAGTTTGCACGCAAAATTGACGTAATCCATGACTGAAATCGGGAAGACGAAATTTGAGATTCACAAACAAAATTGCTTGTGAAAACTATTTACAAAAGTGTTCCAGAGACTCTAATCTACTTGGCTAAGGCGGATACATTGCCTTATTAAGCAGGTAGAGGGGCATACAGAACACGGAAGCAAATGCTTTAATTGTTGAAAATTTCAGTTTTAACATGTTATTACATGTCACGTAGGCCAGTGTTTTACATGGGGATTATAAGTACTTTACTTGTTTACATGAACGTGTATCATTACATGAAATCTGCAGTCTTCTGGGTTATATCTGGGTTTGTATAGTCTTATTGGGGCTTTTCGACTTTAAAACAAACCTTACCTAAATGGATTTGTGTCTCGGGAACATTTTTGTAAATTTTTGTAAATAGTTACTATATTTATAATATTCTGAAAGAATATCACATATTTTTATCTGCCCGATTTCAGTCATGAATTACGTCAATTTCGCGTGCAAACATTGGGTAGACGTTGTCATTACCGGATGCCCAAACGTATATTAACATAGATACTCGAATGATGTTGATTGGACATCAGGGTGTAGAGAAATCGTAATTTTACTGAGTGGCTCCACGAAAAAATAAGCAGCACTTTAGGCCACCTTAAACAGATGCTAAAACAGGAGAGAAAAGCTCACTCACCTCCTGTGGTGGACACTGCTAAAATCAGAACTTTTAAAATGTTAATACATCCAATACGACTGTACATTTTATTCAACAGAAGTTCTCGATGTGCCGCCCTGCTACAGTGTGCTATTGCTATTTATTCTTAGTATTCCCAGCTATATTCAATTAAGAATGGGTTCACTTCACCCTATGCAGACAGAGCCTGTGGGAAATATTGGGTGCGGCGCAAATGAGCGGAGGGTGCGGAGCTAACGGTCATTTTTGAATTTAAAATTGGGGTATTTCTGAAACTAAGCCGTTTTGGGACTTCAAATATACCAAGATATGTGTATTTGACACCAAATATCAATAAAATTGTGAAAATAGTAGCGCAATTCATTTATAGCGACGCAGTATGCCTTAAACATTTCCCAGACCTATATATTTTGAAATTATCCTTTTAATACTGAGTCCCCAGCATTCATAAAAAATGGTGTTCAAGATACACTACCCATGCAAATTATTTTTGCATCTTGGAAGCCAGGCAGTATCTGTGTGATTTTATAAAAATTCGGAAATGTTCTTCAGATATGAGCCCATCTAAATATTGGGTGCGGAGCTACGTTTATGGAGCTGCTCCGCACCCAATATTTAGAGGGGCTCATATCTGAAAAACATTTCCGAATTTTTATAAAATCACACTGATACTGCCTGGCTTCCAAGATGCAAAAATAATTTGTATAGATAGTGTACCTTGAACACCATTTTTTATGAATGCTGGGGACTCAGTATTAAAAGGATAATTTCAAAATATATAGGTCTGGGAAAGGTTTAAGGCACACTGCGTCGCTATAGAATGAATTGCGCTACTATTTTCACAATTGTATTGATATTTGGTGTCAAATACACATATCTTGGTATATTTGAAGTCCCAAAACGGCTTAGTTCCAGAAATATCCCAAATTTAAATTCAAAAATGACCGTTAGCTCCGCACCCTCTGCTCATTTGCTCCCCACCCAATATTTCCCACAGGCTCTGTCTGCATAGGGTGCACTTCCTTAATAGAATATCTGTTGGAACTTGAACTTCGATTTTGTAAGTGTAAGCAGATGTATTTATCATACAGTGAGACATATGAGTATGTCGTTTTTATGATCCTTATACCACTCTATGTAGACTGTGCTATACAAAAACAAGCGGTGTGGAGTATCATGTGTGCAAGGTGCAGATATTAACGATCATTTTTGAATTTGATTTCGTGATATTTCACCAACTTAGGCATGTTGGGTACTCAGTTATATTCATACATGTACAGGTTCCCTAATAAAAAGGATATTATGTAAATAGGTGTGTAGTTCATTCTATAGCGACACATCAAGCCTATAGAGCAGTGGCGTAGGAACAATGTACGCCAAAACGCCAATGCGTAGTGTTGAAAAGCTAGAATAAAGAAGCTTATTAATTTCCCTATGTTCTTTAGTCATATTTCCTCATTGTTAATAAATTGCCAAGTTTGTGATATCGAGCACACTAAAGACATGTTTTTGGACACCATTAGGCTATGTTCCATCTTTTCAATAGTACTCTTTGCAAGTTTTTTGTGCCTCTGTTATTTTCTAGCTTCGGCCACAGATAAATGGCACTTTTTGGCGTAAGAATCAAGGTGATTGGGGGTAGAGGGGCAAAGCTATGACAGTCGGATGTTTAAGCCAATAAAAATGAAATTCGTAAAATATTGATAGTCACATTGTTTCTAATAGTGTAGAAAGTGCATTTTAATCATTATGTGTTTGGTAGATAGTACTCATTTAACAGATTGAATTCTCTTTCCAACATGCTTTATTTCATGAAAATCGATTTTAGTTAATTTTTGTCCATGTTCCGTAATGCTTATGTAAACTGTGGTACCAGAATTATAATCATAAACCTCTCCCAATATAAGATGTAGTTTTTTTTATTTTCCCCTACCCCCGATTTTTCAATTTCACCAATTCAATTTATATTCCGTTGCTATGTGGTTGCTAGCGAAAAGCAAGGACCGAATTTATATTGAAACAATAATAAGTCAGCATTTATCTATTATCTTACTAAATCACTAATTGTTATTGTTATTTGTAGTACTTCTTGAAATATAATGTTAAAGACAAAAACAAGTTGAACTTGAACTTGTTATTTATTCAGTTACGCGTTCCACTGATTTTGATGAGTTTTCGTGATGCCTGCTAAATTCGAAAGTACATAACTTCAGTTCTAGGAAAGCAATTACCCTAATTGTTATTTCATTTGAAAGATAATAGACTATTATTTTAGGAAATAAACTATTTAGGCACATTTAATTCTTTTGAAAGGAAATTAACAATTTACCACAAAATATCACGTTGACCTTTGTTGAGGGGGGTTTGCGAATTAGTGTTATAAAAAAGGTTAGAGTTAGTTGTATCATTGATCACGGACATGTTTCTATTGATTATACTATTTTCTTTAATCTGTATTGTCGAGATTTAAAAGATCGGCTTTCCATGGTGATTTTATATGATGAAAAACATTCGAACATTTTAAGCACATTAGAAAGGTATTACCATAAAAATCACGTTTTACGAACATAAAATAGGCGTTTTGATATCAAAGATTTGACACAATTTTTTCATATTTTTGGCGTAGTGTTGAATTTACACCTTCCTACGCCCCTGTAGAGGTAGCGCATATCCGATAAATGTTTTCAATTTGTTTAATTCTGAGAGAAAGTTTATGACTTTCAAAATGCAAAAACCAATTTACATCGATTGGTCATCTCGAACACCAATACTGAATGAAGGCTGTTAACTGTAATAAAGCAGCAATTTCAAATTCTTTGCTATGGAGCAAGGATGATGCTTAGTTCGACGATAAAGAATGGATAATACGACTGCAGACAAAATTTCCCTTTTATTTGGTATCCTGTACAAATGAATGACTATAATCAGTATAATTAAGTACGCAACGTGCCTTAGTTTGTGAAATATCACAAATTCAAATCAATGACCGTTAATATCCACACCTTGCCCACATAATATCCGCACCGCTCGTTTGCGTATCACGGTGGGTATAGTCTGTCACGTGACTTAGTTTTCGTATGTGTGCGCATGTTGCATTTCTGTCGGCACTTCAAGAATGAAAGTACACTTTTAACACATTTTTAGACTTTATATCTCTGTGAAACTTGTCCCATACCATCAATATGATGGGATGATTTGATTCACCAACTATTTCATTCAAGCGCTCCCGGTTAAAGATAAATTCGCACTTTTATGTCTAAGAAAATCGTATGTGGGAGAATGAATCAAAAACCAAAAGGAGTAAGCCTATATCCGCGAATTCTAAAAGATCTTTTCCATTTGAAACATTTCTGCAAGGTAAGGACTCTTATGGCCCTCTTATTACTGGGCAGAAAACCGTTATATTCTATTCTCATACTCATAAGTCATTTCTCCTGGGTCAAGACACCAGTGAGATCATCATGACAGAGTAGGAAACGTTGGTTTTTGTGCCCTGGGTCGTACAGTAGCTTATAAGATCTAGACAAGAAGTTATGGTAAGTTGAACCATTTGAAGTCCATGGTTGAACCTCTAACATAACTTATCTATCAACAACTAAATGTAGTCATATTTTTGAAAGCAAGTCAGGTGTAGAAGTTTCTAATTGAATAATTTCATCTCATCACATATGGTCGTGAATTCACAATATGACTTTTGGTTTTCGATTTTCAATCAAACAGTGTGAGTCAATATCACACCGGAATAGCGTGACAACGGTAAAGTCAGATACCGTTTCCACAAATGGCGAACTACGAGGGGTGATCAGGAATTTCTGGACTGTTAGCTCTATTTTGGCCATTATTTATCCTTTCTTACTGATTTTTTCACATAATATAAACCAAATATATAGGATCACATCATGAAGATTTCATTGTTCTATGACATCATTATCCTATTATTTTTGTTACCATGGTAACTGGTGGCGCGACAAGGTGGAGCTCAGAAAAAATACCAAATGAAAAACAACAGTAATTTTATATGATGTTTGGACACTGTATTCATTGCTGAACATGTGACATACTGAATAGGTTGTGTTATTTCATTAAGTATATTCATTAATGTTCGTCATTATTCTTCTATCAATTCTAATCCTTCAAAGTAGTTACCAGTACTTTGTAAGCATTTGTTATATTATGCCTTTTCAGCCAGTCCTGAAAGATACAGACCGTCTTTGCCTACTTTGTAACATTGGTGTGTGAATTCCTGAATGATCTCATTACTGTCCTCAAAGTGGATACCTCATAATTTGGTCTTCACTGTTGGGAAAAGATAGAAATCATAACCAGCTAAGTCTGGGGAATACGTGGTGGTACACGGCCACAACCGATGGAAACAATTACATTTTGTCGGCAAAGACGGTCTGTATCACGTCTTTCAGGAATGGGTGAAAAGGGATAACAAATGCTTACAAAATGCTGGTAACTACTTTGGAGGATTAGAATTGATGGAAGAATAATGACAGTTACTATGAACATTAATGGATATACTTAATGATATAATACAACCTATTTCAGTATGTTTGTAACATATTCAGCAATGAAAACAGTGTCAAAAAGTGGCATGTAAAACTACTGTTGATTTTTCAAATTTGGTATTTTTCTGAGCTCCACCTCGTCGCTTCACCAGTTACCATGGTAACAAGAATAAAAAGATAATGATTTCACAGAAGAATGAAATGTTCATGGTGTGATCCTATATATTTGAGTTATATTGTGTGACAAAATCACTAAGAAAGAATAAGAAATGACAAAAATAGAGCCAACGGTCCAGAAATTCCTGATCACCCCTCGTATGTAACCGTCGCTTCAACTCTTCAATCATTTGGTTCTCTCTTGTCTTTGGGTGGGTTCTATGTGGCTTCAAAGTTGACCAGAATCATTTACTAGAAGGGGTTCAATGTAGTGAATAACAACAATGGACTTAGAGTAATTTCGAAACAAAGAATTAACATGCAAAATGTCACCAACTCATATTTGTTACAGATGTTGACAACTGAACACCGTCCACAGAAAAGTTGGTGACAATATAACACCACTTCTGGTGGTGACAATATAACACCACTTCTGGTGGTGACAATATTACACCACTTCTGGTGGTGACAATATAACACCACTTCTGGTGGTGACATACACAGACATACAGTCATAAAAATGGTTGCAGTTTTTAAGGTCACCCTGAATTTTGATGTGTGCATCTCGAACTTCACATTCTAGTGATAACAGGACAATTGTTTAATTTATTTATACATAATATAAATACTGTTTATTTTCATATACCATCAACTTTTACCAATAACAAGTTTTGTCTAAATTTAGTTCTCGTCTATCTTAGATTATGCAGTTCAAAGGATAACAATCAATATTTTGAATTTATATGCAGTAGTAAGCACATGTGAAGGCTAACAATTGTAACAATCCGGAAAACAATGAATCAAGCGATAATTTTCGAAAACTGACTCCACATATTATTAATTAGTTACTTTAAATCACTATCAACATTTGTATTCAGGAATACAAGCATCAAAAAATATTCAGATAAGTCTCTTAAAATAAACTGAAATAAAACTGCCTAGCTTGTCTTTACTAAAATGTTCCAATGGTTTAGTATTTCCGTGTCTCAGTTGTCCTATTTCTGATGTCTACAATTTCCTAATCAGTCTAGCATTACTGCAAGCCTAAAAGAACACAAATAAATAAATGTTATGATAATCAGTATATTCAAATTCTAGAAATCATACGCATTGAATTGAAAATTGATTATCAATATATTCAAATCCTAGATCTCATAAGCGTATTGAATTGAAAATTGATTATCAGGAGGTATTCAAATGCTAGATCTCATAAACGCATTGAATTGAAAATTGATTATCAATATATTCAAATTCTAGATCTCATTAATGCATTGAATTGACATTGATTATCAGTATATTCAAATCCTAGATCTCACAAACCCATTAAATTGAAAATTGATTATCAATATATTCAAATCCTAGATCTCATAAGCGCATTGAATTGAAAATTGATTATCAATATATTCAAATTCTAGATCTCATAAACGCATTGAATTGAAAATTGATTATCAATATATTCAAATTCTAGATCTCATAAACGCATTGAATTGAAAATTGATTATCAATATATTCAAATTCTAGATCTCATAAACGCATTGAATTGAAAATTGATTATCAATATATTCGAATAATAGATCTCATAAGACCTCATTAGTTAAAAATATAATTGGAATGGAACATATGGGATAAACTTGTCCTTTTAACATCAAGGGTAAGGTTATCAATATCAGAGAGTTTTCTTATAAAAAGCTCCAAAAATGTTTTCTTTACAACATCACATCACCACCCCTTATAAACGATCATGCTCATAATGGTCCTTTTTCCCTATAGCTTTGAAATCTCGTTAAAGTCTCATTTTTAATGAGATTTTAGGAGATCTGCATTTTAACCATTAAAGACTAACATTTTCTTCTATTTGAAGGCATTTTAAAATCTGTGTGTAATTTTCTATCAAAACACCATTATTTACCTTTATTCAAATTCTAATGATTTACTAGTTGTCTAAAAAAGGTCGGGCTAAATCCCCATTGACACAATGCTGAAAAACCTTTAAAAGTTCATTTACTCTTACAAGGATCACAATTCTAATGTGAAATCACAATCCACATGTCAATAAGATCATATAGTTATATTTCAATGGTGTTTTAAGTTGATCCAAATGAAATTACTTCTTAAATCAAGAAATTAAGTGACTCTGGCAATACATTTACATGTATTCTAGCCCTACCAATACCCATGATGCCATCTATTTTTCATTTATATGGAAAAAGGTCAATTAAGCAATGGCTAGTGATTTGATTACACCATGAGATTTTGCAAGTGATGGTTATTCCATTTTTTCAATTTTGTTTAGTAGACAGCCTTTAATGAGAAACCTTTAATGAGAGATTTTATACTTGCATCCAGTGTCCTATTTGGTATTTTATTCATGAAATTCACTACTCACCATTGGCCACCTTGCACTGTCGCAAAGCTTCATTAAAACCCTGGCAGAGAGATACATCACTTTGATTTTGGGCACATTCAATAAATTGCTTCAGTTCAAATTGGCAGACACCCCCTTGGGTCTGCTGAGCCTGTTGGTCCATATAGGACATTGGGGCTTGCTGGTAGGGCTGTTGTTGCATTGGCTGTTGTGGCTGTTGAGGCTGTTCCGCTTGTGGTGCAGCCTCGTTACTCCCTCCTCCACTAGTCATCATATGTCCTATAGTATGACCCTAAAAATAAAATGTGGAATTAATGATCAATCAATCTATGATATGAAAGATACACAGAATTGAATCAAAAATGACAATTAAAAGCACTTAATTTAAAGCATGCGAGGACACTATTTCACTATAGTTATCTTTGTCTCAAATCAATTAAATTAGGATAAGATATTCAACAATTCTTTTTTTATTCTTTATTTATTTATTTTTAAAAGTGTAAACATAACATTAGTGCAAAGACTTTTCTCCAACATAAATGTGTGTATGTAAAAAGTACACTGCAAAACAAACTTAAATTTTACAGAAAATAAATTGTGTGAATTTCCAACTTTTATATTTATAATCATAAGGGGTAAATAAAAAATTAAGAATGATTAGCAAAAATACACTGAGATGTGAGCTCATGTAATATTAATCATGCAGCATATATTATCTTAAAGCCTGATGAAATGTAATCTTCTATTAAGAGCTCAAAGTCCATAAAGAAACTCAATAGCCTCCAATAGAACTTGTAAATACATGTAAATACTAAATAATGTACAGTTCTTACAAGCATTCTAACCACAGAAATATAAACATATCTAAAATATAATCTCAAATGAATACTGGTAATAAAGTTGAGTTCTAACAAAGTACTAACCACTGATCATACTAAAATATAATCTCAAATGAATGCTTGTATTAAAGTTGAATTTCTACAAAGCGGTCTTACCACTGACATATAATCTAAAATATAATCTCAAATGAATGCTTGTATTAAAGTTGAATTTCTACAAAGCATTCTTACCACTGACATATAATCTAAAATATAATCTCAAATGAATACTGATAATAAAGTTGAGTTCTAACAAGTACTAACCACTGATCATACTAAAATATAATCTCAAATGAATGCTTGTAGTAAAGTTGAATTTCTACAAAGCATTCTTACCACTGACATATAATCTAAAATATAATCTCAAATGAATACTGATAATAAAGTTGAGTTCTAACAAGTACTAACCACTGATCATACTAAAATATAATCTCAAATGAATGCTTGTAGTAAAGTTGAATTTCTACAAAGCGGTCTTACCACTGACATACAATCTAATATATAATCTCAAATGAATACTGATAATAAAGTTGAGTTCTAACAAAGTACTAACCACTGATCATACTAAAATATAATCTCAAATGAATGCTTGTAGTAAAGTTGAATTTCTACAAAGCATTCTTACCACTGACATATAATCTAAAATATAATCTCAAATGAATACTGATAATAAAGTTGAGTTCTAACAAGTACTAACCACTGATCATACTAAAATATAATCTCAAATAAATGCTTGTAGTAAAGTTGAATTTCTACAAAGCATTCTTACCACTGACATATAATCTAAAATATAATCTCAAATGAATACTGATAATAAAGTTGAGTTCTAACAAGTACTAACCACTGATCATACTAAAATATAATCTCAAATGAATGCTTGTAGTAAAGTTGAATTTCTACAAAGCGGTCTTACCACTGACATACAATCTAATATATAATCTCAAATGAATACTGATAATAAAGTTGAGTTCTAACAAAGTACTAACCACTGATCATACTAAAATATAATCTCAAATGAATGCTTGTAGTAAAGTTGAATTTCTACAAAGCGGTCTTACCACTGACATACAATCTAATATATAATCTCAAATGAATACTGATAATAAAGTTGAGTTCTAACAAAGTACTAACCACTGATCATACTAAAATATAATCTCAAATGAATGCTTGTAGTAAATTTGAATTTCTACAAAGCGTTCTTACCACTGATCATATCTACATTATGATCTTAAATATAATCTCAAATGAATACTGGTAATTAAGTGTTCTTACCACTGCTGATCCTATAGCTACACCAGCAGCTGTGGATGCAACTTGTGCCATCATCCCTGGCTGTTTAGGCTGAGCCATCATTGGGGCTGGGGCTGCTTGGGGGGCAACAGCAGGTGAGGTTTGCCTCGGGGGTGGGGCTGGGGCACGGGCTCGGGCTGGTGGTGGCGAAGGCCTGGCAAAATTAAAATACATATATATATATATAAAAGTTTCTGTGAGGAACAAATCATAAATGCTATTCACAGGATGATTTTGTATGTTATATGCCAGTGACAGGGATCCTCAACATCTGGGGGGTCCCCAGGGGGGGGGGGGTACCCTTTTCAACACGTTCTGCACAAGCAATAGCAGTTTGTACAAAGTTGTTGATTTTCTTTCTCAGAGATATTTATTCCTCTTTTTGACGTTTCGTAGGATATCCATCCTACTTCTTCAGAAATAAGATTATATTTGAATCAAACTGAAATAATTAATTATTACATAACAATGAGACAAAAAAAAAATAGCAGTTTGATTCTGTGTTTGTATTTTTCTTCCTAAGCTGGACAACATAATCTGTAGCATCAAAATACAAGAGGCCACACTTTTTATTACCGAGACCAAAAGAAATGCAAAATATACAAACAAACATTTCCCATGTATTTATCCATACAATTTGTGGCCTTTGATGATTTATTTCTTTAATTTGATTGATGGAAAAAGTGATATGGACTTAAAGCATTTCTAAATTCTTTAATATAAATTTGATATCGAAGAGGAACAGTAACTATTGTATAAAAAATTGCAAATTAAAGTTGAAGCTTGAAAACTCCGGAGCTTTTTCTCAGAGCAACTTGTCTAATCTGGAAAATTCTTGCGCCATATATAGCTACGTTGTTTTGCTTCATAATAATAATGGATTTGTGCTGTAAATCATTTTCTCTCTATCAATATCGTGTATGCACTGTCTTTTATTGACCTACTTATTTTTGCGAGATCGCATATGTAAATCAACAAGAAGTGGCGTAAAGAAGAATTTCATATTGGTACTAGTGGGATCTCATTCATGTGTAAACTACTGTACGCCCGGTATTATTCGCGTGCGATTTAGTTTCGCGCTATTCGCGAGGGTGTTAAAATCGCGAAAAATTATCGTCGCAAAATTGCCAATTAAATCCCTGGGAATTTGTTTTTGCCCGGGGCTCTGATGCATTTTGTTTTGGGTAAAACGTTTCCTATTGGCACGTTCGATAACCAATTTTATAAACTGACCTCATTTGCCATTGAAATGGATACTAGTACTGTATCCCAATGTTCGCTGTTGCTTTATGAGTTTTCTCTACTAGTTTGGATCGAGTTATAGTACTTCAATAGTACTGTGCAACTCCATGACTTTACTATGCGCATGCGCGGCAATGAAAGAGCATGTGCGCATCCCCGAATATACGATAAAATACAGTATGAAGTACGGTAAAGTTATTATGGGAGCCACGCACTTTTGCTTTAATATTAAAAAATGACGATGCAATAGAGGTTGATATGCAGCTTGCCGATGATAAAGATCCCAGTTATTGTAAATCTCATCCAAATATGACATCAGGTAAGTGCAATTACTGTACATCTAACTTAATTTACACACGAGTAGCTCGAGAATTCCTGGAATAAAATGAATTTCAAACTTGTGAAATTCGCGAAATTTAATAGCCGCTAAATCGTGTTTTCGCAAAATTCGCGAAATTAAATCTCGCGAATAATACCGGGCGTACATGAGAAGTGGGGCTATTGAAGAATTTTAAATATCTACCAACGATGATATTTGTACAATATCAAGAATATTATACTGTCTAGCTAAAACAACAAATTTAGAATACATTTTTTGTACTGGATCCTAATCATCCAAATTCCATTGGTCCAAAACGTCCAAGTCTACATAGTCCACTTCACATTCCTACAAAACCCTATTGTCCAAATCACAATCGTCCAGATCTTATTGGTCTGAATCCAAATTGTCTGTATCGGCACAAGGTAATCCAGGGTAATCCAGGACCAACTGGAGCTGCGGCCATAATTTACATTAAATGGCCTATCTTGTACACCGATCTGTTTGGGTAAACCAGGGATACAAAAAGGAAACAACCACCAGGCTGAGATTCTCGCTCTAAGATTGGCGATGGAATTCCTTTTCACTAATAAGACTAACAACAATATCATCATATTAAGTGACTGTCAACCTGCGGTAACATCAGCATTTATTGCCACTAAACTAAGAACACTTAACAAGGACATTCTGATTATTAGAGAGAAATGCAAAATACTCTCCAGCCAGGGCAAAATCATCAATATCCACTGGGTTCTGGGTCATCTTGGGATATCAGGAAATGAACTGGCAGATAAATCAGCAAAGAAAGCAGCAAAACAAACTCAAAGACAAACAAACTCAAAGCAGCTAAGACAACCAAATCAGCTGCATATAAATATATTAAAGACAACTCACTATCAATATGGCAGAGAAGATATAATAATTCTGCCAAGGTCAGTCATGTGCAATCAAGTATCACCATGGTCCAAGATAAAAAGCCCATTCTAGCTATTGGTAATAGAAAATCACGCACTTTGATAAATCAGATCATATCAGGTCATACCAAGCTTAACAACCATCAGAATAAGATCAACCCAAATGTAGACTCTCCTAATTGTCCTCAGTGCAACATCCCTGAGACTATAAAACATTATGTTTTTTTTTTTTTTAAAATAGTCTTTATTCAACTTTTGGTTATTTTACATAACATAAACAATGACATAAAGTAGATAATTCATACAATTTTCATTTTAATAGTTTTGATACAAAATTCCACTTTGAACAATAAAATACATTTTTTCTGTAATTAATTTCATATTTTATCAATGAAATCATGCTTTCAAATGTTCTTTGTTTTTTACTATTCAATTCTAAAATATATGATTTATAAATACTGTTTGTAACAATGCTGATAAAATAATTTAAAAAATGTGTATATGAGTCATGGCCATTATAACCAATTATAATTTTTCTGTAAGAAATATTAAGGCCACATGTTTTATGTATCAGTGCCCATATATCTTTTGCTAAGGAACATTCAAAAATAATATGTTTCAAGTCACATAAATTATTGCAAATACTACAATGATAATTATCTGTTATCCCATAGAGAAATAAGTCAGTTAATCCAGGAAGAATATTGTTAATTATTTTGAAGTTAAAATTGGCAATTTTTTTGTCTTTAACTTTTATTATCTTGCTAGTAAAAAAATTTGGCCAATTTATTTCATCTATTTTACCTTCATTTGTAATACAAAAATCTCTTTCCCATTTCTTGTAGGTAAACCATTTTTCAGATTTTTTATTTTTCAGTATTGTATAAAAGAAATTGGATTTTTTACCTCTAAAGTCTAATTGGATGTTTTTTACTTTAAAGTTGGGTTTTCTTGGTATATTTGTGAATTTTACTTGTTCTATATTAATAAAGCATTTTATTGATTTCATTACAGTTAGGACTTGAAAATATTCAGAAATCCAATTTTTTTTATTTTTTAACTTTTCAAAAATATAGTTAACATTTAAAAATTCATTTTGAGTTATGAGATCTTTGACATAGATAATATCACTATCTATCCAAGGTTTGAAGAAAAGTGGTTTGCCTTTCAATTGAAATAATCTGTTATTCCATATGGTTTGTTGGATTATTTCATGGTGTTTTAATTTATTGATTATATCATGGTCTTTACAACTATTATATGCTTTTAGAACTTGTTTATAGAACACAGGCAGTCTATCAAGATGCTCATTAGAGAAAACATTCATTTTTAATAAAATGTCCATATTCGGAGCCAGTTTGCTAAAATAAAAGTACGGAATTTTATTAAATGTGTTTTTTTGTCATATATACGACTAATCCATACAGCTTTTAGAGCATTTAGCTGTGATTGAAAATCTAACATGTTTAGACCTCCACTGTCTATAGAGTTTATTACAATAGTTCGTCTTATCTTGTCTTTCTTCCCATCCCATAAAAAGTTGTATATTAAATTGTTAATTCGTTTAATAATTTCTTCTTTAAATGATAAAATAGATGCTGAATATACAAGTTTTGATATGGCTAAAGACTTTATAATAGTGATTTTTCCAAATAAAGTAAGGTAGCGTTTTTTCCAAGAATCTAATGTTTTTTCAAGGTCATTTATTTTCTCATTCCAGTTTAAATCATAGCATTTATTTTCATTATGACCTATGTATATGCCTAAATATCTTACAGGTTCATCTGTAAAATTAATATTTTCAAATTTACTTTCAAAAGCACGATTGGTTCCAAGCCATATTCCTTCTGTTTTATTTAAATTGAGTTGTAGGCCTGAGTATTTTGAAAATTGTTTAATGGTTTTTAATGCTTCACTTATGGATGCTTTGTCTTTCATAAATAATGATGTATCATCTGCTGATTGTGATATTTTATACTCTGTGTTATCAATTTCAATTCCTTTGATTTTTTCATTTTGAATCAGTTTTAAAGACATAACTTCACAGCATAATATGAATGCGATTGCAGAAACGGGGCAGCCCTGCCGACATGAGCGTTCCATAGGAATATTATGAGATAGCCATCCATTTTGTTTAATATTAATAAATGGATTTGTATATAATAATTTGAGCCATTTTATGATGTTATCATTAAAATTAAATTTTTTTAAAGTTTCAAACATAAAGTTCCATTCAATAGAATCAAACGCTTTTTGAAAATCTAAAAATAGAATTGTTCCTTGATCCGTGTTATTGTTGTTAAAATAATCAAAAATATCTATTACTAAGCGACAACTATTGCCAATGTATCTACCATTTATATATGCAGTTTGATGTAAACTGATAAGTTTCCCAACTACTAACTGTAGCCTGTCTGCAAGTACAAAGGCTAATATTTTATAGTCAGTATTTGATAAGCTTATTGGTCTATAGTTCTTTAACAATTCTCTATCACCTTTTTTGTATAAAAGTGAAATAATGATTTTTCTAAATGAGGTTGGCAATGTGCCAGTATAAAATGATTCGTTAATTGCATCTAAAACATAGTGCTTGATGTCAGACCAAAAATATTTGTAAAAATCTGATGTCAAACCATCAGAACCAGGTGATTTATCAGATTTCATCTTTTTTATGACAGTTGAACATTCTGATTCTGTGATTTCACCTTCTAATAATTTATTATCATTTTCACTAAGTTTCACTGGAAAATCAATCGTATTTAAATATGCTTTAACTTTTTCTGTATTTTGAGCTTTTGAGGAATAAAGTTCTGAATAGAACTTAATCTCTTCTTCAAGAATTTCATTGTCAGAACTGATTATAGAGTTGTTACTAGTCTTTAATGAAGTAATGGTATTACTCATTTGTCGTGATTTTTCCAAACTAAGAAAATATTTTGAATTTTTTTCACCAAATTCAACGTTCTGTTCTTTTGCTCTTAAAATTGCACCTTTGGTTTTTTCTTCGAGCTGTTTTTCAAAAATCAGGAGGATTTCCTGTTCTCTTTGTTTTTCTTTTTGGTCTAAATTTGAATTATTTTCTAGGTTGTTTAATTCTTCTTTTAGTAATGAAAGTTCCATTGTTTTAACTTTGTTTTTGTCTATTGAGAATCTTATTGCACATTCCTTGATTTTTATTTTAAGAAATTCCCATTTCATTTGTTTAGATGTTAATTCATTTATCTCTTCATTATTTTTTAAAAGATCTCTGATTTTCTCAACAAATATATTATCCTCTAGAAGTGTTTTGTTAAATTTCCAATACCCTATAAAACATTATGTCTTTGACTGTTCCAGATTTGAGGCACAGAGGGAACAATTGATGGCTGAAGTAAACACTCTGCTTCTAGGGGCCAAGTATACTCCATGCATCAACATAAAAACACTCACTGGCCTAGATAAGGACATCAACATTGTAATCAACACCAGGATTCTACAGAGATTCCAGGCTTTTTTAGCCTTGACAAAGAGATTTTAACAAAATTAGTGTACATAGAAGAGACAGTGACTCTGTTTTCGGTCATAGATGATGCAAGCTAAATCATCTTATGATTTCAAAATAAGTTTTCAAAAACTCCTAATACCTCAAAATTAATAGCACTCTCTCTGCAACAGTGCACTGTCCAAAAATAAACAAAGTATAAGTGAAAAGCACCAGTGACAACAATTTTAATACAAGTGACAAACTGTAGCAAGTGTCTAAAGGCAGTATTACAGTGCCAATGGTTTCAGACACAGAAACCTAAAGGAAGAAGAAGAAGAAATCTGTATCCCAATTGTCTTGTAGATAAGATGTTTAAATCTAAATATCATAATAGAAAGAATTTGCATCTTTTTAAGCTCAATATATCTAAAACCTGTAATTAATTTGATTCAGATTTGCGCATGTGCATTCTTAAATAATGATCTTGAGATCGCACTTGACCAATAGAAAATGGTTTAAATCGGGTCGTAAGACTCGTACTAATTACTCCTCAGATATCAAGTATTGGATAACTATTTGTCCTATCACATGCCTCGTACTCGTACTATATCGATCAGATATCAACTTACGAGAAGGAAACTTGATTTACGTCCTCTCCATTGAAGCACGCCGTTAATGAAATCACTGGCTTCATAACGCACTTAAATTGCACCTTAACCTTGGTATTAAAATAAAGCGTAAAAAGGGGGGACATTGACCAATGAGATTTGGACGATCAAGATTCAGACGATTGGGACAAACTGACAAGATGTTACTCTGTCAACCTTATGACATTTTCAGCCAATTTTTAAAAATGTCATACCTAAAAATATGGTTTACCCGTACCCGTCTTTCTTTTCGGGTTAGATTGAGCTTTAGCCTGCAGAGCTTTACTTGGCTAGAGGGGATTGCATCTGGAATTCTGTGAACTCTATTTGAAAAAGCTGGCCGTGGTGTCATAAATTTATTGAATATTTTAAAAATCGCCAGATAAATAAATCATTAATCAAACCGGACCCAGCTCAAATCCTTGATGAGATATGCCATGATTTCATCAGGATTTCGTCTAAAATTAAAACAAAATGGCTCCAAGAAAAATGGCGATGTTCGAAAACTGGACGAAATGTCGTTAACGTCTGACATTAGTAACTGGCTGTAAATTCTAAGTTAGCGATCCAGAAGATGTGAACTAATACACTGATCACTTTATGTGTGTTTTGGAATTTTTGGTGAGGTAATAAGACTAAAACTCGCAATTCAAATTGTGATGTGGAAAAATGGCGGACATATGATTTCAAATTTTATGATTACGACATGACCATTTGTTCATGCAGGAATATATCTGTACTGGAAGAAGGTAAGCTGAGCTGAGCAGCCTCTGCTCTAGAAAATTCTGAAAATAGACAGTGATTGAGATTCTTAAAAAACGATTGACTTACCTTGGGGAAGCAGATCGTCCACCTCTTCTAGGCATATTGTTTATTGAGTTGACAGCTTTAGATTAGGTACAAGATGTCTAGTTACTGCGTAATATTTGGAAATGTAACAAAAATAAAAGTTTACGAAATAAGAACCGGAAGTAGTGCTTTTTGATGCGCATGCGTAATTGATTAATTGGGTTGAAAAAACGAAATCATAATAACTTTATTAATAATCAAATCAAATCAAATCATCTACATACAAAAATTTCAATTTTAATTCATTGATTATTTTCTGTTCAAAATACTTCTACCACGTTTTGCTGAAAATGTATTTCACAATTAAATATAATTTCGTTTGATTTATTCACGGTTTGCCATTTGGCTCAATCACAGGTTGTCAAAGAAGCCGAAAGTTCAAATCTGGTAAGATTTTTAATTTAATTCAACCTTTATCCAATCAGACATCCATGTATGATAAATATTCTACTATGATATTATTGCATTCATAATTCTAACAACTTAAGTGGATTAAATTAGCTCACAATAACTTGAATTAGACCTCTGAACTTGGCCAATTTTTATTGGATTATTTTCCCATAGCAACAAGTTTAAAAGTGCCCAGCTCTTTCAGTCAAAAGAAAATATTTTTAATCTGGTTTAGTTATTAATCCAGCAAAGCTTTTGTTAGGGTCTCTTTCAATAGAAATGCAATTCCTAAGTTGATAATACAGTAATAACATTTTCATTGAACTGAGGTCTAGTGTCGAGAAGGCTGTGCACGGATCGGAGGCACGTCAGTTAGAACAAAATTATTCATTCACAGTTAGATCATATTCTGTGAGAAGACAATCATGAATTCTAAAATTAGAGCACGGTCTGCAAAGACCAAAACCACGATAACGAAAACAAATGCTGCAACGGAATCTAATAATGATAATATTGTATTTTCTTATACAAAATCTAGGCCAAAAACTGCCAAAGTACGGACATTGCCAAAGAAATTGCCAACAACATCTACGCCAAAGAGGACAACACAACCTGTAAGGAAAGCAGATCGAAAAGACTCCTTTGAGGACCATGTATATCAACCCAAAACAAACCAATATAAGGGGATTCTAAAAAAGCCTAGTTTAGATTTAGATCTTGATTTAAGTGAAACAACAATCACTAAAGTGGAAGATGATCTACGAATTGAGGACTTGGAATTAACACAAAATACAACAGCATTTATGACTGATATAGAAATGGAGACAGATGACAGTGTGCAGATTTCATCAAAGTTGCGACCAGTGACTCATGATGGAAGTAATGCAGCAAGAGGTGACCAAGCTAGTCCTCGTATGTTTGGTCGATCTAATACATCAAGTCCAACGGGGATGTCACAGAAAAAGGTAAGGACAGTTGAACGCAGTCTTTGAACAGTCATTTTATACAGTAACCATTTTTGAAATGTAATTAATATGAGCCTGGCCATAGAAAACCAGTCTTATCATAAAAATTAAAATTGTGCTGCAGAGCCAAAAAAGTACCCAAGATTATAAGAGGAAAATGTCCAGGGAAAATGTGCTAAATTCCCAATTTGACTTTTTGGTCTATATATGCAAAGAAAAATTGTTAAGACATAAGCCATGGCTCATTTGACAGGTCTCTTTGTGCTTTTTAAGATAAACAAAAAATCAGAATATTGAAAAAATCTGTGATAAGACCCATTTTCCTGTGGCCTGCCTCATATTATCAAAACCCATTAATAATTGATTAATTGTAACAATATGATATAATTATATCACTATAAGTGCCACATGATATGCAATTAATAAATACATGAAATCAATACATACTTGGCTCACATAACAGCTTTGTCGATGTCCTTTTTAAGCCCTTTGTAAGTTTAATTAATTGCATATAGTAGTTACTAGCATGCAATCAAATGGAATGTATAGATCCGAAACTTATTATTAGAAGATTAATCAAGGGAAACGTTCTTTGTAACCATCAATTTCACATATGAGACCCACAAATGCTTTAGCCTTGCCTCAGAGTTTTTTGAGAGTCTGATTATATGCTGCTTTTTCTATGATAAAGAAGTATTTTTAAAGGGGAAAATACTTTCTGACTAATGAATCTTGCAGTTCCATTTTAGGAACAATTTGGATTAACTTTTTTAAGTCACAACTATGAACTGGAATAAAAATCAGGTACAGTAATTTGATTTTTTATTTGGAAAATACTTTAAAGGATGACGAACGGTTAAACTTCTATAAATGCCAGGCATACAAGTTATTGTGACACCTATCTCACCATAGTGAGGAATCAGTTCCATTCTAAAGACACTCTAAAAAGTTGTTCATTTGAGACAGGTGTTAACTTGAGACAGGTGTTCTCTTGAGCCAGGTCAGGTGTTCATTTGAGTGAGGTGTTAACTTGAGTGAGATGTTCACTTGAGTCATGGGTTCATTTGAGTGAGGTGTTCACTTGTGAGCGAGGTGTTCACTTGAGATATGTGTTCACTTAAGAGAGGATTTCACCTAAGACAGGTGTTCACTTTGAGATAAGTGTTCACTTGAGAGAGGTGTTCACTCAAGAGGTGTTCACTTTGAGATAAGTGTTCACTTGAGAGAGGTGTTCACTCAAGAGGTGTTCACTTGAGAGAGGTGTCACTTGTGATACATTCTTTTTAGATGGTTGTTCAATGTTCACTTGAGAAATATTTTCACCCAGGTGAAGAATTTACTTGATTTAGAGAGAGAATTGTTAATTGGAGATGCTGGTACATTGGCTAAAATGAGAAGTGTTCACTAGGGAGAGACATCTACTTCAAAAATGATAATGAGTAGTGTTCCTTATTTAGAGATAGATCCTTCAAAAAGGTGTTCATAATAATAATGATTTGTGTTCATGAGGAGAGACATCAAAGAGGCTTTCATGATAATGAGTAGTGTTCCCTAGGGAGAAACAAATCCTTCAAAGAGGCTTTCATGATAATGAGTAGTGTTCCCTAGGGAGAAACAAATCCTTCAAAGAGGTTTTCATGATAATGAGTAGTGTATGCTAGGGAGAGACATCTATTTCAAAGAGGTGTTCATGATAATGATAACTGATAAGTGTTCACTAGGGAGAGACTTCTACTTAAAGAGGTGTTCATGATAATGAGTAGTGTTTGCTTGGGAGAGATATCTACTTCAAAGATGTGTTCATGGTTATGATAAGTATTTGCTAGGGAGAGACATCTATTTCAAAGATATGTTCATGGTAATGATAAGTGTTCACTAGTAGAGACATCAAAGAGGCGGTCATGATAATGAGTAGTATTCCTTAAGGAGAAACAAATCCTTCAAAGTGGTGTTCATAATAATGATTAATACCTATCACCAGATCCTAACTGTGACACTAAATACAATGTATACAAATTATGCTATCAAATAATTAGGTGACTTACAAATATTCTATGAATTCATAACAATGGCATATTTGTACCTTATTGATTTTATCATGCTATGCAACTAGTTTATTCTAAGATGCAGGTCGGTATTGATCAACCAACTCGTCTATTTACTGAAGGTTTTGTTAAATATAGGTATTCTTTTCAGTGGTTCAATTTGATTCCCGTTGTTGCGTGTTGGTTTATCAATAGCTGATCTGAACTGGTAATTAATCACTTCCTTAGAAAATGATACATGCAAACATGAAGTTTTATATTTTTCTGGTTTTCAATATACAAAAGAATGTTTTTTTTCAATATACTAAAGAATGTATTTTTATGGTAGATAGTAGAACCTGACTTAGTGAACACCTCTATGTAGTGAATACCTGTGTTAAGTGAACATCACTTCAAGACACATTTTAGAATGACTCCTGTATGGAATTCCCTCTTTGTAGTGAAACCTACCGACAATGAACACCTTATTTAGGCTCCATGGCCATGAGTGTTTACTATATACAGGTTTTACTGTATATGCACAAATTCTGGTGCCCTAGGCAAAAGTATGACTGACAAAACTTTGAAGACCCTGAGAAGCTCTTAGAATATTTTATCATTATATTACTTTAAATACAAAAATAAACTTGTCTTTTTAGATTTTAGAGAAAAACACATTTGTAAATTGTTGGTTGCACTATTTTATACAGTTAGCATTTGTTTTCTGATAAGATATCTAAACATTCACAAAAAAATAAGGTTGCATATGAGTATGCAATATCCTTAATTGATATTTAATTGATTTAGTCTCACGGTATCACATTATTAAGAATACAAAGTTGCTTGATTACAGGTAATATGAATTATTCACGGATTAAAATCCATTGTGATTAGAATCGGATTTTGTATTGATTTTTTTTTTTTTTTTTTATTCTCAAATATAATACATAAATACATATACAATAACAATACAATAAATTGTGTATAAGCAGGATTCACAAAAATTGTTTTACAAAAATATTGATAAAGATAAATGTTTTTTTTTCAAAAGTTCTTGATGATGTCTTCAATCCATACACACGGGTAGTATCTAAAGCCCCGCTATGATTGAAAAGTCGCGAGCAAGTTCCCGCTGAAATCGCGAGCATAGTCCTGTTTATTTGTATCACTTTGGAAAATGAACCAAAAGGATGAAAATACTTATTACCGTTCTTTGATACTCCAGCAAAACTTTGAAAACAGATATATTTGACAAAAAATGACATGAAAAATGATTATTTTTTACTTGCACGAAGGAAAGGGGCGTCAACATGCACGTTTGCATAATTTACTGTTCATATATTACCTTTATCGTTAAAATAAAGGCAATAAATACGATTTACATACTCCATAATAAATATCGGATCAAGATGGTCTGTATTGATAAGTTACTGGACAATGACACCTGCCATGGGGGTCGAAATACATTATTAAAGGTGTTCCAGTGGCCCCGCTGAAAAAATGAGGAGGCCCCGCTGAAAACATGAGGAGACCCCGCTGAAAACACGAGCAAATTTCACGACTACCCGCTTCGATCACGAGGAAAGCTTCATCATTATTCCATGAATATAGTGAGCTTCTTTAAATATGAACGTACACGAATGTGCAAATAACGTATTAATGACAATCACATAACATATCATTCTATGGCAACATCACAAATATTTCTTCTTCAACTTCAGGCTTCAGGGAGTTTAATGTACATTCTACATAATTAACTATTCCAAGGATTATACTTCTGAGGACACATATATTTCATTGGTTTCTTTGTCCGACCGTTCATTCGTGCGTGCATTCGACCGACCGTTCGTTCGTGCTTGCGTTCGTCCGAGTCCCGACGGTCGGTTCGTTCATGCGTGCGTTCATCCGACCGATTGATCGTTCGTGCGTGCATCGCCCAATCATGCGTTCGTGGCAGCGTTCGTCCGACCGTCCATTCGTTCGTTCGTGCGTGCATCCATTCGTGCGATTGTCCGTCCGTTTGTGTGCGCATGCGTTCGTCTGACCGTCCGTTTGTGCTTGCTTTCGTCTGACTGCCCTGTTCGTGGGTTCGTCCGTCTAGCCGTCCGTTCGTGCTTTCGTTCAACCGTCCATTCTTGCATGCGTTCGTCTGTTCGTTCTTTTTGCATTCGTTTGTGTGTTCGTTCGTGCGTGCGTTCATTCGTGCGTTCGTTTGTAACTACGTTCTTGCGTGCGTGGGTTCGATCTTTTGTAAATTGTTTTCTTCAATCTTTCCTTCATGCGTTCTTTTGGCCGCCTATCCTTCCGTTTGTTCATTCATTGTTTTTTCGGCTGTTCTTCTGTCCATCCGTGCGTTCTTTCCTCGTCCGTTTGTTTGTTTGCTGGTTTTCATCAAAATTTGTCCTTCCACTGCGATATGAAAGAATGTAAATAATCAAGAAAGCAAGCAAGGAAGTGAGGAAGTAAACAAGCAACGAAGTAAGTAATTGAGTTAGCAAGCAAGTAAAGAAGGAATGGAGGAAGTAAATCGAAGAAGTGAAGGGAGTAATATAAGTAAGCAAGGAAGGAAGGAGGGAAGGAAAGAAGCAATGAAGCAATGAAGGAAGGAAGGAAGGAAGGAAGCAAGGAAACGAGAAAGCGAGGAGGGAAGAAAGCGAGGAAGGAAGCAACTGAGGAAGAAAGGAAGGAAGGAACCGAGGGAGCAAGGAAGGAACGATGCGAGTAAAGAATTAAGCAGGGAAGCTAAGAAGTAAGGAAGCGAGGAAGAAAGGAAGCCAGGAAGCAAAGAAGGAAGGAAACAAGGAAGCAAAGGAAGGAAGGAAGCAAGCAAAGACGCAAGGAAAGGAAGGAAAAAGCAAGGAAGTAAGTAAGGAAGGAAGGAAGGAAGACGGCGAGAATGCAAGGAAGCAAGGAGGGAAGAAAGCAAGGAAGAAATGAAGCGAGAAATGAAGGACACGAGGAAAGAATGAAGGAAACGAGGAAACAAGGAAGGAGGAAAGGAGGAAGTGAGGAAGGAAGGAAACAAGGAAGGAAGGAAGCGAGGAAGCAAGGAGGGAAGGAAGCAATGAAAGAGAGAGGCAAGGAAGCAAGGAAGGAATGAAGCGAGGAAGGAAGGAAGCGAGAAAGCAAGGTGGGAATCAAGCGAGAAAGGAAAAATGCGAGGAAGGAAGCAAAGAAGGAAGGAAGCAAGAAAAGAAGAGGCGAGGAAGGTAGGAAGCGAGGAAGGAAAGAAGCAAGGAAGGAAGCCGGGAAGGAAGGAAGCGATGAAGCAAGGAGGGAAAGAAGCAAGGAAGGGAGGAAGCAAGGAAAGGAGAAAGCAAGGAAGGAAGGATGCGAGGAAGGAAGTAAGCGAGGAAGCAAGGAAGGAAGGAAGCAAGGAAGGAACGAAGCGAGGAAGGAAGGATGCAAGGAAGCGAAGAAGGAAGGAAGTGAGGAAGCAAGGAAGGAAGGAAGCAAGCAAGGATGGAAAGAAGGAAGCGAGGAAGGAAGGATGCAAGAAAGCGAGGAAGCAAGGAGGGGAGGAAGCAAGGAAGGAAGCGAGGAAGGAAGCGAGAAGGGAAGCAAGGAAGGAAGCAAGAAAGAAAGGAGGGAAGTGAGGAAGGAAGGAAGCTAGGAAGGGAGGAAGCGAAGGAATGAAGTGAGGAAGCAAGGAAGGAATGAAGCAAGGAAGCAAAGAAGGAAGGAAGCGAGGAAGGAAGGAAGCAAGGATGGAAGGAAGCGAGGAAGGAATGATGTGAGGAAGCGAGGAAGGAAGCCAGGAAGCAAGGAAGGAAGGAAGCGAAGAAGCAAGGAAGGCAGGAAGTGAGCAAGCAAGTAAGCAACAGGAGATTGATATAGGAATAATATTCATAAACATTATTCTGACTAAATCATTTTATGTTGACCTAAACGCACGCTTATTCGTGTATCTTACTGAATATTGACTTGTACTCAAAGATGGAACAGAGGGGACAGTTGTAATACAGAGAATACAGAATATTTCCTATGGACTATGTAGTAAGATCACACGATAAAAAAACGTTATACAACGATTTGAAGCGCAACATAGGATATATTGTGCTCTCGATATGCTGTATTTCCAAATGATTTCATCTCGTGCCAATACAGAATTTCTTTAGCACAATATATCCTATATTGCACTTCAAATCATTCAATAACTTATATTACTTCAAATTATGAAAATGAGGTTAAATGTTTAACATTTCGTCCGATGATCTTTCTTATTCTGTAAAATGGCACGGAAATATGATACTGCAGTTTTCCATAACAACGTATCATAATATGAACTATATTAACAGTTGTGTTTGCTGTTATTGAGAATTGTATTGACAAATAATGTATTCATCAAACTGGGTACAATAGTGGATCAAGGTGGGTACGAAAGTGGGAGATTTTCAGGGTATAATCGGGATTCACTCCATTTTTGAGAGACACTTGCTCCTGTTTTCAGCGGGACCTCCTCATGTTTTCAGCGGGGCCTCCTCCTGATTTCAGCGGGATCTTTGCTTAATTGCTCCTGCTAGAAGCGGGGCCTTGAGGGATATGATAAAATTTAAATATAAAATGTTCTGTAAAGCTTTAGGAAGTGAAACTCGGTACATCTTTATTTCATATCACTATCGTTATTTCAACCACAGGACAACATCGTTCTTCACCAATAACGTATAGAAATATATAGATAAAGATTCAAAATGATACTTTCTCTCTTCAATTGACAAATAACGAACCACAGAACGACCGTTCGTGATACATTTTTTCCAGCAGTTGCTTTTTTAGTCTCAATACCATGTAATCATTGGGAAAAATTAAAAGAAAACGTTTTGTAAATCATACAATTTAAGAACACAAAAAAGAACCCATGACTTCTTTTTATTCCTCGCGATTTCAGCGGGAACTTGCTCGCGATTTTTAAATCATAGCGGGGCTTTAGATACTACCCGTGATACAGACAAATTGTACTCCTTTTTTATGAGTTTAAATAAGCAGGAATAATATTGTGAATTTCTTATGAAAGTTGTTCGAATGTTAAATAGTTTCCAACTGTTATTGTCTTCTGAAAATTTACACCAGTTGTTATATATTGTGATACCTAAAATTGTTATAATGACATTCCTAAAGCTGGTGATGTTATTTCCAGATAAAAATCCTATAACAATTAAATTCATTCATATTCCTTTCAGATTTTGTATTGATGTTGAGTATTAAATATTCTATTTGTAATTAATGGCGATAATTGATAATTCCATAGAGTTTCATCAGTATCAGGAAACTGGCAACTTTATCCCACTCAGTGTATTTACCGCAATCGATGAACATGTTTTGAATTTTGAACCTTGTCAATGTAAAGATTATACTATACTATTATTACATTATTGTATTGTAGTCTATTAATTTTGCCTATTGTTTTAATTCATTTTGTCTGGTGTCAGAATTTCTATTGAAACCTCTGACACATATGTTGTAATTAATATATCAAATTGATGATGATGATTTGGGTCAGTAGAGCAAGACACACATTTCAAGGGAAAATGTGTTTATTTACAAGTGTCAGGGTTAGCTCAAGATCAACTTTATTTAATTTTAACTTAACACTTATATTTTGATTTAAATCTGGAATTTTATCTCATGGACTCAAAAAATCTCATGATTATCTAGAAATTATTTGTAGATCTTGGCTAAACCCATGCATTAAGACTGCACTATAGTTATATGCACATTTGCTATCACAGGGCAACTAATTTTACAAAGCAAGCACCAAAAAGCCTCTGGCCACTTTACAACTACATTCAAGTATTGAAGAGTATGGTTATAAATGTTTACATATTTCTCATATATGTTTCAGACTGTTACACGATTGGGTAAGAGAACCAAGCTAGAATCAACTCATGCTAATATAGAAGAAATTGATAATGAGGATATTGAATTGTATGAAGCTGACACAGGTACGAGGTCCTCCTCTCAGATGGATGTCAACCAAACAATTGATATCACTGATGACAGAGGTTACGACACCGATCTTGAAAATACTGGTGAGTTTCAGAGTTGGTAGTCATTAGGGGTTAATCTTGGTAGTCATTAGGGGTTAATCTTGGTAGTCATTAGGAGTTAATCTTGGCAGTCATTAGGAGTTAATCTTGGTAGTCATTGGGAGTCATCGGGAGTTTATCTTGGTAGTCATCGGGAGTTAATCTTGGTAGTCTTTGGGTGTTAATCTTGATGAACTAAAGTTTCATTAATATTGTAAATAATGTCAATCCAGGGAGAGGATGTCAGTTCAGCTATAATGACATCAACATAAATTATTGGGTACAATTCATATTGTTAATGAAGCCCGGCCTCAGTCCATATATCTGTCCATTTGTCTATCTGTTCATATTATTGGCTACCCCGTCAGTTCCTATTTTTAGTTGTTCAAGAACCCAATTGTTTATATCGGGAGTAGCTACTCGGAAGGCAAAATGGAAAGAATTAACTTTCGTTTGTATAAAATATTTACAAGATTCAATTCCAAATACTAAATAGGCTTAGGTCAATCCTGCAAACAGTATAATGGAATCGTAAATATAACTCATGCGTTCTGCACAGTGGTTCATTTCTATTCCACTTAATTATTCAAATATATTCCAAATCATCTTTGCAGGTGATTGTCCTCGGCGTTAGCTCAAACTCTCAGAACCATTTAAGAGTACAATTAATAGGGTGGGGATATAATGCAATTTTGTTTGTGTCTAATCATGGGCTTCATTTTAGAGGTTTTCATGGGTAATCATTCAACTTATGAAATAAGAATATTTTATTGTACAGTATGAAGTCCCCAAAACAAAGTTTGAATTGCACGTCATACAAGTAATAGATACAGTACACATTGAAAAAAGCATTCTTATGATGTAAATATTACCTTTTTACTTTTCTTGTGTGACATCTTGTAAGATTTTGAAATTATGGATGTTGTTTAGTGCTTAGTGGTTGGTGTTCGCTGTCTGTAACAAATAGCATGTGGTGACATTTTGCATGTTAGTTCCTTATTATAACTGTTAAAGTCATGCATTTATTCTGTCTTGTAGAGGAGCTTTAGGCGTATGACCACACAGGCAAAACTGCTTATGTTGATGCCTTGCTATATAACTGTTAAAGTGATGAATTTATTCTGTCTTTTAGAGGAGCCTGAGGCGTATGACCACACTGGCAAAACTGCTTATGTCGATGCCTGTAAGAGGCAAGGTGTTATACCAGTGTCATATTTCTTGCGTCACATGCATGACCCTTCACTGGAACTGAAGCATCATTGTTTGGGATCAGAGGGCATGAAACCCATTGCTGTATCTCTTGTGGTATGTATTAGAGTGCCAAGTGAATTTACAAGGGGTGATCAATAAGAAATGGACACTTTTTTACACAGACACTTTTTATAGACCAATACCTTTGATTTTCCTAGCAGTGATGCATCATTCAATTATCTATCAATTCTGAAGATATGAAGACAAAATATATAATACATGTTGATATATCCTTATTTCCGTGAAGGAGGTACAGGTACCCCGGGTCCGACATTTACGTCACATATTCAGTTTTCAGCCAGTTTGGCTTTCAGTTAGATTTGGACTTTTTATAAGCAACAAGTGTTATGTTGTTTAAAATATTTTGCTGACTGGTAACACATAAAGAGAAAGTATTGTGATGTCATAGTGTTGTATGGAAGGGTTTTGCGGGTCAATTTGAGCATTGTGGAAGAAGGGGTTGGTGAGAGAAGGGAACACCCTACTCCATATGGACAATGCACCTGCAGAAAACAATATCCCTGGACCTCAAAATTGAGCCCTTGGCCAATGCACTATATTGTCCACATCTGCCCACATGTGACTTTTTTATTCCTGTACTACTTATTTCTATAGAGAAGGGACACAGGTTTATTGACATTGATGAAATAAAACAACCCGTGTAACTGCATCTTGCTACCATGTCAGAGAATGGATTCAGCCTTGTCTCACAATATTGAGTTAAGATGATGAGGAATTGTGTACATGTAGCACTTGATGGAACCTATGCAGAGGGCCCTGTGGAATCAATGTGGCATTATACCACATAGTGCTGATAAAATATTCAAAATCAACTATGACATAACAAATTGGGGTAATAATTCATGACTGTAATGGTTTGTTTTGTTCAGCCTGCATTCAACTGCATTGCATGTTAAACAAGCTAAAATTGCTTCAGAATGTTTGACGTAAATGTCGGTCCCGGGGTACCTATACATCCTTCACGGAAATAAATATATATCAAAATATATTACATGTTTTGTTTTCAAATCTTCAGAGTTGATAGATAATTGAATGATGTATCACTGGTAAGAAAATCGAAGGGATTGGTCTATAAAAATCATCTGTGTAAAAAAGCGTCCAATTACTTATTGATCACCCCTCGTACATAGCTGCCATAAAATTTCTTGTAGTTTAAGAAAACTTAAGGCCAGATCTTTTTTATGATGAAAACTTTTACTTTTTAGTGTTGTTAATGGGCTGCAATAATTATACAAACATAGGAAAAGTATCTAATTATACAGAAAAGGATTTTGTGAATTATTTATTCATGGAAATCTAATGGATTAATAATTGGAAAAACAGATTTGATATCTTTGTTTTTATCCACAAGTCAAACAGATCTAATTGCGATTTTGTCATATTTAATTTCATATTTTTCAGAGCAATTGTTACATCACGCAGCTGAATCTCAGTGACAACTGGTTGGGAGTCTCCGGTGGTCTCTCCGTGTGTGAGATGTTACGAGAGAATTGTTACATCACAGATATCGACCTATCCGATAACAAGCTTTCCCGCCAAGTCGCACAATCATTATTAGAAGTTTTAAACACAAATATAACCATACAGAAACTGAATATTTCCGGGAATGACTTTGATGATAGCTGTGCTCAATGTTTTGCTGATGCAATCTATGTAAGTTGTTTGTTTGTTTGTTTGTTTGGATCACAGTCAAGGAGTGTCATTAAGAATGTACTAGCTGCAAAATTGACACACTGTAGTTTTATCTTTCTTTTTAATTCCTCTTTTAATTTATTGCTTTTTTAAGTTTTTTAAACAAAAATGATCAGTAGATAAACTTTTAGTTGAATGATCTGATTGTGTCAGACTTTATCCTAGTTTAAGAAAACATCTTATTTCAGAATACATCAAAACTAGAATATTTAGACATGAGCCGAAACAGATTCGGTGAAGTAGCCGGTGTACTATTTTGTCCCGCCATATCAGAAAATAGTTCCCTGAAGTACCTAGATTTAAGCTGGAACTGTATACGGCGGAAAGGGGCGGTTGCATTGGCAGCAGGATTAAAAGTATGAGTTATATAAGTTTTCTCGTAACAAAGTAATACCCCTATTATAAAAAATTGTTTATATAACAGAATGACTTGACCCTCTAATTGTGACATCACAACTGTAAATTAAAACTTGAGTTAGAGTTGTGCTTATCATCCAAGGTGAAGTTTCCATGTCAACCTTTCTAAATCAAATTTTAAATGTATGGAAACACTTTGTCAGGCATACATGTATTAGGTAAATGTTGACAAAATTCCATGGAACTTTTGGATTCTCCTGTATTATATTTTCTTGTTGAGCAAAAAGATAAAGAACATTTTAGTGCATTAAAACCCCCCAAAAATTCATAAATGTTTATGATTTTAATGTATGTCTGTTCCTCTCCAGGGTAATATAGCATTGAAGAAGGTCAACTTATCCTGGAATGGTTTTGGCAATGAGGGTGCTTTGGCACTTGGGGACTGTCTAAAAGTCAACTCGGTGTTAGAAGAACTGGATATATCGTGAGTACTTTAATTAAAATTTCAAAACATGAACAAATGTAATAAGTTCATAATATTCAAAAATATTCTTTAATTTGTGCAGAAGATTTAAAAATCAAAATGTCCACATTATAAACTTCTCTCTGTTGTGTATCCTAAATGCCCAGGTTAGATAAATCTGTATATATTTTTAGTGTCTCCCCCTGTTCACGATTTTTTGTTTTGTTTCCAGCAACAACCGTATCCTCACTGAAGGAGCTGTTTTGTTTGGAAAAGGTATTGCAGTCAATGAAACACTACGAATATTAAAGGTAAATTCATGACAATATGGTGAAAAATAATGTTACATTAATACCCTTGTATCCAAACATACATATGTGAAAATCTATATAGTCCATATCAGTGAAATTAATTAGTATAAGTTAAATGAGTTTCTGATATCCTTTTGGAGTGTCCTTCAATTTTATATTTCCTCACAAAAATTTTCTATTCAGTCTAATCTGAAGTTCTGACTATCACTGAGATTGGCCAAAGTCTTCATGTTAGCAGCTTGTGTTCACATTTAGAAGTTTTCTTAATATGTGCAAGTCTGGGAGATAATGACATTGGGAAAACAGTGTTCTTTTTGATAGGTGTTCTGATTGGAGAGAAGTGGATATACAGGTTTCAATGGACAAATGATACCACAGGGGCGGATCTGGGAACCAACAAGGAGGGGGGCCCAAATTTCTTGTCACAGAAAAAAATGTTGGGCCCCTAAAACCGAAAAAGTGGGCCCAAATTTTGAAATTTTAAGGCCCATTTTCTTCAAAATTTGGCCTGAAATTAAAAATAAGGCCTAGTAATGACCAAAAAGGCCCACTTTTTGGGGCTTTAAGGCCTTTTTTGCTCAAAATTTTTTTTGGGCCCCCCCCAGATCCACCAGTGTACCAATTGTGATGATTTTATATGACTTGTTATTTGTTTCAGATGGGAAAGAATCCAATGCAGAGTGCCGGGTGCTTTGCTTTATGTACGGCTCTTCTCAAGAATGCGAATTCTGTCATGGAAGAGATGGACTTCACGGTACATTTTACATACAGGGTGGAAAATATATACATATCTGATTGTTCATCTTCTAATCTATATTAAGTGGCATATAAATGACAGAGTACTCTTTTGATATGATTGGTTATGATAAAATGAATTTTGAGGGGATGAACACTTAAAATGAAATATTTATATTTGTTACATATTTTTCCAGGACGTTATCGTCAACCCTGACTTTAAGGACATTTTTGAGAAAGTAAAAGAAGTAAAGCCAGATATAGTTATACGTCACGGAGGGGATGAAACCCCCAAGAAGCCAAAAGCACGAGTGCATCCTATGGTCAAATTAAAGAACTATATCGATAAGAACAATTTACGACTAGTTGATTTTTTCAACAAGTTCGATAAAGATCGAAGTATGAGTGTGACTCGGGCAGAATTTGCTGAAGGAATCACGGTAATATATTTTTTTTCTTACAATTGTCAATTATTCCTTTTTTCTCAGAAAATGTTGTATTCATTATTTTTGTATTGTTTTATTGAACCTCCTTTTATAACAGATCTCTAGCACCCCGGAATAACCTGACTACGGTAAAGTCAGAAACCGTTGTCACAAATAGCGGACATAACCATCACTTCAATTGGATTTTCATGAACTGTTTGTTTAATAGAGCACCTAGACTAAATTCCTTTGGAACAACAATCAATCAAAGCGTTTTGTTACTCATTGTACATTTAATAATGTTCTACCATCGAAATAAAGTCTTTAATTTAACCGATCAAAATGAGATACGGGACAACGGACACTGTAATTATTACCATATGCCGTTGTCTTTCTAAATTACTCAAATTCAGATTCCGTTGTCATTGATGATATCGAAGACGCTATATTGTGCTGATTCACGACCCAATTTGATCGAAAATGGGATCTCATGTGATACACTATCACAAGAGCTTAATGCATGCACAGAATTAGCGACGATAAAATCCCATGAAATGAGGACCAAGTGATTAAACAGTTGAAGCGACAGTTATGTCCGCCATTTGTGACAACGGTATCTGACTTTACCGTAGTCAGGCTATTCCGGTGTGTATAGATCACATATGTTTTCCTAGTTCCCATTTTGTATATTATGTATACTAGTATTATATTTTAGGTAGTTTTCCAATATGATTTTTTTATCATCTTATCCATGTTATTACAAATTCTAATTTCTGTCTCCAATTGCACAGCATTGTTTACAAGGCAATCCCATTCAGAACATATGTTTGTTGTATATATATTTATGTTGGTTTTTATATCTTTATTTAAGGAATTTGCAGAGGTATTATATACTTAAATATAGAATTCCTCTTTCAGCTGTTTCACTCACTTATCCGCAATTTCTTCTTCATTGGCTTCATTGGTTTTCATCCTCAAATACGTACAGCTTATACAGTGTACAGAACTGTACATATATTCTGTCATACAGCATTTTTTCTTTCAGAATTTTTTGACACAATTACTGCTTGTTCTAAATCCTGCTCCGATACTCCTGGCTGCAAAATTTTGTTTCAAATTTCAACAGTTTTACAGCATCAACTGTTTACTTAAAAATTTCCCCATCCTTTCCTCTTTTACTCCTGCTTATGTTGCGAACAACTTATGGTGAAGGTCTTTTAAAATCCTAATCTTAATATTAATGCTTTTAAGTCTATCAGAAATAAGCTTTTTATGAATTAAGTGCTTTTTTATACCTTGTGATCAAACTTATGTGAATCATAAAACTAAACCCTTTCCATCTATCACTGTTTCTAGGGCCTTGTGGCTTGCTTCAATGATCTCACGGATGATTCTGTCAGTTTTCCAGTTTGCATTTATGATACGCAAGCTCAAAAAAACATGTAAACTTGAACTTTGAAATAAGTATTGCATATATTTCTTCTGAATAGCAATTAAGAATTCAAAAATAGCATAGTTATTTTTAATGCCAAATTAATTTACAGTAAAACCTGTATATCTAAACAACTCCCTAAACATGAACCCCTTTCAATGTGAACACTTTTTCCATCCTCTTTTTATGTCACAATCAGAAATTGTGACAAATTGTTATAATCTCCATATTTTTGTGGACAGTGGCTGGTGTTCAGCATTTGGTAGTTGGTGTTTGGCAATTGGCATTCTGGTGTCTGTAGCAAATGGCAGGTAGTGACATTTTCCATGTTAATGCCTTGTCTGCCATAGACCAAAGATATTAAAAAACGTTGAACTATTTTTCGCCAGTCCCAGTGATGTTTGAATTAGACAGGTTTTATTGTATGCCCCAATTGATGTTATATATACACAGCCAATATTATTTGGCGCCGTTTCTGCATCGAAAAAATTTGTCACGCACCGCTCTGGCACCAAAACCTTTTGACACCAAAATTTGCCATCGGACTAGTCAGTCCATTTGGTGCCGAAACGGCGTCAAAATCAGATTGCATTTTCGGGGTGTATATGAATTAGATTTGATCATGATGGCACCCATTTGATCACTAATGTACCTAATGATGCACCTGAAAATAAATTTAAAATAATGTGATACTGTTATATTGCAGGAGACTGGAATTAAGCTTACTGTACAGGAAGTCCAACTTCTATGTGATGAATTAGATAAGGATGGAGATGGAGAAATCAATTATAGGTAAATATTGCATTTTTTGAAATAATCAAAATTGTTTTTTTGTTTGTGTTATTATTTTAACCAAATTAGATTACCACATTCACTTACCATGGCTTAAAGTCTCTAGGAAATTTTCAGGGGGGGAGTAAGGGGTCAAGCAAGGGTTTCAAAATTTAGGTCATATTTGTCTACTTTTTCCTGTGAAAATACTTTTTTCCTCTTGAAAGTATAGTATGTAATGGGTCTACATTAATCTTAAAAAGCACTCAATCAAATCTCATTTATTCAAAATTTCTTAGAGGGAGGACCTGCCCAAACCCACCAATATCTTGGCCCGCTTGTTTCGCCATTTAATTTTCAGGAATTGGCAGGAATGATCTGAGCTTTTTCCCTAGATTAGAAATACATGTATTGTATTTTCGAAACTACTGTCCATGTTTAATTTTTCAGAAAATGTTTTTATTATTAGATTCGTCCAATAATATGTATTTATATTATTTTGTTGCCTGTTTCTTAACAATATTAAGCAAGTTTTTATTTTTGTGGGGGGACTTGAACAAAGAATAATATATTTGTTATATCATTGCGAGACATTCTCTGTGATCAAAAACCACAAGCAGACAATATGCACAGCAATATTTGAAAATACATTTTGGTATTTTTGATCACATGATAGTACATTTAACCAATAGGAACACAGTCCTGAGAGTCTAGCAATGATATAATAATATTCATCATCATTGAAATTAATGAAAGGAATAAAAATGGTAATTCACAATTATCCCCTTATATGTACTTTATACCTGGTATATACTGATTTTAAGTTTTTTGTTTGTTAATTAGTGAACTTGTAGTGACCCATCAGGACTTCAAAGAGATGGAGAGAGTTGGAACTATTCTGTTTGTTAAACCAGATCAGACTGCTGAAAGTCAGGTAGCCATTGAGCCCCATGTCACAACTGTGTCACCATAAACACATGACCTTGTCACCCAAAACACTCAGCCATGTCACTTCAAACACCCTGCCTTGTATCCTCAGACCATGTCATGTCACCTCAAATACACAGCCATTTCACCTCTCACACATAACCATATCACCTTCAACACCCAATCATGTCACCTCAAACAGTAAGTAGAGTCACCTCAAAACCCAGCCATGTCACCCCAAACACAAATCTGTGTCACCTCAAACATCCAGTATGTTACATTAAACACCATTTCAGGTCACATTGCACAATGCACACCAAGCCCTTTCCGCTCATAACATATCTGCATCTTATCTCTTCTAATGAACCACGTCTCCTCATACAATTATGTATGTCCTCTTAAACACTTGCCCATGTCACAGCATATACCCAATAATGCACCTCATACACCCACCTCAATCAAAACTCTAATCTAGCTACTTAGTATGTATCAGATGGCCAAGCATTTCACATCACCTTATCACCTGATAATTATAAGAAGAGATCAGGTTCTTAAAAATATGCATATTGCATGCTCATTAAAATGACATAGTCACCATTCACACTCAAGACATGTCACCTAAAACACCCATGGGGCTACTATATTAGATTGCATGCTGGGAATATACGTCCTCTGTGTATAGAAAAGCTGTATTTCTGTTTTATTTCTATTTATTGTATTGCTTATAGAAGATAGAAATGCCTGCTAGACCAGAATGTTACATGTACATCTGTATTATATGTACTCTACAGAATAATAGGGATTGCATCAAAATATTACATTGCTGAAAACACAAATCTAATTTATACCATTGTCCTACATTGCTCCTACTTTTGCGTTGTTTTTGACAACAAAATGTCACATTTTCACCATGCGACCCCACTGAATTTTTGAAAATACAATATTATGAAATTATTTAAATTGAATTGAATTACTTAAAGGGTTCCGATTAGCATCCCGTATAAAAACAATATGGCGGCTCCAGGCGAATCAACCGGATCAGTCCATTTTTAAGAAATAAGGGGAGTTCTGTAAAATCCAGTTTATTGAAATAGTCTTTGAGATAATGTAATCCGTTTATAATGATTTTGAAAACGTTATCCAAAGAGTGATTGCGTTCAAAGAATACATGTACAACAGCCAATATAAATCCTTGTATTAGAAACCGGTTTGTCTTGCTTTGTTTCATTTGTAGGATATTTCATATGCCAAGCTGTGTGCTGTTACGTTATGGGGAAATTTAGATGCCAATTTTTCCTTATTATACACAAATAGAAGATCCTGAAACTTCACCCATAAATGTGGAATTGATTTGTCAAAATAAAAATCACCATTTTATAAATGTGTGACGATCTATAATATACTTATGCTATATAACAGTTAGAGGTGTTGACACAACAACCTCGAACCTGTGAACCCTTGAGTATTATTCCGGGATCGGGCCTTTTATACTAAACGGTGAGCAACACCAGAAACGAGCGTTCGATTTGCTAAACGATATGCGTCACCCTTTAACACCAAGAAAACTTCCAAAAATCACTTGAAAAAATGTTGAAAATCTGCATGATTGTGGAAGAACTGAGAATTCTGTGTAGCGTAGGATTATAATGCATGTACGAGTACAATACATGTATATTTTGGTTCGATGAAAGTTGTTGATGGAGCAGCGAGAAATGTTTCCTGAACCACATTTAGCATTGTCATTCAGCAAACAGTAACACTTTGATTCAACCCCTTATGTTAAATAAGTTTTATGAATTTCTTTTTCATAGATTTGCATGCGATATATAAAATCTAGCCAACAATCTTCATTTTCTAGATTTGGCATTTCAGAGAAGACTTCTCGCAGCAATGCATGCGCTTTGCAATTTAAGACGTAAACTGCTTATATTATTTATAGGGAATTGCATGCATAAAATTAGCTTCTTTTATAATTTTGTATGATACATGTACGTATATAGGCATTTTTATTTTATAAAGCGTAGTATGGATAAGGCATTTTTATTAGTAGTTTTTGAGTTTCTTATGTCACCACCAAAAGTGGCAGTCTCCAACTTTTTTTGGACTGTGTTCAGCGGTCAGTAGTTGGCATTCGGCAGTTGGCATCTGTAACAAATGACAGGTGGTGACAATTTGCATGTTAATGCCTAATATGCTTCATTGTATTGATAAGTTAGCTGGATCATTGACCAGGAGACACATTGATCTATTCATCCCATAGTTGTTGTTTTTCTTGGTCTCTGTTAACATTCGGACAATGAAAAATCAATCTTTCCATGTTACGAATATATTTATAAAAACAATATTTAGTTGTTATACAATTCACAATGGTTATTCAATGATGTCAGGTTATAATCAAACTAATTAAAATGATATAATCATTTACTAAAAAATGGAGTACAAAGGAGTGAGGTTAACATGCATGGGTACAATTGAAAATTAAAAGGAGGCAAGAACGAATAATTGTTGAAAAATTAGGCATTTTTCTGAAAATTTGGGTCTAAACAGTTGAGCCTCAACCCTTACCATGACCTTTACCCCCTACTTAACCCTTATACATAAAATGAAGAATGTTTATTATATAGTTTGTGTAATTGTTTTTCCCAGCCCATTACTTCTGCTTTAGGTAAGACTTGTATAGGTGTTTGTTCACTTAATATAAAAAAGCACTCAATTGAAGGCAGGTACTGGAAAGTATGAAAAATACAAAATTAACATTTTGAAAAACAAAATTTGTATTTCAAAATTCAGAGCTTTGTGTATATGAATTTACAATCAATTTACATTTATATTTAAAAACAAATTAGAATTAGATATAACATTTACCAAGTAAAGTCTAAATGGCCGATTTACATATTACTTGTACTTTTCAAGCCTGTTGATAGCTATAAAGATGCAGACAAAATGTCATTATCACATTAATTGACATGGTTTGTCTGTATCTTCAATATTTTTGAATTTAATAAATATACAACGCTTGAGAGTGACCACACTGTTTGAGTACCATACTATTTAATTTACTAAACAAAAAACAATTATTTTAATAACGAGTTGATTTTATACAATAACATGTTTGTCTAAATAATATGTGAAATGATGAGAATTTTGGTTTTGGGTTTGAAGTACACGTTGGACATTTGCTTTTTTCAGTCTCAAATACTTTGCCATTTGATGAAAGCTTTATTAATCTAGATGTGCTTTAAACTTAATATTACTGCCATTTAGGTTCGCAAATCATTCATGCTTTATTTGTTTATCATTAGAATCTTGATGATTTTATGATTATTTTTATATCTCAATTTTATAGATGTGTTTTGTGCATGCTTTAAATGGACTAACCAATGAATTTAATCAGCTGTTGCCATAGTAACTGAATGATTAATCTTATCAAGGAATTCACTTTACATAATCTAGATAATCCACTCATGCACCAAATGCAAAAAGTATATTTGCCAATAGTATAAAACACTTTTTTATACAGAATTCAGATCTATTTCTATAATCAATTCAATAGAATACAAATGAAATTGCCATTGTTGATAAGTCAACATTATCGACAATCGAAATTTTTTTAATAAAACTGAAAATTGATGTTCAGAAAAACAGCTGGCAATTATACCATTCTGATGTTCAAAGTGTCATTTAAATGGAAGTAGTTTCTAAAAATACTGTGAAGCTCTATTTCTGAAATTAAATTGTCATTAATGGTTTTGATATAGTATTGTAAAATTTACTTTGAAGTTCAAGAATCTCGATCAACAACATTTTTGAGAATCTAAAACTCCCAAACTCCCAGATTCCTCCTTTATTTGCAATGATAGCTCTCTCAACTTCTGTAATCTACGAGGGGTGATCAATCAAAAGTGTGTTCCTCACTTGATTGACTACCCTCCTTTTAACTATTAAGATTAACTAGTACATTTTTATTTCAGTGAAATGATGATTAGTCATACACAATTCATGGCTAATGAAAGAGGGCATCTACTCTGAATCTGAGGGCATCTAACCAGGAGCTGAGGGCATCTAAAGTTGGACCATCGATGATGGTTGACTACAGAGGGCATCTATCTAGGAGCTGGGGGCATCTGAGGTGGAACCCTAGATATCCATTGAACTACAGGGGGCATCTTATCAGGAGCTGGGGGCATATGCTGTTGGACCATAGATCAATGAACTATGGGGGGCATCTATTCGTTAATATGGATTTAAAAAGACAAACATAGTCTCTTCAAAACATTTTTACAGTGAAATTAGGAATGTTTTAGACCACAGATGTACCCCAGATATTGGGTATCTTTGACTCGTATTGAGAACATATCTAAAACAAATTGACAAGCTTTATCATGGAAGTGATGCCATATATGTGCAACCAGTGCAAATGATAAGTGTACAATTAGAATGAGGCTTCTAGTACTGTACATTGCAATTTTGTATCCAATTTTATTTTCAAATTGATTATAGGTTGTTCCAAAATATCAGTATTTTTACAAGCAAATGGTCAGATACGTTGGATATGTCATATGACCCCTAATCTACATGTACAGTTTTTAGAACATGGGTCTGCTTACTCACTTCGAGAGCCATGTTAGATTTTGAAACTTATGGCTCTCAAACGCAAAAGTGGACAGCTCATCGATTGTGACCTTTGAAATCGAATTAAGTCGATCAGCGGCCTACTTTTGTTCTCTAACTATGTGTAATGACCCGAGGGCGCCCCAGGGGAATGACTAACTAATTAACTAACGAGCATAGTGTAACAAGCCAGATAAAGAAATTGAAAGAAAGTGTGCTAAATTCAATGCCCCATGTGGGATTCGAACCTAGGACCCTTGGATCCAAAGACTGATGCTCTACTTACTGAGCTATAAAGGCTTAAGCCACTACAGCTGGGCTGTAGTAGCAACTTGCTATCAAGGGTCGTTACATATGCTATACATCATTATCATCCTTCTGTGCAAGTATTGGAGTGCTGAGGTACTTCCTTTTCAATCAAGACTTGTAATTGTTAGTCGAGTGAATGTTTTTACTGCCGAATTCCAATATGGCGTTTTCTGCTCGGACATTTTCGTACATTTCGAGAGGTTGTCCGAACCTAACTAATTCTCAAAATTCATTTCGCTCGTTGCGTATCTCGCTCCTAGCAAACCGCCATATTGGAAATAGGTCTAAAAAACATTCACTCGATGAACAATTTACAAGTCTTGATCGAAAAAGAAGTATTTCAGCGCTCTAATACTTACACGGATTGATGATACTGATGTAAGACACAGTTAGAGACCAAAAGTAAGCCGCTGATCGACTTAATTCGATTTCAAAGGTCACAATCATTGAGCTGTCCAAATGCTCCGTGGGAAAGCTATTATATCAAAATCCAAATAGCTTTCGCAGGAAGTAAGGGTCTGCATATGGTTGTGAAACTCCTTACTCTTCAAGATTACAACATTACTTCATGTGATTATCTTTTTAGTAAAAGCCTTATAAAACTAATCAGGGTTACTTATAAAGCATTTTTTGAATACATAATTTGATGATGTGCCACTTACACAGGTTTTAGTGCTACCATGGGTATCAAGACTCGAGAAAATGATGTATATACGTTATAACAAGAAACCAGACATATTGAGATAATGTTAAGTCTCCAACTTTTTTATGGACTGTGTATAGCATTCAGTCGTCATTGTTAGGCATCTGTAACAAAAGGCAGGTGATGACATTTTGCATGTTAACGCCTTGTCATACATTTGTATTTTACTGGTATTAATACATTCCATATAAAATATTTTACGTGAAGAATTTTATATTTTTACAATCACATAATGGGTTGTACAAGCACCTGTATTGATGTTGCGACTAGAAATGTCATTAAATGTTATCACCTAACAACAAGATGTTGTTGTGTGATCTTGCCTAGCAACATGATTTTATTGTCAAACTCACCTTTATTAGGTTAGCATGTGCAAATTATTTATAATCTTTCTCCCTCCCCTGATGATTGATGTTTATGGTTGAATGTTTCATGTATTGATGCACTGAATACAGAATGGTTCAAAACAGGAGCATATGGTGTGTTTTTCTCAATAACATGATTCAAATTAAACATACTTTCCATTGGTATATAATATCATTGTTATATTATGTCTAATGCAATTTTCTGGTCAATGTGTTTTGTCAAAAATCAATGTTTTATGAGGGAGCGTGTGTTTCTATAGTAACCATTAAGTGCCACACATATACTGGGTGTCCCAGGATTAGAGTTAATCTACATATTTCTGGACAATCTTGTATATTATTATTGTATATTTAGTTTTATATATATATAAGCATTTTTTATTTTGTATGTACAGTGTCTAATTATAGATAAAGCATAATTCTTAGTATTCCTTAAAAATATAAAGCAATTTAGTGCAAATATTTTAGTTGCCATATATATGTTAAAATTAGCTAGTATGTATAAAGCATACATATATTTTGACTTTTAGAAATGTTATTTTGTGATTATATTGTCTTTTATGCTGTTTAAAGGGGCAACAAAAATTGAGTTGTGGGTTATTCTTAAAATTGTCTCAGTTTTACAATGTATTTTTTGCTCTTATAACTCCATGTTATACACGTACATATTTTCCAATGTCAAAAAAAGGTTTGATTTGATTTAATGCTCATGCTTTGATTTTAAATTTTTAAGGTTATTTGAAGAAGAGATATATCCTTGTCATCTCAAATGTTAAAATAAATTCTAAAATTTGTTAAGGTATCTTAATCCATTTTCAGACAAGAAAATTAATATTAAAACTGAAAGTTAGTGAACTTTTGGAAAACATTACTTTTTTACTCTCTGTATTCTTTGCTGCCACTTAACAGCAGTTCATAATGTGATACAAAGCAAGAGTGTTTAGATTTTGGTAGTCTTGTCTCAGGCCACTGGACCATCCCCAGCCCATAGTAAGCTTTTGCTAAGGAAGATTCACTTTACAAAAAACTCCAAGGGGTTGAAGCAAGACTAAGATTCGGGAAATGACCTGAATTTTACAATATACAACACTATTGTGTAAGATTGAAGCATTTTGAAGGTTTACATATAAACTTGAATGAACATGTGCCTTGTATATTTAGAGTTAATTCAATCACACATGCCACTATTTCCCTCTATTAAGAATAGCATGTTGGTATTCATGAATGATTACATGTTTGTTGTTTATTTTTATGTTTGTTTGTGTCGCCTGTTACAAGAGAATTGTATGTAACGAATCAATAAAATGCAATAAATAATTTTTATATTAAAAATAAATTTATTTATCTGTCTATATGTTATTCATCTATATGTGTATATTTGTAACATATTTTTGTTCAGGAGTACACATAAACACTGTGTATTATGGATTTGGATGAGGTACATTTAATGATGTACCTACAGTGGGTCCATCAAAATCAGGTTTAAATGCCTCCAAAACAAGATACAGTAACCCTTAGCCGTAGCTTCACAAAACCGATATAGAAAATCTACATTGTACTGATTTTATGCTGCATATATATTTCTCTCGATTTTGGGAAGCTACGGCCTCCATACGATTGCCGTATATCAAATGTGACTGAGGCATTAGTGTGATTTCTCCCATTCCCGCATGAGAGCAACTAGGGGATGTCCTCAGTTCTAGAAGTTATATGCCACCTTACTGAAAATCTGTTCAGACCCCAATGTCAAAAGGAAGAATTATTGCGACATTTCAACCAAAATAGGTTAAATTATATTCAACACCGTTGAGAAAATAATATGGGGAGGTCACTAACGTTAATAAACCCCTAAAGTCACTTAGGTTTATAAACAAGTAAAAATGGACCCCCACTGAGACAGATATGAAACAAACAGAAAAAGTTGAACTAAGGATATTCAGCTCAACATGACAAATCACTTTTACATTAAAAATCACATACCTCAATCAGGTAAACATGTGTTGCTTTGACGATGATGATTATTACCTTTTTGTGACAAATACGTTGTTGTATAATAATTAGGCAAAATCATGTCATCATAAGAATTATGATCAATATACATGATGTACATGTTTCAGTTTTGCAAACAATTTCTTCATTTAAAAAGTTCTTTCAACTTTCTGCCAGAATATACATGTAACTTTCAAAGGGTTTCCATAATAGCTTTCAACAAAAATTGTTGATACTTGAACTTATATGTTTACACATACTAAAATACACATATTAGTGTAAACAGAAAATGAAAATAGGATGCATACATTATCTTGTATCAGTTTACAATTATCTTATATTATCATTATGTTCTGAGTTAAGGGACTACAAGGGATTTAGATGAGTTGAGAGATTTATATGAGTTGAGCGTTGGATTCAACAATATTGTTACTCTCATCCCATGTCATGCCTAATTTCCAACAATTATAACATAATCCTTCCATTTTAATGTCACCACCAGAAGTGGTCGGCATTCGGTGTCTAAAAAGTAAAAATTGCAGGTGGTGAAATTTTGCATGGTAATTATGAATGTTGAAAAGATTGCTTTAGATTTTACACTCTCTATATCCTTTCTAATCGCTTTAACAATGTAAATACTGGTAGAATGGAGCAGCCTCAATTATGGTATGATATAGAGCGCAAACTAAATATTCAAATCGAGTCCATCGAGTCACTGCTCACTGAAAAAAGCTTTTATATACTTTTGGCATACTCTTGTCATGAAGAACACACACCAACAAATCCTTAAATCCCATTCAAGCCACGTAAAAGCAGCCTTGCCGGGATCTCTTAATTGTATATGGGAGAGGTAAATGAAGCAACTAGACTAAGAAGCACTGAACACAAGGGGTAGCACATGTTGGAAAACAGTTCCTGATGTCTCGTTTCCTAAAACACATTCACAGAAATGAGTGACTGACTCTAACTTACACTATATGTATGTATATACATACTATGTGTATATACACTGTTTATTAAACAATTGTCCGGTTGCATTTATTGTTTTAGTACAATCCTTATCTTGTACAAGTATTTAAACATAAGGTATTGATAGTACGGCAGCACTGGCACCAGGGATTTTGATTCCTGGTGCCTATTAAGTCCCTGAATTAACAGTCAGGTTGAGGGCTTTTTTCTTTTAAAAGCCTTATTCAAAACTGGTATTCCAATGAGGACTATTACTGATGATATCATAAGTCCCCAAGCAGTCTTTCATTCAGATATGTCTCTCACAAAGATATCCTAAGTCCTGATATTCCACAGAGACTATTTTTCCTAGTATCAAAAATCCTAGTATTATGAGTCTTCTATAGGTGGCGTTTTTAGGGACTTTCTCTTGGTATCATTTTCTTCTGAACCATTACTAGCGGAGGCGCTTCTCTTCCTAGGCTGAAACCAGAATGCAGTTTCTTATTAAAGGGCCTATGAAAATAAAAATGGTTACTCGTTAAAGGCCCTGTGAAATATGGCACATTTTATCATTAAAGGCCATCTGTAAATATAGAATGTTTTTTTTATTAAATGCCCAATGAATATGACATATTTCTCAGTATTACATACCTAGCGAAGCATTTGTATGGAAGTCAATGGGAAAGTTAGCGAGCTATATCCACCGATATTGCCCGATTACCCCGATATAGCCCGCTTACCTCGTTTTGATATTAGATTTCTTTAATAACCATGATAATATCATGACGTCACGTCATTGATACAAAGTAACCATGGGAACAAAGGCATGTAATACATCAGTTATGTCACTATGACGTGAAATATGCCTTCGTTCTTGCCCAAATATAGAGCCTCCCAAGGTCGGCCTATATTGGGAGAACTCAGGCATATTTCACGTCATAGTGACATAACCTCTAATTAAACCTAGTGAAAAGAGGACATAATTTTTCATTTAAGTCTTCATAGTTTCTCATTGTGCCTCTTGAATAACATGAGTTTCTCATTAAAGAAGCCTCGTGAAAATACGCCATAGTTTCTCAGTTAAATCCCAAATGGGTGCAAATCCCATTACTTCAATGGATCATTATTTAAATCTATAGCCTATGTCCATGAAGGGATGCAGCTAATAATCTTTATTATTAGCCCGATCTAGCAACACATAGATGAGTATTACAATTCGATTGGACTAAGAAAGCATCTGATTAACATGTAGACGGGATTAAGCAAGTGTTACTGATTAACATGTACGAAGAGACTGGATTAAGCAAGGGTTAATGACTAACATGCAGACTGAGCAAAATATTACTGATTAACATGTAGACTGGACTTAATAAGGGTTAATGACTTAAACATGTAGACTGAGCAAAATATTAATGATTAACATGTAGACTGGACTTAGCAAGTATAACTGATTAACATGTAGACTGGACTAAGCAAGTGTTACTGATTAACATGTAAACTGGACTAAGGAAGTGTTACTGATTAACATGTTAACTGGACAAAGGAAATGTTACTGATTAACATGTAGACTGGATTAATCAAACGTTACTGATTAACATATCTTCAAGTTCATGCTAACGGAGTTAACCCTTGTACAATAAGCATGCCGAGAAGCTGAAGCAAACTTACACTTACTGCATTAACGGCTGGTGGTGGCATCTCTCCTCTCTGAAACAATTAATGAAATTTAAATATATTTTATTTTTATTTATTTATTGAGACTCTACACTATTTATATCAATGGCACTCTCACTGAGTGCGTCTACAGTCTTTGGATTTCTATGATTAACATGGTATAAAGTAAATACAGAACGACTAAAATCGTTATAAAAATTAAGACCAAATTTGATGACTGAAGTTCTCTTGAATAATATTTTTCCTGGCAGATATCTTGAATTGGCAGCAGCAAGCTTTGAAATTCAACCTTGAATCTTAACATGGGGGTCCAAAGGATGAAAATCATTTCAGCAAAAGCATGTTTATTGTGATTGCCTTTCAGGGTTCACTTGACCCTATCCTCTTTAAATGTGCTTTTGGAGATAATTCATTGGGCTAAAAGACACCTGTTTACATGACTAGAAAATACCCACTTTAAAGTCTGAATTAAGCTGTAATCCTTGCCATATTTCAAGATGAAAATTGAGTGAACATACCTGTGCATTAGCTGCCTTTATAATAGCATCAGCTTTGTTCTTCATTTCATTGTCCTGAAACAAAGGGTACATGGGTATATTCAACAGGGTCATATTTATCATCATGCTCTAGATTTATTGTCACACAATATCCAACCAATAACTAGACCTCAAACTATTTCAAGACACAAATGTTTGTATTTATTGATATTTCATGCATTCATTTCTGATATATGATTTCTGATTGTATTCTCATATGTTAATTTACAAAACAATTTTTTGGACGGTGTAAAATACCTTCAATGATAGGTAATTTTGGAGGGTGTACATACCATCAACTGTGGGTGTTCTGACATAATATGGGAAGTATTGAATTCATATTGTGGGAGTTCTAACATATTTTTGCAGGACATAAATACCTTCAGCCATGGATGTTCTGAATAATTATGGGGGATAAACATACCTTCAGCCATGAATGTTCTGAATAATTTTGGGAGGATGTATGTACACCTACCTTCAACCATGGATGTTTAACATAATTTTGGGGGATGTACATACCTTCAGCCATGGGTACTTTAACATAACTTTAGGGGATGAACCTTCCGTCATTAAATATAATTTGGGGTGTGTACACTGTACATACCTTCAGCCTTGGATGCTTTAACATAAATTTAGGGGGTGAACATACCTTCCGTCATTAAATATAATTTGGGAGGGGGTGTACAATCATACCTTCAGCCATGGGTGTTCCAAAGCCTTCTCCATTGAGATCCTGTCTGCAGGCTTGACCTTCATCAGCTGCTTAATCAGATCAATGGCTGCAATGTACATATGATGATATGATGATGTATGGTATATTTACATGTAGTACTTTTATAGTGGAAGAGTCGGTAGGCTCCATAGCTCAGTGGTAGTGCACTATAGTACAGAAAGCGAAGGCTCGTGGGTTGATCCCAACAAGGGTGGACTGGCTTCTTTTTCAAATCAACTTTTAGTGCAGAATTTGATTCTGTGTTTTCATTAACTAATACAGGTAGTATTTTTAGAGAGAAAATAAAAATAAAATGTGTCATTAAGCAGATGATTAAGTCAAGGGTGATGCCAAATAGGTCTATATGATCCTCAAAGATATTACATTTAACTACAGAAGTGCCTCCTATTCAATACATAAAATCTGTAAAGTGAAACAACACCTTTCACAGTTCAATGATCAACTGACTTAATTTTAAATGAACCTCTTTAGGTGAAACAACTCCCAATAAAAAAACAAAGGTTACACCACTTACAGAGGTTTTAGAAGTCCTATAGTAAAACTGTATGTAAATATCATATACTGTACCTGTGTTTGAGATGCCCTTCCAATGAACTTTTGGGAAGTCATAATGTCCTCCCATTATCTGCTTAGGGAGATCCATATCCTTGCGTTCCTCAGTGAATGGGGGATACCCAGCCAGCCTGAAAAGGAGAAAATCATGATACATTAAGAGAATATAATGGTCCATCAATGATTCCCTGCATTGCATAGTGTATTTTTATATACTGTCTGAAGAGGTTGACATAAAGAGTCAACTCAATGTCAAACAAGGCATTAACATGTCAAATGGTACAGCCATCCATTTGTTACAGACAATGGACTAACGCCTAACTTGCCAACCGCTGAATGCCAACTACCAAATACCATCCACAAAAAGCTGGATACTATAACAATATGTCAGTACCCCTTGTGGTGACATATGAAAGCATTCATGTTGCAAAATGTCATCTGGTAAGCTGTTGCAAATGGGTAAAAAAGTGTTAAAGGATGCCAAAATGCCAAAAGCTGTCACTACCAAAGCCAAATGTCATTACAATGGCACCATTTAATTGGTCCATTTAGTTAAAAGATCAGATTCCTCCAAAATGATTCAACAGTAAGAGCATGGACCAATTATGTGTAAATTACTAATTTCGACCCCATAAAATGGATATGACCACACTGGATAAGATGAATGGCAATTTAATTTGTCTGAAAATAGTTCACAGATGGAATGCAATATGGAGGAATAGGTGATTCCATAGGCTCAAATAGTCCACTTCTGGATTGGTGAACAACTGTACATTCTTAACTATACAGTTTATGCAGGACACTTCATTTAACGTAAAACCTGTCTAAGTGGAACACCTGTACCTCTAAAAAATGTTCCACATGGGAGGTGTCCCACTTATAGAGGTTAATTTGACATTTAGTTAGTTGGTCTTGGGATTCTGAAAAGTGTTCAACTAATAGAGGTGTTCCACCCTACAGATAATATGACATGGTTTCATCAAGAAAATCAATATCTATTTTCAAAATACAAGTGTCCCATTTTTTGACCACCCTGTACTTGTTTTTATATAGTTCTTACATGATAAACAAAATGACTCCAAGTGCCCAGCAGTCCACTTTGTTGTTGTACTTGCCCATCCCAGCAGTCTTTAATATCTCAGGGGCCAGATAATTAGGTGTCCCGCAGAATGTCTTCATCATGGTATTTGCGTCAACAAACTTAGAGAGACCAAAATCGGTAACCTAAATTAAGAGATACAACTTATAGAATAACACATGTACCATACTTGCATCAATGATTATGATAGTATAGTTAAATTTAGTCTTCTAAAAGGTACCACCCATCATCCTTTTATGAGCATCTCCATTTATTAAGGATGCAATACCATATCTGAATCCAAAACATATGAGTAAACTTAAAGAGTTTATTTATTCTATTTTGATTCATTTAGATCCAATATGTTAGGTAATGAATCTCAAAATACAAGTCACTGGGAGCCAGTATAGTAAACTTCACAAGACTTAGTTAAGCAGCCTTGTGAAACCTGATAGCCAAGGCTGATACAGCAGAGAGCCTCATTCTGAGTTGTTGCTTAGTGATACCTTCTGCTTCAAAATGGCCTATCTTGTAATGTTTTTAGACATTCTTTAACAGTCTATCATATACCACCAGATTGATAAATTCAGATTGAAATTAAATATGTTGCAAGGGTAATATCTAAACATCACTTTAGTAGAGATAGAGATGTATCATTGATGATCTCTAGGGATTTCTGTGGTCTTACTCTCAGCCACTCTCTTTGAAGATTTGAAACTCTCTTAATGACCATTAACATTAATCTATTATAATGAAAAATCTGATTCTGGCACTACTCTCAAACATCTTCATTAGTGTTGTTCAAAGTGTCTCCTATGCAGGTCAAAAGATTTCCAAGCGGTGCCAGAATCAGATTTTGAGAAAAATGTGTTTCAAATCATACTATCACTGGACTATCACTCTCACATAATCCATACTTGAAACCAAAAATTCATTTCCCTAACACAAACTGAATGTAACAAATCTTGCTGATATACTGAAAAAATGATTGCAAACATTTTTAGACCTGGGGAAACAAATTTGCTGAAATAAAGGAGAATATAAATCAAAATTAAGTGAAAGTCAAAATTATGTAATGGAATAATAACTCTGATGAAATATTATTTGGCGTGTCAACCTGAGATGTAAGTGATAAACTTCTTAAAAACATACTTTCTCCAAGAACCTGTAATATGTATGTAAAGACTTTTCTCATTCATAAAAGACATAGTCAGGACTAAATGATTTTGCACTGAAACAGCATACATTTACATACGTATATCATTTCTCTCAAAAACAACCTAAGATAACACCATTATTAATATTAAATGCATACTGATTAATTTGAAGTCAAGAAAAGTGCATGTTATAAGATAAATAATGAATAAATAATTAAATCATACAGTAACAATATATCACATTATATTACTACTCGAGATCATGCAAGAAATTGTTGGGAAATGTATGTTGGCCATTTAAAGTGCATAAGTGAACTGACCAGTGTAACCTAATACCAGTTGCATTCATGGCTATTAAGCATAAGTTGTCTGTGGCAGTTTAATGTTAATGGGATCTCCACTAGCACCACCAGTGGTTATCTGTATCACTACAACTAAATCTACAGTTCTGGCTCCCAGTGAAGTATAACTACTACTTATTTAAAAACTAAAAATGGGTATATCTCATATCACATCCACTCATGATTATTATATTAGTATTTTCAACTCTATATATTTTACCTTTACTAAGGTCTCATCACCGTCACATGCCAGAAGAATATTCTCTGGCTTTAAGTCCCTATGTGTTATGTCTTGGTCATGAAGATACTGCAAAACAAAAGTTCGCAATAAACATGTAATAAATCTTTGAATCTATCATCCAAGGGAAGAGTTCATCTCAGATATATGATTCCTCATCTCAGAGGTCTCCTCAAAATATCATTGACACAAGAATAAGCTAATTCTGTGGATTTTGTAGACCAATCATATTAAAGGCAGAAGTGAAGTTTCTCTACTGGCGTTAATCTATTCACAAGTCATACTTCTCAAAATCATTGAAAAAAATTGGTAAAACAGTGACATTACATAATTTACTTCTTATTCATAAAAATCTGAGGTAGAAATAGTAGAACAGTGATATACCTTTATTGCTAGCACCATTTGATAGAAGAGCAGTTTGGCTGTGGGCTCTTTTATTTGGCCAAGACTCGTGACTCTGTCAAACAACTCACCACCTTCAACTCTGCAAAAAACATATAATATGTACAATAAAAATGATGAATTTCATTAGATTAAAATAATATGTTATAACATATGTACAACAATGCTCAATGTGATAGTATCAGACAACTTCAATGAAGATTGCCTCTCGCGATTTCATGAGGATCAACTCTTATAACTTGGTTCAAATTTTCTCCGATGATCTTATTTTCATGATGATTATTTCAAGAGAATTTCCTCTCATGATTTCATGAAGACTGGAAACTCCTAATTTCATGAGAAAGCAACCAGTGTGCATCATTAAGCTGAAGTTCTCGTACAATCAACTTACAATTCTAGTACAATTAAGTTACAGTTCTGGTACAATTAACTTACAGTTCAAGTACAATTAACTTACAGTTCTGGTACAATAAACTTATTGTTCAAGTACAATTAACTTACAGTTCAAGTACAATTAAGTTACAGTTGTGGTACAATAAACTTATTGTTTAAGTACAATTTACTTACAGTTCAAGTACAATAAACAGCGTATCTTGGGTGTCTATAACATCTTCTATGGCAATTATGCAAGCCTGGAACATACATGGAAACGTACAATTAGTAAAAGATGGTAGCTGTCTCAATTTTTAGAAAATAATGAAGTCTCACTTTCTTATTTTACATAAAACAAATAAAAAACAATAGTTTAAAATAAAAAATATATATACACATAGTACTAGAATAGGGAGTCACTGGTAATTGGTTTAATTAAAGATCAAAAAAATATTTTTAAATAAATTAATAATATTGTAAAGTACATTGTAATCATAGGTAGGATAAATTCTAAAAAATATTAATGCCTCAGTCACATTTGATCTATGGCAACCATACAGCGGCTTCCCATCAAAAGAAATATGCAGCATAAAATATTGGGATAAGCAGCACAATGTAGATTTTCAATATCAATTTTGTGAAGCTACAGCTGCTGAATGCCCACGATAGAGCAAATGTGCTTAAGCATACATTGGTTCAAGTATACACTTACATGTTTAAGTGATTTTAATATTTTCACCTCAGTCATGACTTGGTTGGCTAAATTCTGAAAATAAATATTTTCTTAATAATTTACTTAAATAATCTTAAAGGTGCAACAATGAGTGCAGAGGGGCCATTCAACGATCATGGACAAGTGTCAAAATATATTTAAGTTTGGTTATTCTTTGAGACTAACATATATTTTAATTTATTATTTCCAAAGAAACCCCCTGGATGAACATTATATTCAGCTGATATTCCTCGAAACATGCATATGGTGAATCTTAAAATCCACAGAAACTTTGAACTGAATTTACACTTCTTCATGCTGAAATTGATAGTTTATCCATACATTTTAAGAAAATAGGTTTGTCAAAGAAGATGTTAAGCCATGCCCTGATAGCTCAGAAAAAGTAAAATAATTCTAATTTTCTCTCTACAGGCCTTGTTGCCCCTTTAAGTTTTCTACTGTTTACAAATTGCCCTTCAAAGACCAATCCAAAAGGTAAAACAAGGCATTAACATACAAAATGTCACCACCTGCCATTTTTTATAGATGCTGAGTACCAAATGCAAACTGCAAACCATCGTACATCATCAACAAAAAAGTTGGAGACTACAACAATATTTCACCCCTTCTGGTGGTGACATAAAAACATACCCCATATCAGAATTTATTGACAAAGATGAAAATCATAATCATTGTTTAAGTCATACTGATCAATTGTAAATCAAATTATACTTATCATATACAGTAAAAACTGTAAAGTAGAATACCTCTAGAAGTGGGACATCTCTGTTAGTGGAACTCTGTTTAGACTTTTGGACTTTGGTCTTTGGACTTTTTAGAGTCTAAAGACCAATTGACCCAATATTACATGAACCTCTTTCCTTTAAACATGTGTGTGGAACACCTCCTAAGTGGAACTATTTTTAGAGGTACCGAAGGTGTTCCACTTAAACAGGTTTGAGTCTATAACCAAATGAGGTTGAAATAACCCTAATAAAAACTTACCACGTGATGGTTTCCACCTATTGTAAACTTTTTCTTGGATATAATTTTTACTGCAAACTTTTTACAAGATCCTTTCTCAAAGGCTAGTTTCACCTCTCCACAAGCTCCCCTAATAAAATACAGAAATTACACAGAACCTTAATATACTCCCCACAAGCTCCCCTAATAAAATACAGAAATTACACAGAACTTTAATATAGGCTAACAAGGAACTTATAAGATAACAACAAATATTTCACTTAAGTTGTTGTTGTTCTAAATCAACTCAATTTTCATTGAGCCACTCCACATGAGAATGTTGCAGAGACCCCATAAATGAAGAAAATTTTCAAATGGAATTTCTATTAATTTCTATGATTACCAGTACAGGAAATAACTTAAGAGGTTCATTTTATGAATATACCATTTATTAGGCAACTTTTGCTTCCATTCAACATTTGAATAAGGGTATGGTATATGTATATGAAGTAAAGATCTTACAAAACAAGGCATTAACATGCAAAATCTCACCAACTGCAATTTTTAGACACCGAATAACAAACACCAACCTCCGAACACCAGCCACCAAACACTGACCACTGCCACGAAGAAGCTGGAGACGATAACAATGTATCACCACTTGTGGTGGTGAAAATAAAAACTACCATAAAAATGAGAAATCTTATACAAGGTCTTACCTTCCAAGTGTTTTTGACATTGTATATTTTTCCCTAATCTCTGGCGGGAGACTCATATCTTCCCCTTGCGTAACATCCATGAACACAAAAGCTGAAAATACAATGAAGAAAATGAACTCTTGACAGTATGGAATATTTTTCCAGATTTGATTGAACCTGTTGTCGGCTCTCTTTCAATAAATATGCTTTGCATACAGTGTATATTTCAAGGCCGATACCACTGCTTTGAGCATGCTTTCTTCAGGAACATGTGTTTTGGACAAGATAACTTCTAAGCAGATGTTAGTGATAGGCCAACTGACGATATATTTGACAGACCAGTTCACTGGATTTGAGTCTGTGGCCTGTAATTATTATTTCAATAACATGTGATATTGAATGAATATAATTGTCTGAGAGAAAGACAAACAAGATGCATCAATGTTATGAAAAGAAAAGTACCTTTGTTCTTCTTTATAGATAGTGCTACCTCGTCGTTGTTGTTTAAAGCTTGTCTGTTGTTCTTGCCTATAAAGAAATATTTAAAAAAATCATGTCAAAAATAAGACCAGGCATTAACATACAAAATGTCACCACCTGCCATTTGTTATAGATGCTGAATGCCAAACACCAACCACTTTTCACAATAAAATTTGAGACCATAATAAAAATGAAATAAATGATGAAACGTCATCTTGAACTTTAATCGAAGGAAAATTAGAAAATTAAAAGGTTTCATTCCTAACTCTTACTTTTTATTTATTTATTTTTGTAACATATTTATGTATATTTACTCATCTTTAAGATGGTAAATAAAAAAAATAACATACATCTTCATCAGGTACACTTATTAACATATTTCGTACTTCTAACCAAACAATCACAATTTTGTTAATGTGCTTACCAACTTTTTCCCCATTAATAAAAGTTCCATTACTTGATCTGTCTTCTAGAAAGACATGCATTCCTGTAGACGTGTTTTCCTGCAATACATGTATAGTGTGAAGATCGATAATTATCTAACATGGAATCAGGTAGATTAGAAAATTTTATCATAGGTTCTGGGCCGATATAAAGATGGCAGCACCAACAGAATTCAGTATTATCTTTATAGATAAACACAGATCGATTACCATGGCATCTTTATTTAAAAATGATTTCTATCGCCCTTAGCCTATGAATTTTACAATACATCCAGTCCATTAAATGACTGCATTCAGATGGTTATCACACTTAGATCCCTATTAACCTACATGTATGCCACATACTCCACCCTCTTTACCACGGGACATACTTTTACTCAGTAACATACTACTGGACAAAATTTGGTTAAGGCAGTGCACAAAGGTATACTTATTCAAAATATAGGGCTCAGGTCAGTAGGCAGGTGAACCACCCTCCTAGCCTAATATTCTATATGCAGTTTTTACCATTTTGAGCAATTTAATGGTGATTTTGGACCAAGATTGTCAAATTTGACCCTCCTGGATTTATTCAAAATCCGACCCCCTTGTCAAAAGCTGGCTACAGGCCTGGGGCATTTGCAGAACTATATTTCTTGATGAACCCCTAATATTTCTGTATAATGTCTATCAATTCATGACTGACATGACCAACATTTCTAACTTTGGCTTACCCTAAATATAGTGAAGTGAACTTTGCTGTAGGCTTGGAAACATTTATGCTGTTTCATTGCTGCTGTATTAAATGGATAGTCGCACGTGTCCCCTCTTCCAAATGTATACTGATCCTTTGTAAAATCTGTAATATAACAATTCAGGGGATTTTATTTCAAACCAACCACACTGACATTTCTCAACCAATAAGCGGACTTGATGGGAGTCTTGCTATATGCATACTCATTAACTATGTAATGACGTCAGAGGGAATGACAAGACAGAAAGTCGCTGTATTTTTTAACACTGAGCTCTGATTGGCTCATGAGTTCAGAGATATATTGTAAACTGAAAGATTGAAGATAAAGTTTTCTCTCTTGAAGAGTGTTGATCTTTCGGAAGTGCTAACTTATCTTCTCTTAGTTCAAAAAATTCTAAAATCCACATGGTTTTTTCATTTCCTGTTTGTTGTAAATTACTGATAACTACTCTGAGACCTAAACTTAACCTAGACCTAGATTTAATGAGAATGCGCTAAAAAAAGAATCAAAGATGGAATCTCCAGGGGTTTCAATAGAATTTCCCACAACAGGCTTTAAATGAAAACAACAGGCAAAATTAATGGAAATCATAAATTTATCATGAAAAATTTGAAAAATCCCTAAAAAACAACAGGCAATTTTGTGAAAACAACCAGTGAAAATTGCCTGCTGCTAATGACCCTAATGATACTTATGACCTCACTCAGTTTGCCCCAAGTGACTAATCATGCTAGGAATGGGTAATATGGCAAGGAATTATGCAGAACAATTTCGCAGGATATTTGAAGGGATTTGGTTGCCAATGAATAAGCCTAACTTTGAGCAAATTTGCAGGACAATCCCACGAGTCGTGCAGGGTCGTAGGGTTCGCAGGGTTCGGGTTCCCCCCCCTGGCCAAAAATTCTTTCAAAATCATGCAGTTTTTCACTATTTTGAGCACTTCTCAAGTGATTTTAGGCATATTTGGGCCAAAATTGTCAAATGTGAACCCCCCTCCCCTCCCTGGAAATTTTTGAAAACTGAACCCCCCCTTGGCAAATCCTGGCTACGGGCCTGTCGTGTTACACTTGACCTGCTTGAATAAAGGCAAAGGGTTTCTCATAGTAATGATTGTAAAGTGTTACTCAAGACTCTAACCAATACTTGCCATAGAATATGGTAAGTAGAGTGGTATTCATAAAAAGGATAAACACATAAGCAACAGATAACAGTTACTTCCTGGAAAAGTAGATCTAGTGAGTCCAAACATGGGCTTTCATTGCATAAGCGATAGCATCAACCATGGGCTCTCTTGAAAGCCCATGCATCAAGTGATAAACTGCATTAGTGTCCAGTCGACAACATTTACAGTGTCTATGAAGGAGAGGTTGAAAGCCCATGGTCCAAACTCAGGGCTGTCCACTTGGGACCATCAAATATGTGTGACTTACAAATGTTGAATACCCTCCTTCATATTTTGGACACCTTACTGAACACTGATCAATATAGCACACCTAAATCTTTTTCCAATCTTGGTTACCAAGTCCGTCAAGGTGGGTGGGTAGGTGTGAATATTTTCGATACGAATGCGTGATATATACACATTTCGGACCAAATGCTTGACATGAACAGCAATCGCGTGCAAAGACCGAACAGAATGCGTTCGCTTTTTTTCACCGTTCGGACTATCAACATAATGTATGATTTGCGTGACATTTGATCATACACGCTAAATTGATGTGCGATTTCTATTTTTCCAGCAAATGCGTGACAATCACGTCTAATGCATGAGGGACAGGGCTGCAAACTATATTTGATATATATTAACATGTTACAGGCTGTCACGTTACTGGTGCACCATTGTAGATGTCAGCTGAACTGATGATGAAAGTGAGGCGAAAATAAATATAAATCATGATAAATATAGCCTAATGATTGAAAAATACAAACTTTTCCCGGCAATTTTTTTCACGTGTGCTTACCCAATGCATAGAAGCTCGTCCCAAGCGGAAAAAATCTACCCCAGACTTCTTCCTGGGACTCATCGTCCGACAGGAATCCATCTGCAACATCCTGTGTCGGTGCAGTCTCCATAGTTTGGCCTCCAGACGAATTACAAGTTGAAGGATTTTCGATTTTTTGGCTCATGTTTGTTTACCTGGAGACCCCTTAGTATAATATAAGTTATTTTCAGATACCCTTTTGGAAGGTTTTGAAAGGTTATGCAAATAAACTTAAAATTGGAGACTATCGGAATTTCGTGCTCTAGTCTTCTTTTTGAGTCATATAGAATGACAACCCTAGACAACCTGTGACGTGTCTAATCTATTTGACAATACCGCACTTGTAATCAAGGGGTCTTTGAGCACTTTTATAGATGGTATTATTACGCCAAAAGTAGTGCGAAAATGGCATTTTTACTACAAAGTTTCTCATCCATTTAAGACATAGTTCAGGTTTCACATCTATTACATGATGGAAATGGCTGATCCAGACCAATTGTGTTTGTTTCATGGTGAAGCAGAGCTATCAGAGAATGTCAGAAAGGTACGTACACTGTAGTTATTCTAAGTTTAGTATCGTGACCTTGACCTTAGAAAAACATGTGAATTTGGGCGATAATTGGTGAATTGAAAGCGAAAATGGGTCATTTTTTGTAGATTTCCTTTCCCCATCCCTAGCAAAAAATTGAAGTGATAAACCTACCCTCAATTTTTGATATGTTTGTTGTCTTGGATGGCTCTAGATGATATTTAAGTTTAAAAAAAATTCTATGTCAGGAAATATTTGAAAAATAAGTGCTTTTTTGGTAGGTTTGGTGCTTTTTTTACCCCAATTTTTTAAGGAATTTGCATGGTTGCTATGGTTACCATGAGATCGCGGTAGCCAAGACAACTTGATTTTTGAAGCTTATCTATAAGGTGATGGTTTTGCAAAGTTTGGTGGAAAACGGGTCTAGGATGATACACAGTCATTCGGTCCAGTGTTGCAGATAGTAAATCAGCAAATCAATGGTGGAGTCCTACCATTATTTTAGCTGTTTTGGACCCATTCTTGCAAGGTAAGCACTCTGTGACATCACAGAGAACATCAAATTTCCATAGAATGAAATTCAAAATGAAGTTTGCTCTGTATGCTATCCAGTATACCAAATCAAAACATTTTTCTCTAAAAATAGACATAATTGCAGCCAATATGATATGGCAGTACCAACCCCTACCCCAAACAAGCAAAAAATATTTTTTTGCTCCAAAAAATTCACTTCCGGTTTTGAGATTAAAGTTTTTTTCTGGGAAATTTGAATTTTGCAAGATGGCTGAACCAGCATGGTTTAAAAATCTCCAAAAAATATTGCAAGCAGGATCAATTGAAGACAGTAATGGTTGCTGGGTTTGGCAGGGCCCACTACACGGGGGGTATGGTAGGGTTTCCATTTCATTTCCTTTGAGTTCCAATATTCCAAAGAAGACGTTATATGCCCATCAAGTTTCAGTAATTTTTAAGTTAAAAAGATTTGATTTTTTGTTTGAGGTAAGTGATGATTCAAAGGAATGCTCACATTTGTGCCATGTTAAGCATTGTGTGAATCCAACACATTTAGTTTTAGAGTCCCATTCAACAACTTAGGCCAGGCAGCCCTAGCTGTAAACTTTTAATGCCCAGGCGATGCAGCAAAAATCATGACGAACCATTTTGCATTTTAAAATAGACATTTTGCTATCTATTTATTTATTATGTGTATACAGGTACAAAAATACATTTTTCCATATAAAAGCCTTATTGAAATATGCAGTCATACACAATACACCCCTCCCCCTTCCCTCCCTTTAGATCCCCTTACAGTAGCCCCTCCTTCTTTCCTTAGGTTCCCTTAGTGTAATCTGTAAGTGAGTCTAAGGGCAGGTATGGGGTAAGCCCCACCCCTACCTGCCCTTAGATTCACTTACCGTAAGACCCCCTCTACTGATGTTTTTGCCTATTAAGCCTAGCCCTTTTTTGCTTTATTTCTACTTGTTGATATGTATGATCATTGTTCCTTTTTAATGTAGGTACATTGTATTTTTTATAGTCTGACCGTTGCCGTTTTCCCCGTCCATTATAAAAATCTGACATTTGCGATTTTCTGCGTTTTACCCGTTGGGCTTTGACAGAGTCTCTTTTTTGCCAGGAACTTTTGTATAGGGCTTTTTTCTGTATCCGTTTGAAAAAATTCGATATCCTTCCTGCTATAGGAATATTGATTGCATTCAATTTTTTGCACATCGAAACTCCCGGCCCATTGTTCAAAGTGTGAATTGTCCCAAAAACACGGCTGGTACCATTTCGTGACCATCTTACATTTTTTGGGACCCTGGCGGTGATAGCCCTATTTGCTGCTTCGTTGGAATTTGTTGATTTCCCAGATTTCATCAATTCGAAAGAAGCTCGCGACATTAGAATATCAATAATGTCTCTAAGAATTTCAATGTCTATTTTATCGGGTCTGAAACTGCCCTTTATGATCGGTGGGTTTACATTTTTGAAATGGTAAGATTTATTCCACCATGTATTTTTCCCTCCGTCGCATTGGCTGTATACACCCTGCTGTCCGCAACTGGAACAATCGCCTGTGTAGCATTTCACGATAGCGCTAGCGGATGATGCTATTTTTCCACTTATTAAATTGATATTCTCATCGAATGTTAAATTTTGGTCGAATTGTTTTCGTATCATTGTGATGGCCCCATTACACCGCATTTTGATATCGGAGCCTAGTACCTTCTTGATTTCACCTACCGATATATTTGGCGTGTTCAAACCAAACATGTCGTTAGAAAATTCTGCTCGCTGAACTGCGCGAAATTGGCACTGGGCTGAATGAATAGGGTCTTTTTGTGCAATCATTTTATTCTCAGGAATCGCGTCATTGAGACCATTTATGGATTGAGAGTCCCCATCACTGATAACCAAATTAGGGTTCAAGCCTTCGTGCGATAAATTTCTTCCAATCATATAAGCCAGGTGACGTTCCGAAAGTGGTGTTGCTCTATCATAATTTGCCGTACAACCAGAATGACCAGGACATTTGACATTTTCATACCCTTTTCCGCGTAAATACGCTCCCACCCAGCATAATTTGTTTGCTACATGGGCACCAATTATAAAGTTTCTCTTCGTGTTGTGCTCTCGAACTGTTGTGTATGCTTGTGTAGCACTCTGGCCGTATTTATTTCTTGATGCGATTTGATTTGAATTATACATTGCATCAATAGAAATATCTACTGCATTAGTATCGCTTTCGCCTTTAAGGTTATTCAACTTTTTGACATATTCTATTTTCTCAAATATGTCCCTCCTTGCCTCGGTAAGAATAGCTGATCCTACTTGGTTTGAGGTCTTGTACATGCTACTTGTGTTTGGAGGCTCAATTCCACAGGCCGCAAATGCTATCTGTACCTTTTTTACGCCAATTGTTGATTCATTAATGCCAGCATGAAGTCCAATGTTATTCACGGCTGCTTTTCGTCCTCTTTTCTGAGTCTTTACGATGTTATACATTTTGAAGTTTTGTGATTGAAAACCGCAGCGAGTACACTCATACGTTAATGTACACGTAACTCCCCATTTTTGCGTGTATATTCTTATGGCTGGATTGTGACATTTTGGGCTTTCATTAGTATGCCTTACTACATGAGACAACAGGTCTTCAACTTTTTTAACACTCATAACATGGCAAATATCATTGTCAGTATTTTCATGGTCTGGTGATTTTGGCTTTGGCCTCAGTAGTTTTAGGCCATCCGTGCCATCCAGTAATGGGGTCCTCAGTACATCTTTATCCTGCTGAACAATGCAGTCCTGGTCCTCATATGTGAGCCTTTTCCATGGAAGAGTGTGTTTTTCTTTGAGATCTCCATATCTCCTACCAGGTATGTATGCATGTCCCTTGGAAAATGCTGACTTTTTTCTCTGTTTTTCAAAAGGCATTTTGTTGATATTTGGATGTTTTGAGAGTAGCTGTTGTCAAGAAGATGACATATGTGTATTAATATGATGTCACACATATCAAATATGAAATATTATGTGATGTCATACAGAGAATCTGGCTGGTAAAATTAGTCTCATGGATACCAAGTTGCCATGATTGGAAACATTCAAATAATGCCTAAAAATGCTAGAAAATAGACATAATCATCATTTGGTACCATTATGACGTCACACTGTGTCATATGATGTCATAATATCAGTACCAAATTAAAGGAATATATATAAGCTTTAAAATGGTACCAAATATGTATATATTTTCTTAAACCAATTGAAAACAGCTATCAGTACAATGCTCCTTCCACTCCCCTACCCCATGTTTTCTCAAGTCCCCAAAATTATCAAAATCCAATTTATGTAGGCATTTTCAGGGGGCATTTTATATCCATTTTTATTCATAATACCATATTTCTGCATATCGTATTGATCGGAATTGTCAAAAATTGCTATAAACATATTGGATCGTGTTGCATACGAAAATATGCGCTCATTATGGTATTATTACGCCAAAAGTAGTGCGAAAATGGCATTTTTACTGCTTGGCATAAAGTTTCTCATCCATTTAAGACATAGTTCAGGTTTCACATCTATTACATGATGGAAATGGCTGATCCAGACCAATTGTGTTTGTTTCATGGTGAAGCAGAGCTATCAGAGAATGTCAGAAAGGTACGTACACTGTAGTTATTCTAAGTTTAGTATCGTGACCTTGACCTTAGAAAAACATGTGAATTTGGGCGATAATTGGTGAATTGAAAGCGAAAATGGGTCATTTTTTGTAGATTTCCTTTCCCCATCCCTAGCAAAAAATTGAAGTGATAAACCTACCCTCAATTTTTGATATGTTTGTTGTCTTGGATGGCTCTAGATGATATTTAAGTTTAAAAAAAATTCTATGTCAGGAAATATTTGAAAAATAAGTGCTTTTTTGGTAGGTTTGGTGCTTTTTTTACCCCAATTTTTTAAGGAATTTGCATGGTTGCTATGGTTACCATGAGATCGCGGTAGCCAAGACAACTTGATTTTTGAAGCTTATCTATAAGGTGATGGTTTTGCAAAGTTTGGTGGAAAACGGGTCTAGGATGATACACAGTCATTCGGTCCAGTGTTGCAGATAGTAAATCAGCAAATCAATGGTGGAGTCCTACCAGATGGCACTCAGCGTATCTGATTTTTTCGTTTATTGCAAATAGTACTTCCCTGCATATAATTCCCCGGGGAATAAGGATGATTCATTATAACTGAGAAGTCAGTGGCGGACAAATAATTTTGGCGAATAATAAATTGTTAGTTACAAATATTTCTAGTCCTTACAAACATAAAATGCACCCGACTTTAGTATCTGTTTGTTTATTTGATACATCATATTTGTATTTGTAATTTGGGAATTTTATTTGTAAATGTTACATTAATATTATAAAGTGCCAAGGCTAGTACTTATTCATTGATAAATTCGACATTCAGTATAAAACACATACATACGTATATATACGTTTTAACGAAACAAAATAGATTAACGAACAGAAAAGGCAAACAATGACTGAATGAAAATACTCAAGTTACGAACATAAATTTGCATTTAACAAGTACAGAAGTTCAGTTTACGAATACATATAGTAAAATACGAATAAAGCAGAAAACATTCCATATTATTTTTTTTGGATGGACTCAAATTTTCAACACGAAGTTTGGCCCAAAATTAGTATGCAGTTTGATTTGGGCAGGAAAACTGAATGTGCGTCGGCATTTTGGAATCCAGTATGTACGCCTTTCAGTACAATGTGCATCCATATAGAATATAGATTAGTGGTTCTCAAACAGGACATAAAGCTTAGCCTTTTTGAAATTTTTGTTAAGTGCTAGATTTCTAAATGTACTCAGACTAGTGCTTGAATGACTAGTGTGAATGTTTTGTTCTTTTACGATTTGATAAGAGACAGAGACTAAGAAATTAAATGCGACGACATATTTTGACAACGTAATACATGTATGTAAAGTTCTATGCGTTAATTTATTTTATCTGTTTCAAAATGTTTCATTTTATTTTGCCTATATAAAAGAGATTTGAGAAGATAAGATAAACTGTTCCGTAATATATATTGTGTTTTAATAACCTTTTTTAGAATCACAATGTAAAATGAATCCCCCGTTCCTGCCATTCTAGTAACGCCGTAATGGATGCTATTCAAAGTGAGGCGGGGAGAGATCCATGAACATCAAGATGCGTCCATCCCATTAATTTGGCCAAATACATGGCATGAAACTGGCCTAAGCTTAAGTACGTCCCCCCCTTTCTCTAGATCTGGTAAAGTATGACTATATTTTTCGGAGTAATGGGTTTCGGACAACTGGGTTTCGGAGAATTGGGTTTCGGACAACTGGATTTCGGACTTATGGGTTTCGGACAACTGGGTTTCGGACAACTGGGGTGTACCCCTTTCAAAACAAAAGAGACCCAATTATCCCATTTTGGATCCCCTAGAGTCTGTCGGTTACTGTCACTTGATGGAAGATGGCCATTGAACCAGATATTGCCTACACTGGATAACTATTAAGAGGGTGAAATGTCCCAGAATTCATAAATAAACTTATAGTTCTATATAAGGGAACATGGGGCAAAACGGCCCTCTGGGGGCAAAAGGCCCATCGAAATATCTTTTGAACTATAAAAGATGGTTCTTCAAAAGTCACATCGTCGAATTTTGAAATTTCTGCCACCTTCTCGACCGCCCATTTTTAACCAAGCAGCGTCTCGCTTTGCGTAAGAGGCAATTCTACTTTTCACCCTCTTTTTGTAAATTACCCCTCCCGGTCACGAGCATCTCTAAAAAATCTTGCAACAATAGAATATGGTTTTGATTTAACATTTTACATAGAGTATGCATATTTATTTTTTATTTGTAAAAATTTCGAGCTTCAAATATTAGGCAAATTAAAAACGGCCCACAAAGGTTATAACATACAAAAATCTAATTGTGCAAGAACAATTGGTTTTCAAATATAACGATTTTAACATTTGGCGTGTACCTTATTTCCTTCCGACACAGATCGAATGACTAGATAGAATTATGGTAGGGTTAAGAATACTTTATCTGTCAAAGGTTTGAACGTCTGAGATGTGTGTGGACGAGTCTTGTAATTGATTAATTTTGGTTTTAAAACCCATGTAACAGAGTGTGGGCAGTTTTTCCCCATCCATGGGCCGTTTCGCCCCACTCTCGACAATATTTTTGACCATTGAAAAATCACAGAAGATAGTCTTTACACCCCAGTCACATTTCCTACGGCGACCTTGCGGTCTATCATTTCTGCGGCCAGTAACATTTCTACGCTCGCCGTGGAATTTCTGCGCTCTCATACTTTTGCAGTCACATTTCCCACGGCAGCCGCACGGTGAATTTTAAATTTCTGTTGATAAATAATACTTTTTTCATTTTATTTACATCGGGACAATTTATAAATGTTATTCATAGTGCTAGGATGTAATATCAAATGAAAAGTGATCGTGAAACATTGACAAATAATGATTCAATCTTGTTGAGCCAGTTGATTTCTACGGGGACCTCAGAAATGAACAAATATTATAACTCCGAGTTATAATTTCTACGGCGACCCTGCGGCCTGTAAAAAAACTGGATACGCCGTACGAAGGCCGCAAGGCGTAGTTTTCCTACGCTCGCCGCAGAAATTCACCGATTTAATCGATCTGCGGTCGACGCACGGCCTCCGTACGACAAATGTGACTGGGGTGTTAGACAAGTATAAAACACTCGAAAAATGTAAACCACAACCCATTAATAAAGTGGAACATCAAAGTGCGCGATGATTGACAGATAAGAAAATACCCCGTACAGAACAACTTAAAATTAAATTTTTAGGGCCGTTTTGCCCCATGTTCCCTTTAGCGTGAATCTCTAAATAAGTTCCTCTATGAATTCTGGGGTATTCCCCCTGTTATATATATTCAGCTCGTGAGAAGCAATGATCTGGCAGGCACATGCGGCGATAGCCTAAATCGCATGGCCTTCAATAAGTTCACTCATGTGCATGGCGTGATCTAAGCAAATTACAAATCAATGATTAGGGGAACTAAAGTTCACCACAACCATTTTTTAAACTTTTTAATAATACTTCTAATATTTGAAATTGTTCCTATAAAAATATATATTCATTATTCAAAAATCTTATTTTATTTCAGTTATCTTAAAAACTGCATCAATTAAAAACTAAATGCCACAAATTACAAGATGCATTAATCACATGATAATGTAAAATCAATTTGCTTCATGGGTGACAAAATGTTTCTACTTTCTACTTTCCTGGTGAATGTCGAGTCTCGCATCATGCGAATGTAATTTTTGGCGATCTGTCTGCATGGGGTGGAACAGGACAACGTGTGTATAGAAGCATTGATTGGAAGTGTAGAATTCTAAATAGGTTCCTATTTAGAAAAAAGGGGGGAGTAGGCGATTTCTGCAAGAAAACTCAACAAATAGGAAGATTTATTTTTCAAGAGAAAATTTACGACTGAATTGCCAAATGAATAGGCGCAGTGCATGGCAAAATATGTTAGGTCTTCTAGTGTTTTTTTGAACTGATACTCTTCTGAGATATGAGATCTATTAAACAAAGGCGCATCATCACCAACGTGCAAAAGTCAATATGTTTTTGCTATAAATCAGGCAATAATGGTCGGGTAGGTATAAGGGACGTCATTATCATAACACTGATGATATTGCTCACTTTTTAAAGTTAGTTTCCATGCGTTATACAAAAAATAATCGAAATAAATTAATATTGGATGGAGGGGGGAGTTATATGTCTTTACAATGGAACAAATTCACTAGTGTATTTGAAAAAAACAAAACTCAGTACCCCAGTAAGAAACTGGATATTATATCTCTGGAAAATAAAAAATGGGAAAATTTGGAGTTATAAGAATAAATTCAAGTAGCATGTCTTATCATTTCTTATATACACGTTACCCCCCCCCCTCTCCATCCAATATTAATATATTTCGATTATTCGCCCCCACCACCCACTTTAAAGTCGTTAAACGAAGTTTTGAGATTTGATCGAATGGCCGTATATAAGTGACTGGTCACTCCTAAAGTCAAAAAAACATCTGACCATTCACACAAACAACACTATAAATAGATCACTTTCTTCACTTGAAGTTGAATTAAATCCGATAATAAAGGTAAGCAGTCGAAGATAAATATAGGTTATTTACTGGGAGGGATTGAATATGGATTTTATTCCGAGGGACAATATGATATTGACCGAAGGGTGATATGATATTGACCGAGGGAGCGCAGCGACCGAGTGTCAATATCATATTTCCCAAGGTCAATATCATATTTTCCGAGGAATGAAACCCATATTCAATCCCGACCAGAAATAACCTATTTATTCCATAATACATTCCTCTAAAATGTCACATTTTGAAAATGCTTTTATCAATTAGGTAAGGTTAAAAATAACAGGAAAACCAAAAATAGGTTAATATTTTCCAATACGATTTTTTTCCCGGGGACAATACGATTTTTTCATGTAATACGCTCCAATACGATTTTCTTCCCGGGGACAATACGATTTTTTCATGTAATACGATTCAATACGATTTTTATTCCTTCATATTTCCCTGGGAAAACAGTAGTATTATGGAATAATTCTATTTACACTCAAGTTATAATATTGCACGATTTGTATGTTCAATTATGCAGTATGCTATATGGAAAATACGAATGTTTTTAGAAACCGTTTTTGTTTATTCCGAATATTAAGGTTTGTAGGTCTGATAAAGTTATAAAATTAATAGGACAGAGAGGCATCAAGAGACGCATCAACTGACAACATCCCACACATTTGTGAGCAAAATGATCACTCCCTTGTTCACACTATTGACACTTACCACAGTCGGATCCCATGGGGCCCGGCACCCCTCTTTTTGTGGGCCCAGAATTTTTTTAGGGCTACGAAATGCTTTAGACCCAAATATTTTGTATTGCTTTAAAATGGGCCTTTTGACGGCATAATTTGGTCGTTTAGGCCTTTTTTAGGCCAAATTATCAAAAAATGGGTTTACAGTTTCAAAATTTGGGCCCAATATTTGGTTTTCGGCCCCCAGGAAAAAATCTTCTTGACTCAATATCCCCCCCCCCTCTGTTAGCTTCTGGATCTGCCAGTGTTTACCATACCGAGAGCACATTGATGCACAGGGATGTATTTTAAAGAATTTGTATTGATATGGCGAATTGAATTCAACATTGTTTTTCTCTAAACCAATTATTGGAAACGGTCTGTAAAAAACACGGTCCTAATGGTCACTGACTGACAACAATTTAATGCGAAAATTACTTATATATTTTATGTAACTGTTTTTGTTAGTGCAATTGTTTTTTTGTTCCTTTCTACCAATTCTTAAGAATGAAATAAAATATCTTTCCGAACATTGTTGGAACAAAATAGTGTATTCAACATTTTCTTAGACCTAACCATATTATAGTTATTTAAAACGAAATTCTAGAATATTTTGATGACTTGTTATAAGAGACACATTGTGCTCAATTCAGTTCGCCATATCGGTACCAGTCCTTTATGAATTAACAATCCTATTGTTCCTTAATTATGATGTCACTTCTCCCATAGCAACAACAATGAATTTATGAATATTGTTTTTTAATGTTACAAGAATGCACCGCATATACATATTTGGATTGGTGCATAATTCTTTCGGATATTGCCTCGTTGATAATGACGCATTAATTACATAAAGTAATCATTTATGTAATACATGATGTGGTGACTTGAACGATTCAAAAAGAAAGTTGGATGAAACCTGACATTGAAACAAAGACACAACTAAAACTTCTTGCATTTTACCATTCTATTATTTTCCGTTCCCTTTTTATTAAAAACAACAGCATGTCACCTGAAAGGCCATTTTTGGACCACGTGTTCAAGCCTACGTATGTTTTGGGGGTTTGGCAAATTCATTATCTGACACTGAACAACAAAAATATGATTCATACCTAAGTATGTTCAACTCCTTAAAACCCATCTTGATTCACAAGGTATAGTTGCTTCAATTTTAGCTCAACGTCGTTAAACTCAATAACGGCGTTCTTTACTATTAGGAATTTTCTTGGCCATGACTTGACATATCAGATAAGAAACGAGGCCTAGGCTAGGTCTAATGTTGTTGGACTACTTCAACTTCCAACTTGTCATGACACCTTTGGAGTCGAAGATGGTGAAAACCCAGAGTGAGCCAGAGAGATATATCGTTCATAGATTTTCTCACTGAAACAAAATTAAATTTGACAAATTGCTTGACGTGTGTAATGAGTGTAATGATTCTATATCAATTACCATGATCATTGACATGCGTACAAATCTGAACGTCTTCATTTCAGATGTTGAGGTTCCTGTTAGTTTCAGCCTTGTTCGCAGTTACACTGGGTAAGATACTAAATATAGTTTATGCCCTACCCATCGACCCTTTCTTGCTATATTTCTGCGAGTTAAGAAATGTGCAAGTAATATTTACAAATTCATTTGTCCTTTGCTACGCACAATATAAGCCCCATGATAATGGTAACGTTTATTTATGAGATTATACAGGCCCGTAGCCAGGATTTGCCAAGGGGGGGGGTCAATTTTCAAAAATTTCCAGGGGGGGTTCACATTTGACAATTTTGGCCCAAATTAGGCTAAAATCACTTGATAAGTGCTCAAAATGGTCAAAAACTGCATGATTTTGAAAGAATTTTTGGCCAGGGGGGGGGGGGGGTTCGCCCGAACCCTGCGAACCCCCCCCCCCCTGGCTACGGGCCTGTTATAAATGGTCACAATCCAGGATGATTCCTAGGTCACAATGTGGCCGTGGGTGGTTTATATTCGTATCTGAAAGTGCATGCTTTTGATCTTACTTTTAGCCCAGGACCAGTGTTTTTGTGGGTCTGGACCGTGGGCTTACTTTAGAGGTTTCTGCTACACTAAGACGAGTGGTTCGAGATACAACTGGGGGGAATTACAGAGAGTAAGCTTATAAGCATTACAATAAGATTACAGAGTGATATTTTAGCTTTTCGAAGGGCGAAGTATGAAAGTGAATATTGCATTAATGCTATTTTTGTTTGCTCTCAATTAATATAATATTGTTACTGTACTTTGGCGATGGTAGTTCCCAAGCTACATTTATGGAATATGGATAATTATATGGAATATACTTCTATGGGATATGAATTTACTTTCAATTATTTTAAATATAACGGTTGCATTGCATCAACTTCATGATCATATACTAAAGCATTCTCAAAATCCATTTCGTTCGTTGCGTACCTTCACTACCTGAAGTAAAGGAGGCACGGATTTCACTGAACGAAAGGCTCAGAGACCTTATTCCAAGGAACTACTGTACTTTCATCGGCAAACACATAAACGGCGTTGTAACAAGGGTATTTGAAATGATATTGTCAGAAATAAAAAGTTGATTCATGCATGTTGACCATTCATGTTTGCTAAATATACTTTGATATACACAGACATGTAGGGATCTTGGAGATGGTTCCCAGGCTGTCTCCATCCACAATTCGAATGAGAACAGATTCAGTCACGCTACAGGCGGGAACAGCAAGTTCTGGATCGGTGGTCAGTGCACAAGGGGAAGAACCCATGGCGGTAGACATCCAGGATTCCGGTAAGGGTGCATTCTTTACTACCATGTCTTTCATTCATTTCATTTCATTTTGAACATTTTATGACTCCAAGAGAGTGCATGGATACACTTTCGCGAAACTATGATGACAACGCTTCCTTTCGTAGTAGTAAAGTGGTATTCATTAGCCACTTCACATTGACAAAACTTGAAAATATAATCTAGTTGAAAGCCCGTGACTTTATACACGATTATATGTGATTGTGATATAGTAAGAGATATTCTAATATATGCCTACAATACGGTTATACGATTATTCCGTTTACTATAGATGGTCTGATGGTACACCCTGGAATTACTCTGCCTGGAAGAGCGGGGAACCAAGCAACAGCTTCGGAAATGAGGAATGCATTTGCCAGGCTGATAGAGGTACCTGTATACACATAGAGAGTCCAAACGTCATAAAATTAAATCAGAGCTTTTTGAATTAAATATTTTTCACTTAAATTCAAAAGAGTTACCTGTGTAATACTTGCGTGTTTGCATTCATCTCCTCACCGGGGTTTAATCGGTTATGATATGATAGACTTGATAGCTTATAATTAGCATTTCCAAATTAATCGTTTTATGTACCCATTGTAATCATGAGTCAACGTAAAATAACAAGATAGTAAGCGTTTGGCAATGTACCCCGGATGCTTATTTCACATACGCCAGTAATCGATTTAGCAAAATTGGCACTGGATTATTTCTACCTTTAGGTGGCGATGGCTGGAATGACGTACATTGTAGAGACAGACACGCTGGTGTTTGCAAGAAAAGTAAGATGATATTAGACATCATTACTTTTATAATCTTAGTTTAGATGTCTAATTATTTTTCAAGTCTTATGGAACGTTGGAGGAGTGGGACATTTTGACCATGTTAATCTACGCACATGTTGTTTAGAATGTTGGGTTGGATCACTGTGGGAATGATCAAACTGGAATATTTGAGCATGACTAAATTGGACCAGTTAAATTGAACATTAGTTTAATCACAAAAGTATCACGAAAAGAAGAATAAGCCCAGTGATGCAAATTACATGTTTTCAAGAACAGCTCATCCAAGCGCACTTACACCATACCGCTATATCAACCTTTTCAATCACACCCGCGCCGGCTAGCCGATCCCTGGTGCACCACAGGAGTTCTATTGCAATAAACTGTGATGTCAAAGTAATAAAAAAGTGTACGAGCGCTTGGATGTGCTATTTTTGTTGAAAACATATGACCATGGGGAAACTCATTAAATATTACGCGATTTACTTGCGCAACGGATAGATCAAAACCGCAGTCATAAGCTTTAGTTTGATAATTTTTTAATTTCAAAGAGAAACTTCTTTCTCAATGTCATTATGTTCACTCCTCCTTTACTCCTCCTATAATAGTGTTGTGATTGGGTCAACTGTTATCACTTCTTCATCGACAAGATCGTGTGCAAAATTCGTGTGCAAAAAAACTCCACGTATGGACCATGAGAAAGCACACGGTGTAGACTTCATTTGTTACTTAATTTGTTTATTAAATTTTCGCAGCACCATGTGAAAAAAATCAGTATAAGGTTACACTAAGTGTACTTAAAAATATTTTTAGACCATGGTCTAGTGATAAAATTATTAGATTTACGGACTGACTGAAAAGCCAGGCTGAAAAATAACACTACAGTTGGGGACAAAAATAAATGACAGGTCGATTTTCGATCACCATTTCCTAATTATGGTGGTCTGAAAGCCCATAATTTCCAGTATTGTCTAGATACATATCCCTTAAAATTTGTATATTTTACATTTTGTATAATCTCATCCACTGATTTATGGCCTCTTGTAAATTCTCTTATTTTTAACATGGGAAATCCTCACTTCAGCAAATCCACCTGTCATTTATTTATGTCCCCAACTGTAACAAAACTTACTTAACACTCACATGAACGATCTATTATACTACCATCAAGATGTGGTCGCCATCGGCCTCTACGAAATGGTAACACTTAAGTAATTGCAACCATTTTAGAATCTTAATGGTATGTTAATAACTTGACATTGCATTGCTTATTTTATATTTTAGCTGCAAGGCAAAGGTGCTAAGGCCAACAAAGGAGAAACCACCTGACATGAGGTTTAGCTGGATGGCTAGATAATAATTTTTACTATAGTCTACACCCAGTTATTGGATTCAAATAAAATATTCTTGAAATCAAATATGTGTTTCTTGTAGATAATAATTGCATGAATATACCCAAAGAATATTTTAAGTGATTCGCATGTTATGTACTTGAGAAATTAGTTTATTGACCCAATACGTCTGGAGTTACACGATATATAGCCTTGCCCAAGTCTTTATTATATTTTGTTTATTTTGATTTTCTTTATGTACAGGCTGTGAAAATAAAATATAAAAAATAAAAAGACACAGCATTGGGTAAGGCTACATGATATACTAAGAGTGCATTTAAAAAATAATGAGCCACCTTTTGAAAAAGACAGCGTCACTAATTAGTATACTTAAGCAATGTATGAATACGCATGGTTAAGTTGTTACTACTGTGCGTGCGTCTACATTAGATTGGACTTCTCTCCTCCAGCCTAAATTGTAATATGTATGAATATAGTTGTACTTCTTTAGATCACGTTCAAATGTGAAGTTGCATCGTACATTCGATTTTAATTTGACATTGCAAATACAATCATATGATACATTAATTGATTCTGAGATTCATTAATAGGTGGAAATTTCATTACTGATGTAATATTACTGAGTCAAAAAAAGAATTTATCTTATAATGCATTAGTCAAGAAACTCATGAAACGCCATACATTCTGGTTTTTCTGATAACCTGCAGAAAATATAATATTTGGCCATATTGTATATGTGGAGAGTAGCGCTATTATTAAAGTAGAATAAAACTGTTTCCGCAATTTTGTAGGAGGAAATAAAGATACAGTATACGCTACATTACAATACAATACAATACAATACACAGGGGCGGATCTGGGAACCAACAAGGGGGGGGGGGGCAAATTTCAGGTCAGAGAAAATAACTTAGAGAAAATCTTTGGGTTTTGGGCCCATTTTCTTCAAAATTTGGCCTGGAATTAAAAAAATATAAAACCTTACAAGGCCCACTTATGACCAAATAGGCCCACTTTTTGGTTGGGGCCTTAGGCCTTTTTGGCCAATTTTTTTCTGGGCCAACAAAGATCCGCCAGTGATACAACACAAAACAGAACCTGGATATACTGTTGTTATAGTTACTTAAATTATGATACCTTTATCTAAATGACACGGCGTCTTACCACTCCTACCGTCCAATGTTTGTAAAAATAAAGATCTCTACCTAACGTCCCAAAAACCATATGGCCGTTCACACAATCGACTATGTATATATTACATCACTTTTTCCACTCAATTTAGAATTCTTTTTGATTTCTGACAATCAAGGTAGGTTGTCGAGGATAATTCTGCTTGCGATTTCTATGTTCAGTAATGCCGACTTAGCAGTATTATATGAAGAATACGAATGTTTTTAGAGAACATTTTGTATATTCCGAATAGTAAGACTAATTTGTAGAAAAGCTATTTGATCTCCTTTAGTTATACTTCAAAATTCAGATGACAGAATAGCATCAACTAAGCCTAACAAAATTTTAACATCTTTAAAGAATTGGTATCGATGTGACCAACTGAACTGAACACATGTTTCTCTTAAACCAGTCTACATCAAAAATGTTACACATCGTCAATTTAATGATCCTATACTGAATGATAACGATTTAATTGAAAAAAATATGTATATACTTTTCTCTATATTGTTTTAGAAAACACATCAGACACTTCTTTTGTTCTCGGTATCATATGTTTGGAATGAAATGTAACATCTATCCGGACCTCATTGGAACAAAATGAACATGTACAAGTACACAACGTGTTTAGGACTCTCAATATTGCAATTGTACAAAGGAAAGTTTGCTACCCTTTGCATTCGTTTGACTTCACTTCTTAAAAGAGAGCTTCGTCTTGTAGTTTAACTAGACTCTGCACGCAGGGTAAAAGTTTGCTTGATTTAAAAAGTATCTTGTAAATGAAATAAAAGGTTTAATCTAATTTATATATACATATATTTTTTTGAATAATGAACTGAAATTTCCTTTGTATAACTAAGATTAACTATAATTGAGAGGTCTAAGAAAATGTTGTCTACTTTTTATGCTATTATTTTCCAACAAGGTTCGGAGATATCTTTTATTTCATTCTCAAGAATTGGTAGAAAAGAACTAGAAACAATACTACATTGGGAGTTTGTGTAGGTTTAATTGTGAAATTCACTGTCTAGAATGTTCTTTTAAGAATTTCTAGAGTTCTAGAAACTAGACCAGATCTTTCTGAAAATATGAAAAGATCAGTTTGCTAAAATTTTACCACCCTTGTGCTGTACCTTACCCCGCGCGTTCAACTGTCACTCTTAGTTTGGTACACACCCTGTGAATTTCTAAAAACTGTTTTTTCGTATGGGTAATCATGTGTATATGTAGGCCTTGCAGAGCAAAAAATCACTGAAGAACAATAAATAAAACACATCTTTTTATGGTTTCTTGTTTCTGAAATATCAAAATAACCTTAAATATCCTGTCTCGTATACCTTTATTCTGCCCATCTAATTATAAAGAATATGACTCATGTTCCATTTTGACTGGTAAGGGTAAAACAGGTCAGTAATTGATTTAGTTCACTGAATGAACTTTTATTTTTGTTACAAATAATGTCAAATCTGCTTTCTTTAGTTTGTAGTTCATGTATAGTGTCATAACTATTATGTATGTGTGAGTGGTGACTAAGTTTCAAATAGGCCTACTAAATTTCAAGGAAACCCAGTGAGAGATACAGGGTGACCCAAAAAACAGAACCCTCCAAAAATGAAATAATTTCTTCTTTAATACATATGTAACCAGCTTCATTTTTTCATGTACAGACACTACAATCTATGGATGACAATTGTGAGACATGACATTCGATGTTCTTCTTGTTATGGCAATTTTAAAAATGTGCCCACTTTTGAAAGAAAAGAAAATGAAAGATTTTCATGTCAACCAAAAGGTTACACATCATTTTTTAAACCGATTTCCCGAAAGTTGGACACATTCTAAGATCATCCATGATATCACAAATAATCAAATTTGTGTAACAAACTTGATATCAAATTATCATCCATAGAATGGCAAGCAGATTGCTCTGGTATTCAAAAGGTTAAAACACAATTTAATAAGCAAAAGAGCAGTGGGTCGACATGTGTACAAATCTGAACGTCTTCATTTCAGATGTTGAGGTTCCTGTTAGTTTCAGCCTTGTTCGCAGTTGCACTGGGTAAGATAATATACTGGTCTTAGATATGTTTATGCCTTATCCCTCGAGGTCTTGCTATGATGTATAGTGTATCCAGGTTGGACTGATACAATGCCCCGTTTTTATAGCGCCCACTCTGTGTTTTGACTTAAATTTGTGAAAACAAAATTGCAAGTAAGATTTAGAATTTCCTTTCTCCTTCACTATGCAAAATATGAGCTATATGATTTAAGAGTTTAAAAATGCAAATTGTCAGTTCCCTCTTAACGAGAATTCACGCTTCTAATCTTACTTTTAGCTCAGGACCAATGTTTTTGTGGGTCTGGACCATGGGCTTACTTCAGAAATTACTGCTACACTAAGACGAGTGGTTCGAGATACAACTGGGATGAATTCGTAAGAGTAAGTAGCGACAAGATTATATAGTGCACTGGTGATCCACTCGATTACGCTGGTTACCGAAACGATTCGTTTTGGTAACAAAATGTCGGAACATCGAAGGTACGATTTTTCTTTTTTCCTTATTTCACACGTTGTAGGCAGAATTCCCACGACATGTTTAACACAAACGTGTATCAGTATCAAATGTTTAAGAAAATGTACACATTTGCGAACAAATAATTCAGAAGACAACAGAATCGTCGATTTAATTCCTCACTTAAGTTACACAAACGGTTTTTCGAAAAACAGTTAAGATCTGCACTTTTAACCCAAACCGTTTATGTAACTTAAGTGAGGAATTATATCGACGATTCTGTTGTCTTCTGAGCTATTTTTTCGCAAACATGTACATTTTCTAAATCATATGATGCTGATACACGTTTGTGATAAAAAAAAACGTCGTTGGGATTCTGCCTACAACGCGTGAAATAAGGAAAAAGGAAAAATCGTACCTTCGACGTTCCGACATTTTGTTACCAAAACGAACCGTTTTGGTAACCAGTGTAATCGAGCGGATCACCGGTGGAGTGGTATTTGACCTTTTGTACGGGCAAAGTATAATAGCGAGTATCGCAATGTGTTTTGCGTATTGTCCTTGTACCAATACATTACCACGGTGACTTGATTCGGCCTATGGTCATTTTCGGCCACCGGACATTACACCTGTTAATAATATATAAAAAGTACTAGAATAGTATGAGAACAAGTAACCAGCATTTCGAAATTAATGTATGTAAGTTCTGGAGTATAATAAATTGTGAACTTGCTATTGTGTACATGTGTAGTTCTTTGCCGATATAAATTTTGGTTTCAATGTTTAGACCTGGTTCATATCGGGAAAGAAATGCCTATGGAAGTTACCAAGTTACGACATACGGTATATGAACGGACATTTGGAATATATATTTGGGATATGAATTTATTTGAATTATTTTTAATATACCTGTTGCGATGTACTAACTAAACACCCTTTCCCTTGAACGATTTTCATTGGCAGATGTAAGCATGGTATTTGATATAATTAAAATTGTAAGAAATAAGAAGTTGATTCATGTTGAACATTCATGTTTGCTAAATTTACTTTGATATATACAGACATGTAGGGATCTTGGAGATGGTGCCCAGGCTGTCTCCATCCACAATTCGAATGAGAACAGATTCAGTCACGCTACAGGCGGGAACAGCAAGTTCTGGATCGGTGGACAGTGCACAAGGGGAAGAACCCATGGCGGTAGACATCCAGGATTCCGGTAAGGGTGCATTCAATTATGATCGGACATAAGTATGATGACACTTTATTACCTTGAAGTACACAGCATACGTGTCCATCACGAGTACATCATATGTCCGACCATAAGTTCAAATAATAGTCATGTTTCAACAATTGATTGTATGACATATACGAGGCCAATATCAATGCTACCATAGGGAATGGGACCTACAGGCCATACTTTTTACATTTTTCTGTTTTGAAAATTTCGATATGAGATGTGTTATACGTGATTATATGTAATGAGATATCCGTTTAGATGGGTTGATGGTTCAAGATTCAGTTTCACTGCCTGGAAGAGTGGGGAACCAAGCAACAGCTTCGGAAATGAAGAGTGCATTTGCCAGGCTGATAGAGGTATATATTCATGGGATAAAAAATATAAGTTCAAAAATTAATCAGAACTTAAAATATTTTATATTAAATATTTTTCACTTAAAGGAGTGGTATCGATATGGAGAACTTTTTTTCTCTTAAACCAGTCATAAAATAATCTAAAAATTTAACACATCGTCAATTTAAAGGGACCCAACACCATGGTCACATGATCAGTCGTGTGGAGGTAAGCTCCCAGTTGAAATAAAATCACTGTCCTCCTTTGGTTTCTGTGAAAAGTAGCTAATACCCTCATGTATTGGTCAGTTTGTGTGTCACACGACTAATCCCCACCATATGCTTCATTCAACATATTTTATGCTATTGAGCTGCATATATAAACAGTACTTTGCAACTAAGGTCATACAGTATACTTACCCCTTGCAAATTGTAATTTATTGAATTCACAGTAAACCCATCAATTTTTAAGAAAACAAAGAATATTGTTCTCATGGATCTATTATTTATGTTAGACTAGCTATGAAAATATAAATATGAAATAATATGTTAGCTTGAAGTCATATATAAGATGAAAATATATGTTCATGCATTTGCATTTTTCCAAAGGGAATATTCCCATGTAACTAAATACAGGTGCAATATATAATTTATATGTATATCTATGTCATCTGTCTATACATGCGCGTATAGCCTAGTGTTACATGTGAACAAGATGGTTCTGGAAAGAAATGAGCGTGGCAGATTTGCTAAAATGCCACATACACCACAAAAGCAAGACCAATTTGAAAGTAAGTTCATTATTCTCAAGGGTACACTTCAAGTGAAAGCTACATTGCTACAGGGTGGCCTATCATTCTGAGACAAATGTATTATCCAACGATTGTGATTTTCGAAGCTAAAATATGATATCTTGAGCAGATGGAAATACATTCCCATGAGATATGTATATATAGTCAAAAGTGATAAATATTTATTGAGTGTAATGAAATGTATCCTTCGCTAACTGCTTTTGTTTGAGATAATTATCATGAAATGTTTTTAAATCAATTTTTATGTGTGTCATTGATCCTAATCCACCCTGTAGTCTGGTGTTTGTAGAGCATTGCGACTCCTACAACTTATTCTCACAAATATCAAACCTCATTTACTAATTAATTTTTTGTGTGAATATGAAGAGTCCAAGCATTGCTTTTTTATGTTTATTGTATAGCTATATTTAGCCTTGATATCCATGATTTTTTAAAACAAAATCTCACCGTTAGATTTCGGGCTATTCATGTTTACTCATTTGTCTAATTGGATTTACAATGCAAATCTCATTTTTTCAAAGGAAAAAAATTGAAATTCTAAGACGGTGAAAAATCATTAAAAAATACACAGATTCAGAATCCGGCAAGCATTTTCCCTTATTCCTCTCCGTTAAGAAGTTTTGCAAGGTGTTGGATTCCTTTAATGGTCATCTTTTGAATGGTAATAATGTAATTTGAAAAATATATCAAACACTTGTTTTGTTCTTGGTATCACGTTTCCAGAGTGAAATGAAACATGATCTTTTGGAACCTCATTAGAACAAAACGACATAAACACAACATGTTCAGGTTTCTCAATATTATAATTGTACAAAGGAAATTTTGGTTGAACTTAAAAAAAGCATCTTATAAATGAAATAAAAGGTTTATCTTGATTTTTATCTATTTTGGGGGGATTTTAATTTAATTTTTTGAATACTTTTTAAAATCAACCAAAAATTCCTTTATGTTACTATAATATTGAGAGGTCTAAAAACATGTTGTATATGCTATTTTGTTCCAGCAAGGTTAGGAAAGACATTTCATTTCATTCTCAAGAATTGGTAGAAAGGAGCAAAAACAATTGCACTAAAAAAACAAAAAAATGTTAACAAAAACAGTTATATAAAATATTTCTAAATAATTTTTGCATTATCAATAAGTTGACATTACATAAAATACCGTGTTTTTACAGAATGTTTTCAATGATTGGTTTAAGAGAAAACATTGTTGAATTCAGTTCTCCATATCGATACCACTCCTTTAATATTTTTCCTAGTTTTCTTTTGCCAAAGGTATTTGTGACTTGTGATACTTCTGTGTCTGCATTCCTCTTTCCATGATTATCATAACTTAAGTAAATGATGATTTCTAAATAAATCGTTGTGCCCATGGTAATCATGACATCAATGTAAAATAACATTAGGCATAAAAATTGTCATGTTATGAGTAGAAAGGGTCGGGTTCAGTACCCCTAATGCTTATTTCATATACGTCAGTCCTCTATTTCTCAATTTTGTCATGTGATTATTTGTCTTTTTAGGTGGTGATGGCTGGAATGACGTACATTGTAGAGACAGACACGCTGGTGTTTGCAAAAAACGTAAGATGATTTGAGGCAACATTACTTTTATAATCTTAGTTTAGATTTCCAGTTATTTTTGTTAAACCTTATGGAAAGTTAGGGGAATGGGACATTTTGACAATGTTAAAGAGGCTCTATGCCATAGGATAGCACAATCAAGACCCCTCTGAACTTTTTTGCATATTGAGTTTCACCACATACATACCCATCTACTTACCAAAGAAGAAGTCCCAAATCCTCCTCTTTCAGTGATAATTGTGCGATTGTGCTGGCCGATCTAATTATTTATTTCGAAGAAATTAATTCAATCTGAAGTTTGAATATACCGGGAAAGTTCTCCTGTTATCTGATTGGTCGTTGAATTTGTTTATCATAAACCTGATTGGCTGTCTGGTTCAGGGCGCTTGTGTGACTCAATGGGGATTACCCTCGCAAGCCGAGGAATCGATTGTGTTTAATTCTGGAGTTTGGTTGTTCTGTTGAATATTTCCGATATTTCGGCAATAATATACCCAAAAGTTATTCTCAAAATATATCCATGGTATGTGAGATATTATAGTATACAATAGGACATCATTGATTGTCTGGGAGAGGGACTTATGGCATAGTGCATCTTTAAGGTTTCGGGGTAGTTATCAGAAATTTACCAAACAGGTAGTGAAAAAATATGCTGGATTTTTGAAAATCTTTGAACTTAGATAATAGCCTCCTGTTTTGACTACAGTCAGTATTATCACTATTATCATTGTCAAGATGTCCCTAAATATGAAGAAATAGCTTTCCAGCACTCTGAAATTGTGACTGAAAAATAGTTAAAAGGTATCCTTTCGGAAAGGTCACTGGATAGAATATTTTGAATTTTTCAGAAATGAGCTGAATATATTGAGCACATTTTCTGAAAAATTTAAAACATCTGTTTGGTGATCTTTCCGAAAGGACAACTTTTAACTAAAGTATTTTCCAGAGGAGTGAAAAGGCTAGTCTTTCATTTTAAGGGGCATTGTGATCCTGATCATGTAAAAACTCAAAAATCCACAACTTTTTATGTACATTTCTTGGTTAAGGTAATGACATCGACCCCGACACCCTAAGAGCCCTAAGTAACGTACATGTAGATTAGAACGTTGGAGCATGATTTCAATTAATTAGAATATTTTGAGCATAATTAGTTGGACCAGGTTTTATGAAATAGTATATTACTTATCATATCATATTGTTATTATTTAAAGGGAATTTTTTCTCAATGCCATCGTGTCCACACCCTCCTATTATTAGTACTTTGGTTGGGTCAAATGTTATCACTCCTCCATCGAAGAGATCGTGTGCAAAATTCGTGTGCAAAACCACACCTGAATGTTCTATAAGACATGGTCTAGTGATAAAATTAATAAATTTAAATGATCTGACAAGACTGGCCTTGTGAAATGTTTAGTCAGGTAGAGGGGGGGGGGGAGTCACAGAGGCTTGTAGCCCGGGCTTGTAGCTAGACAATATTCTGACTGAAACACTTACACGAACAACACTTACACACAGTGTATGATTTAGTATACCACAACCAAGACTTTGTTGCCATCTGCCTCTGTAAAAATGGTAACACTTTATTGCAACCATGATGAGTTAATAAATTAACATTGCATTGATAATTTTATATTCTAGGTGCAAGGCAAAGGTGCTAAGGCCAACAAAGGAGAAACCATGTGACATGAGGTTTAGCTGGATGACTAGATAATAACTTATCGTGCTTACAGTTAGATGCTTCTAATAAATGATTCTAAAAATAAAATACGTGTTTCTAGTGGACACTAATTACATAATTTTATTCTGAAGATGGTTTATGGTACACTGTATGGTGATATAGCATAATGTACGTGCAAAATCAGTTTATTGGCTCCGTAGGTTAGAGTTGCACGATACCAAAAGTTCATGTCTGCGTTTTAATTGAACTAGTATTGTTTGTTGGCAACTTGTTCTTTGATGCAACCTTCTAGTTTGTTCATTGTTTTTTCGTTAGATTTGATTTGACAGTGAAACTGTTAAATTTATTCTGGTTAGATATGATTTGACACTGAACATTGAAGCAGATGAATTCATTCTGGTGAGATATGATTTTGACAACGAAACTGTTGAATTTATTCTGATTAGATCTGATTTGACGCTGAAACTGTTGAATTTATTCTGGTTAGATCTGATTTGACACAGAAACTGTTGGATTAATTCTGGTTACATATAGGGTGACATTGAAACTGTTGAATCTGGTTAGATATAATATGACATTAAAATTGGTTTCATATAATGTGACATTGAAACTGTTGAATTTATTCTGGTTTCATATAATGTGACATTGAAACTATTGAATTTATTCTGGTTTCATATAATGTGACATTGAAAATGTTGATTTATTCTGGTTACATAACATTTGACACTGAAAGGGTTGACTCTTCTTCTTAATTTATCTGGAGACGACATTGCAACTAGTTGATATTCTACCCTCTTCGACATCACATCTGGAAATATGATTAAAAAGACAAACAGAGGGTATGTGTTAAAATTATCATTAGAGAATCATGTCAGCTGTGACCTGGTGTCACTTTATCTCTTTCATTATCAAGAAAACAAGTAATGACCTTTCAATTAATGACCTACCAATCTGTGATAAATCACTTAACTATACATGTATGAAGTACATTGTGTGGTTCGTGCACTTAGTAAATATTCTCATACCTTTACGTTACGCAGTCTAACTTATATTTAGTACTCATTGGCGTCGGAAGGGGGAGGGCGTTGGAGGCGACCGCCCCCCCCCCCTTCCAAGATTTTTTAGATTTGAAACCGAGCCTAGGATTAAACGCTCTCAGAGCTAATTAAAGTCAAAGTGTAAGATCTCATTTCTCATATTATATAGAATTCTATATAGTTTCTCAGGAACCTATACAGTATGTAAATACTTTGAAGAATAAGTGCAAAATGCTGAGATATGTTCAGAATGCACCAGAGAGGGTCTAAATTTGAAATTTTTCTGGGGGCATGCCCCCGAACCCCCTAGATTGCGGAAACGTACGACGCGCTTCACGCACGACCCTAGACTATATCCTCTAGTCTGAAATTTCTGGATATAGACTACGCACGACCCATCCATATCCAAAAGCCGCCCCTCCCCTTACCAAATCCTTCTGACGCCCCTGGTACTATCTGACATGACACTAGTATACTCTGGTCTTGTGAATTTTGGATTAGATAATGGTTCCCTGAAGGGTAGGGACGGGAGGGGATGTTAGACATAGTTTCGATCAACGTTTACCCGAGACGTTGGGGTTTTGTTTCCTTAGTTTTCAAAACTATGTTTTGCATCGTCCTGTGCTTCCATTTTGGCTGCATCCACTGCATTCAATCATATTTCTGAACATCATCATTTTGAGGACTAAACTCTTGGATACAATAGTGCAGGTTAACAAAATACAATATTGGAAAAGCCACAATCGACATTCTAAAGTGAGACATGTACAATTAATTGGAACTGTAAATCTAGACCTGCAGTGTGGTGTTGACAATATCATGCCGGGCAATGTCACGAGAAGGAACAAATGATTTAGGAGCAATCTCAGACCTCGACATTTCGTTTGCACCAGATTGTCATGAGTAAAGTAGCTGTGACTATATGTTTTGTCTATCATTGAATCCATGCCGTGTCTACCTGTCTACCCTTTGCATTCGAGTAAAGTGTATCAAAATCTATACTAAATCCTTATTGAGATAAACATGAGTGATTTTTCTGTATTTTGCAATGAAGATATCTTACTTTTTATAATTTATTCCATCATTAATGGTTAATATACTGTACATCTGCAAAACATAAGTCTGGTTGATTTTTGACAACAGATACAAATCACGACGTGTTCGAAAGGGAAAAATGTTTTATTGTATCAATTAATTTGAAATTTGGTGTTGTATATGTCTCTGATTTTGATAAACTTAAAATTGTAATGACGCAAATCCACGAACGTAATTGTAAATAATGAAAAATACCAGTTGTGACATCGAGTCATGAAAAACGTTTCGTATTATAACTTGTGTAACTCATTTTGAATTAATTAATTATAAATTTCATTTAATGGCTGAAAACCCTACCAGCATCACGGTTTGACCTTTCGAGCGTGACAAATTTTTCGCGTTGTTCATTGCAATCCAGCATTGCGTATATTCCCCCGATAATATTAATGATATAAAAAGAATACCTGTAATCTTATGAATACTATAGCAAAAAATGAAAATTATCGGTTGACTATGTTTAAAGATAGTCCTTTTTTACATGTAGGTTTCCCTGTCGTCATTTGTTACGCGTGACGCCTTAATTATGAGGTCTTACCCAAACTTCAACATGGCAAATATCCTTTGACATAGCCAGAAACAATAAAATGATCATAACAGTAAACTAAGAAAAGACCTGATTCAAAGACGAACAATTTGATATGATACTGTAGATTGGGTTAATTTGGCGCTACTTAATTTGGCGATTTTGCCATTTTTGGCATATTGGCGGCTATTTAATTTGGCGGCATGCAAAACAATGTTAATGGAATGTTAAACTTACGCGATGTTTGCGAATTACCATGTAAATGGGCATGTTTGGCTATGTTCGTTTTTTCTTTTGAGGACCACTGGCGATATTCACCACGTTTGTACATTTTTATGAGATCATCCTTTACATTTTACACCTCAATCGATCCTGCTACTTTTCCCTGAGTATAAATGAGTGACTGACCAGTTCTGAGCCAATTTATGAGAGACATTTTTTCATATTTTTGGAAAAAATAAACCGGAAGTGACCTAAATACACTGGACGAAATACCCTAGATGATTCCCGGGGATTTATTCTAAATTTTGGCGGAGATTTATATTGGCGAATTTTTCAATTTCGCCAAATTCGCCAAATTAAAGCGGGCGCCAAATTAACCCAATCTACAGTATATGCCATATAAAGAATAAACAGTACAAGGGAATATCAAAGGATGAAATAAGTGGAAATCGCGGAATTATCACGTAGTACTGAACATGGTTCTTCACTTTGCTCCTAAAAGAGAGCTTCGTCTTCATTAATAACTAGACTCTGCACGCAGAATATGCCGTGGCTCACCGTCTGCCCAAAGCGAGGCTCGTGGTGGCGAACGATGAGCCAACACGACCTAAGTGTGACAGCTCCAGCAAGTGACAAATAAATGCTACATACATGTATACGAATATGTTTTACAATTTAAATAGCAGAAAATAAATTTGATTACAATATTTACAAATATGAACTATATGATTGGTTGGTGTCCCTTTAGTAACATGGCCTTCAATCAAGTTATTGTTTATCAAGAATAAGATACATCCAGGGTGGTCACCAAAATAGGTTGTGTGTGAAAATCCAGATGTTAATTTTATAATTTAGGTTAGAGCACTGACCTTGAAAGAAAGCGGTGGCCAGGTTTGCACTCAAACGTTGTTTCTTTTAATTATGACAGTCAGGGGAACGGGCAACACTTCCCATTCTGTCGATGTGGTCTACAACAGAAGTCATCATCTCCCATTTGGTCGAATCTTGTCATTTGTTTATGTTTTTTGTCTTTAGAATGTCAAAATTTTGTTTTTCAAGAACCTTGTGCTTTACGTGTGTACTAAGTTTGCATTTTAAAAGTGTAGACTTTAGAAAGTTGGAATTTTAAATGGTTTGTACGTGAGAAAGTTTCAGTTGTTTAAACCAAGCTTGTCGGTTAATTTTATTTTCTGAAAAAATTAGACACATTATCATTCATATTTATGAGGTAAAAATCTCCAAATTCATAAGAATTGAAAAAAGAAGTTTATTTTTTATTTTTTCACAGATAACCTTAAAAACCCGAGGATTTTGGAAATGGATGCCTTCAATTTCACAACTCCAGATCGTAAAATAATCTAAGTCCAATAATGAAAGAAAAATGACTCATGTAAAGCTTTTTGAAAATGCATGCCTTAAAATTTAACACTGAGCTCTACATCCTGAAAAGAAGAGTCCAAAAATGTAAGGGAATATGCCCATTGTAAAGCTTTTTGAAAATAATGTCTTAAATATGTTAGCAACTACACATCGCAAAATAATCTAAGTTCAATAATGTAAATTCAAACATGCCTTGTGTGTCTCAGCCAATCAGCTTAAGGCATTTCGGTGTGTCAATTTATTGATATATACATGAAAATGATTTTGCTGTACTTGCGTTTAATTTTTGATAGCAGTACTATTCTTTAAAAAGCGGTGACAGTATATCATCCGTGTACTGTTCATTTTAGTCAATGCAATTGCAATGATTTTTAAACCAACTTTTCATACTTTTTCTGCATCAAATGAATCATTTCTTTTCCTATAATATTCTGACAAACAAAGCCTTCTCAATTTCAAACGAATAGCAATTGTAACCTAGCGCCCCTATTAAAACTTGTCCAAAAACATGCAAAATTAATTTCTTCAAAGACGACAGTCTTTTAGATGTAAATGTTGGGCTGTTCAACTTCATCATTGACCAGAGTCATGTTTGAATTTCAATAAAGGATCATGTAGGCTTATCATTCTATATTGGAAATATAAAAGCATTCGTGTATGTTACCAAAGGCGTCTACCTGAGATCAGACGTCCTTGATGTTACTAACACATTATATTCTGATAATAGACTCAGGCTTAAATCAAATAAAATTTTTAAAATTTGGGCCCACTGTTTGGTTTTAGGGGCTCAACTTTTTTCCGTGTTTAAGCGCGGAATTCAAAGTTCTTTTTTCAGACTTCAAATATGACCCTCCCCTTGTTGGTTCCTAGATCTGCGGCTGTGCCATCGTTTTGATTCGCCACCGTGATAACTAAACAGAAACGCTACTTAAAACCTGTCTAATCCGAACACCCATGGGACCAGCCAAAAGCGTTCAAATTGGCAGGTGTTCAAATTTCGAGGATTTTGTTGATCAGGTGGGGGTATTTTCATTGTTCAGTCCACTATATTGAACACTTAATACTAAGTCAGAAAACAATACATGTTGTTGATGAGATTATTCAACAATAGGCCTATAGCCTATATGCTATGTTTTATTTACATCTTGAACAATTTCATTATTTTAGTAAAATTAACTCATATTTTGGCAAAAACTTTGTAATACACTGTATATGATAGTCTCATACGAAATCTTATGCTTATCAAATGACTTATCCCATATGGTTATATAGCACTGCTTTACGTTTGCTTGAAAAAGTCCTTCATTGTTGTTTGTTTCTTAGGACTTTTAGCATTAGCAATATTTAAGTAGATACATATCCTCTTCAAGTAAAAAGAAATTTTCATGACTGTTCATTCGAGATGATGTATAATCCTTCAAAATATCAAGGGCATTCAGGATGTCAGATGTATGCCTTTTTAGGAGGCAATTTAGTAATAGGATATTACAAAGTTTATTTTTTCTCTTTCTCGTGATATAATCTTGTCTGCAGATGTGTCTGTGTTGTCTTTGTGATTATAAAACATTTACTGACTGAATCTTAGCTATCATAACAGCCCCACGGGATATAAAACAGTTAAGACCTGTTCATAATCCAAATCAAAAACATCCAGTTAATTTACAATAAGGATGAACCAATTGTCTCCCAGATTCTCACCTTACTCTCAATCCAAATCAAAAACATCCAGGTATTTTCCAATCATGATAAATCAATTATCTTCTTGATTCACACCTTTCTCTTATTCCAAACATAAAATATTCAGTTCTTTTCTCATAGGATAAACCAATTAACCCCTGTATTCACACCTTTCCAAAACATCTTCCTTGTTTTCCACAAACTAGGGATGTCACTGAGACTAAATAAGGTATGACAATGTTGGTTCTTTGACATTAGTAAAGATAAATAACAACTACAACATTGACTCAATATGTGGCTATTATTGAAATGTCCAGACATTTGACTTCTGCCATGATAAAAATGTTCAGATTAGACAGGTCACTTTTTCAAATCTGGTTGTTCACTGTTCAGATTAGGAGGTGTTCAGATTTCAAGGTTTTTTAACATGGGAGTCAATGGGAGGAAAAAAAGGGACCGGAAAAAGTGTTCAAATTGAAAGGTGTTCGGATTAGTCAGGTGTTCAGATATACAGGTTCTACTGTAAATGAAAAAGAGGTTCCCGGGACAACGTTTTTCGTTCAGTGTATAGATAGACGGAAGTCATCCGAGTTTCAATAAATATTTCAAAAAGATTCAAAAGTTCTTACTATCTATTACCAATAGTAGTAAGTATAAGGCTGTAGCACACTGTCTCCCACTCAAATGATTGATTGAGATGGTACATAAAACAAATACTGGATGATCAGGAGCTGGACATGACCAGAGTACATACTGTATCTTTGAAAACTGGAAATTAAAAAACTGGAAACTAGTCTATTAGCCCATTTCACTGCTTCATTTCGTCAGTAGAACGGCAAAAATAAGAAATTGGGAGACCATTGTGCAATAATATATGGAAAAGTATATTCATAATGTACATGAATGACATTTGTATATTTCAGATTTTTTAGTTTTTTGTGCAATAGATCTAAGCCTGTGCCGTCTTGTAATTTGAAGAATTTCAGCCATGTTAATCTTATTGAAAATAACATGGCAGAGAAACATCCAAATATAAGAGGCCACACACTTTATAAGCCAAACTAAAAGCAATCCAAGATATACAAATGCCATTCATGTACATTATGAATATAATTTTCCATATATTATTGCACAATGGTCTCCCAATTTCTTATTTTTGCCGTTCTTCTGACGAAATGAAGCAGTGAAGGACTCTAAATCTTTATTTGTTTGGAAATAAGCTAGACTAGTGGTTATTTAGATAAATTTCAGCTTTGAGTTAACAGTCTGACATAAGGTGCCATGATACTAAGGTATAGCTGAAGAATAACATTTTGGGAAAAAATTGCTATACCTGCACAATGTGCACATGTTGTTTTCTGGTACAAAATAAAGTATGAAGGCATGTGTCAATTTCCTTGATTTTCCAGGAAAGTATCATTACATTGTCTTCTTTTAGAATATCTGGTAGGGGTTCAATGCGAACTCCAGGAAATTCTGATATTTCACACTTTTTTCCAAATTTTCTTTCAAAGTTTCCAGACAACACAGGATCTATCATTGACCTGTTTCCAGGTTTACTAAAAGTAGACAGTGTAATGATACTTTCCTGAAAAAAGCAAGGAAATACACACATGCCTTCATACTTAATTTTGTACCAGAAAATAACATGTGCCGGTATAGCAATTTTTTACCAAAATGTTACTTTCCAGCTGAACCTTAAGGTGCAGTGGTACTTAACAGGAAATGACAAAACAGGAAGTGACAATACCATGCTTGATTTCAAACATTTTTTGAACCAAGATAACAGAGTTCTGCTTTGACCTCCAGTCAATTTAACTAGTTGCACATATCATTTACATGACCTGATGACCAGGATCACAATGTACATGGTCAGAATGACCCCAAACATGATGTAATAACTTTTTCAGCCCTCTGAAAATATGTGCGAAAAATAGCTAAAAGTAGGCATTAGGAAAGGTCACTGAACAGAATCTTTTGAATTTTTCAGAAAATGTGCCCAATAAATACAATCTTTGAAATTTTAGAAAATTGTCTGAAACAAAAATGGCGGTCATAAAAAGGAAAATAGATCGCTTTTCAATTCATTTTTTTTCATTTCTTTATTTTTCTATGAATGACATCAAATTTTCAAAGATTGTATCATTTAGAGAAATATATTTGGCCCATTTTCTGAAAAATGCAAAAGATTCTGTTTAGTGACCTTTCCTAAGCGCCTACTTTTAGCTATTTTTCAGTCACATTTTCAGAGGGCTGAAAAAGGTATTTCATCATGTTTGGGGTCATTCTGACCATACACATTGTGATCCTGGTTATGTAAATGACATGTGGAACTAATTAAACTGACTGGAGGTCAATACAGAACTCTGTTATCTTGGTTCAAAAAATGTTTGAAATCAAACATGGTATTGTCACTTCATGTTTTAGTCATTTCCTGCATTTTTAGACATTTTTTGAACAAAGATAACAGAGTTCTGTTTTGACAGCTCTAGTCAATTCAACTAGTTCCACATACCATTTACAGGTCCAGGATCACAATGTTCATGGTCAGAATGACCCTAAACAGTAAACATGATAAAATAACCTTTTCAGCCGTCTGAAAATGTGACTGAAAAATAGCTAAAAGTAGGAGGTATGAAAGGTCACTGAACAGAATCTTTTGAATTTGTCAGAAAATGTGCCCAATATATTGCTCTAAATGATTTTTAATATTTTTAAAATTTGGGCCCACTTTTTGGTTTTAGGGACTCCAAAATCTTACCTTACCAAGGAACATCAAAGGAGCATGAAAATATGTAGTTCTTAGAGAAAAATTGTCTGAAACAAAAATTGTGGTCATTAAAAGGAAAAAATGTAACTTTTCAGATCATTTTAAAATTTTTTTCTCTATTTCTAGAAATGGATTCAAATTTTCAAAGCTCCTATCATTTAAAGCAATATGTTGGGCACATTTTCTGAAAAATTCAAAATATTCTGTACAGTGACCTTTCCGAAATGCTAGCTTATAACTTTTTTCAGTCACATTTTCAGAGGGCTGAAAAAGCTCTTTCAGCATGTTATTTTAACCATGACCATTGTGATCCTGGCCGCGTTAATGATATATGCGAGTAGTACAATCCGGGAAACAAAGCAGAACTCCGTTATCTTACTTCAAAAAATTCTAAAATTCACATGTTTTTTCATTTCCTGTTTGGTGTAAATTTCTGATAACTACCCCGAGACCTTAATTGAAAAATCAGCCACACATTTATGGGGGTACCTTTAGACTTAGGGGTCCACACATGGAAATGCATTATACCGACGCGCATTATATCGAAAGCCATTATACCGACGCGCATTGTACCAAAAGGCGTTATACCGAATGGCATACTGACGCGCATACCAAAAAGTCTTCCTGCATGTAACTATATGCTTGTAACCTTTAACCTCTTGACTACCTGGAGTGACAAGATTTCTCGATATATTTTATATACGAGAAGATATTTAAAGTTTATTTCACGGACTTGAGTCATAGTTTCTTTCAAAACTTACTGCCATATAATTTTACACAGTCAATGTTTTTTTTCTTCATATAATGTAAACATAATAGGAGAACAGTTTCCTGGTTCATAAGTGTTGCTATTTGATGGTGTGATCTGAGTCTCATTTACGTCATGTGCCTTGTTTTCTCGAATACGTAGATCTAGCCTAGCCATATCTACCTCCTGATCATCCAAACCCAGTATTTGTATTCAGATATATCAAAACATACAGATAGAGGAATAAAAAGTACCAGAGACAGATTGATAGACTCAATTTATAGACAAGTTTATGGTCTAGGCCGATTCAAATGATCAGCAAAAGACTGTAGTCTAGCCTAGAATTCGCAGAAAAGGATCAAATAATTGACTCTGTTCATTGTAGGTCAACTATAAATTGCAATATTTCGCCATACATATACATACATAACTGCACAAATTGAAAGAATGACAACAGCAACAGCAACCAGTGCTATTGATCCTTTAATAGACTCAGTGACATGCTCAATATGTTTAGAGGTGCTGGATGATCCTAGATCTTTGCCATGTATGCACAGTTACTGCAGGAAATGTATACAGAGTACAATGGACAAACATCAGCATAAGAACGATTTTCCTTGCCCAAACTGCAGGGACCTTTGCCCAATACCTGATCAAGGGGCTGCAGGATTAAAGGTGAACTTTTTCGCTAATTCTGTTTTGGATGCGGTTAAGGATCGTTCTGCAGCATCGAGAGATGCTTTGAATTGTGATATCTGTCTGCAAGTTGATGAGCATGTTCCTGCCATATTAAAATGTCTGGAATGCAATGAAAAGCTTTGCAAATCATGTGGACGTGCACATAAATTGTCGCGTTTCACAAAGTCGCATCAGGTGCTAGTGTTAAGTGGCGACAGTTCCCGAGATGCTAAAACAGCAATAGACATGTTATCCCAGCGAACTTTATACTGTGAAGTACACACCAAAGAACCATTGAAGTACTTCTGTCAAAAAGATCAGCGTCTTATCTGTCAAGATTGTTTTGCGTTCAAACACCAAGGTCACCCTTTGGAGGACATTGAACAAACTGCGAAAGCAAACTTAAAGAACTTGAGCGCAGTAATTGACCTTGGAAGGCAAAGGTCAGCAAAGTATGAAGTGGGAATACAGGCAGGTCATATCCGCAAGCAAATGATTGAAAGAAAGAAACAAGTTACTAAATCTAGGATTGCAACTGATCGAAAGATTGAAATTGATAAAGTAAATGCCCGGTTTAACAAAATGGAGATAGACACTATTGCAGCTGCCAGTTCAGCAACAAAGAGCATTGTTGTTCATTTGGCTGAATTCCAATTCAACAAAAATGCAATTGATGGTACTGTTAAACAGTTAGAAGCTCTGCAAGATCACGGCCACCCAGCTGATATTGTCAACATGATTCCGGAGATGAACAGTAAGTGTAACCTATGGTCCATCCCCCCTGAGGTTGATTTCGAAGTGTCTGTTGATAATGATCCTCTAGCCACACATGTCAAAGAAGAATATGTTCAGAAACATCAGGTTGTGGAGGAATTTCTGGACATTTGTATTCTCCCAAATGATGATATTGTTAAAATTGATGATGGTAAGGCGGATATATATGATGACGAGTTAAAACCAAAATGTACCATTAACTTCCCAAAAATCACTGGTGCTTGGAATAAAGTAAAAGGTGACTGCTTTGCTACTTGTAATGGAGGAACACGCTTAATTTCAATCTGTATCTACAATTTGAAAAACGGGAAACTCAAAAGAAAGGTGTTTTTGCAAAGTCCCATCAACAATCTTCACGATTTTGCAATGAATCATCTGCTAGAGTTTGTCATATTGACAAAAGATTTCACTATATTCCGGGTAGATTATAACGGAAAGTTGTTGAGTCAAGCAACAGTCGATGGAAATTTGGACACATTTCGAGGAGGGTCATCAAACATGGTAGTTAACAGCAAGAATAGAATCATCATGTCTTACAATGGGGGTATCGCAGGAATTGAGCTACATGGAAGTTCAGCAGTTATGTTATTTTGGCACAAACCTACTGATATATCAATATATCACATGCGTCCTTGTGTTGATGATAAAGATAACATCATTGTTATAAACAATGACAAAAATACAGTGGAACTTCTAACGCCAGATGGTATTTACATCAAGGACTTGATCGAAGCAGACACAACAGACTGTAAGGTTGACTTTGCAGAGCCCAATTCAAAGGGAGAGTTGATTTTAGGAGCTAACCACGAAGGAACCCGTCAGATGTGTATCTTCACACTGAAGTATAGAGGACAAGATGGTTCATTCCTTTGAGGACGTGGACTGTTAATCATAAAACATTTATCAGGGTTTATTTGAAAATCCCATCTCTGGCTGTTAATGGCAATCACTTTTGAAATTCACTCTTTGGGAGTGGACTGAATGCCAATATGGCAAAATGAGGCAATCATATTTTCAAACTATGTTGTGAACCCTGACGTCTGTGCCAAAAGTATGAGACACCGATCGAGTCACTAAACAGACTATTATCAGCACTTAGGCCTTTGTGACAAAGTGTATTAGTTTGATAAGAAAAAATCTTTATTCATTATACATTCAGCTGTAAATATTGAACTGTAAATATACGTTTTTTTGGGTTACTTTTTAATGTCTGCATGAAACTTAATGTTTGAAAGTTTCTTCTATTCAATTTGGTATTTAAAAAATAATTCAAATCAAAAAAGTATATTCAATTATAGTACCGTATGTGCATTACATTTAAAGGCCTTTTGATTAAAGGGCCAATAGTTGCGCATGTTAATAACTGAATAATTTTCATTATCCCATCGTTGAAGTCAATTCTGTATTCTTTCAATATATTCATGATATTTGGAAATCTTTGGAAAAAATAATATCTGTGGAATATGGAGAATATTCCACAGATCACCTTTTCCACAGATTTGAAAACTCTCGCCAATGTGACGTGCATTGCTACATGGTTACATGTTATATGCTTAACATGGTGATTTCATGACGTCACTAATATGGAAATGATTAATGTTTCAGCTATAGTTCAAATGACAAAATAAAACTGAATAATGTTTTGAAATGCTTTTTAAAGTGGACTATGGGATAAATAGAACATCCTATGATTTTTTCGTGATATTTTAATCCACTCGTTGATATTAATATCTGCACTCATTCGCTACGCTCATTCGTCCAGATATTGATATCAACTCGTGAATAAAAATGATATCTCTCAAAATCATAGGATATCCTATACTTATTCTATAGTTTTCATGATATTTTTGGGATATCATGTCAAAATAAAAACGGAATTTGTGTAATCAGTGGTAAAATATGATATTTTTGACAATTTTTCATGAAACCATAGCATACGGTATTGAAACCATAGAAGACTGCGACGTATGCTATGAATTATGGATTTTTGAAAATTCCTCACCTACATGACCAAAAATGTTAGTCTGTTCATTGTTAAAAAGACCAAAATCTTGTAGCAATGGCCAGAATAAAATCTGAGGTCATCTATTTGCCATAATTCATAGAATCAAGGTCTTTGTTATGATTCTAAAATGATAAACGATCCAGAACAACAATGTTTAAATAAGTGGTCATCTATGTCCCAATATACATGTAGACCAATAAACCTATTGTTCTAGTTATTCTGATGACACTTATCATATTAGAATTACAGTATACTGTATTTATGTTTAAAAATTAATAAACAATTAAACATGTTTTTGTAAGTGTTTTATATTCAATTTGGTATTTGTTAAAAAAATAATAAATCAAATCAAGTGTAAGACTTTTCCTGTGTATATCTTTTTGGTGAACTTCTATGGTAGGTATGGTGAAGTAGAGGGAAACAGAGTGATTTTTTTCCACCCCACCACCATCATCCCATGCCTTTAGGTGGTGAGAAGTTATTGCAATGTTTTAAATTGTTTATACTTGAGAAAGTCACCTCATGCAGACAGATCGCCTAAAATTACATTCGGATGATGCGAGACTCAACAGTCACCAGGAAAGTAGAAACATTTTGTCACCCATGATGCAAATTAATATTTTACTACTTAATAAATGATGAATGACAGTCATATTAAGGTCTATAAGTATGAGAATAGCATGTCGTCTATATGTTTCAAGTTAACTCGTTCGAAAAATTATGGCAGTGATTGAAATGACGATGTAAAAATAAAACCGCAACAAAATATTTGTAGATTTCTTTGGAAAACTAAGAACTATACATCACATGTTGAATTTCAATCGCGCCCGCCATCACTTTTCGAACGGGTTACCTTGAAATATCAAGACGTCATGCTATTCTCATACTTATAGAACTCAATGTAACTCAAACGGTCATTGTCCATTTATTAAGCAGTAAAAAATTAATTTGCTTCATGGGTTACAAAATGTTTCTACTTTCCTGATGAATGTCGAGTCTCGTATAATACGAATGTTATTTAAGGCGATCTGTCTGCATGGGGTGAAAGTGGACCATTTGAGAAAATCAAACTAAATGTCAGTTTAATGAAGAAAATATTCAAAAATTAAAGGAGGTAGAAGGGATCGTGTTAAAAGTAACTCTTTGCATGCAAATGTTTTTCTTGTCATCATGATTTATCTTATGAAAAAAGAATTGAGAATTCTGTACTTGGCATTTTTGTGATTTTGAAATTTCATGACTATTATATTTCACAAATTAGAACTATTGGACTTAAGCGGCTATTATATTTAGCGAATTTTACATAACATGCGAAAAGCGCGAAATCTAGTAGCACGCAAAAATCACCGGGAGCACAGTAATTTAATATTTAATATATAGAAATGCCAAAATACATCAGAATTGAGAAAGGAAGCTAATTTTTTTTATTGTTTTTTAAGATAACCTTAAAATCTAAGGATAACCATGATATGAGGTTCGAAGTATTGAACTTTACGAATATCTCATTCTACTTGGCATCCTTCATAGAGAAAACATAAAATGTTCATATTTTATCATATTATTCATTTTCTTGTATTCATTCACATTCACAATCAATCATGTCATGTACAGGAATATCATATTTTACATCTAGCAAATAGTTCATTCACAGAAATTCACATCAATTATCAACATTCCTTGACAATGTATAAAGCACATTGTCTCTGGTATTATAGATCTATAAAACATGTTGTTTCAGGATAGTGCAAAGCCTCAAAAATAAAGTCAAAGCTACAGTTGTATGCCAAGTCACAGAAAAGCATCAAAATGATGTGGCATTTCTAAAACTGTGCAGACATATTATTTATTTGGAAACTTAAATTAATTTCAAACATCATAATTATCATTTTTAAAAAAGTGAAACATATTCATTTTATAGCATCAAAACTGTTATACAAACAAAGTCAAAATCATATTAAAAATATAAACTTTTTCTGATGCTACGCTGTTCATGATGTGTACTATCTAGAGTTTTATTGGTATGACAGTTTTTTTACCAAGACAAGAAAAACATACCAAAAAGTCAATACACATTTTTAGAATGATAAAACTGATTCGTCTGCACAACTACATTTACAAATAATGTATAATTATACACAGTTTTGTTATGAAAATAAACAAAGGCATTTCAGCTTCTAATTGTTAACTGAACATTGCAAAGTTTACAATTAATTGTAATTGTACACTAAAAGTCCCTGAATTTGTAAGATAACTCAATGTTGAGGCAACAAAATTTGGGAAAACATGTACAATTTCTATCTTCATTAAATTCCATTCAAATTCTATCCTTGCATCAGGTCTAGAGTATGATACTGAAATAAATTAGTACTAGTTCAGCACAAATCCAAATTAGTACTATTTTGGCACTTACAAAGTACAAAAATGACTGATTTCCCCCTCCACCTCATAACATACATACCAAGGGACATACTTAAGTTGTGGTAACATTTGAGGCGTTTGAACACAGTGTTGGTTGAGACACAGTTAATCATATATACAGGGTGACCCAAAAAGCAGAATAATTACCATATTCAGATTTGTGGGCTCTGTTTTGGGGTCACCCTGTATTAGTTGTAAAAATCATAGATTGGATGCATGTAGCTCGAATTTATAAACAATTAAGACTGGCAGTTAAGACACTTTTATATTTGGTAGAAATCATCCTTTGGGGATCAGAGATCCGATACAAGACTACTTTAATTCCTTACTCAGAACCTATCCATGCAGTAGACTACCCTGGCCCTTAATTGTACATGTTTTCCCCGATTGAACATCCTCTTTATAAATACCCTCTCGGATAACACCACTTTAATTAACACATACAAAAATAATATATTTACTTTACATAATCCGCGTATAATTAAGATTTTACATCATGCTTTTCATATATACATATATCTAATACATAGGCAAAATGCTTTAAGACTCATTGACATCATTGAAGGCCATGTTCTATTGGGTAATTTTGACATAAAGATAATAGACAAGAGAGGGTCTTCTATACCATGATCTCCACTGTTCTAATAGACAAGAGAGGGTCTTCTATACCATGATAATAGACAAAAGAGGGTCTTCTATACCATGATAATAGACAAGAGAGGGTCTTCTATACCATGATCTCCACTGTTCTAATAGACAAGAGAGGGTCTTCTATACCATGATAATAGACAAAAGAGGGTCTTCTATACCATGATAATAGACAAGAGAGGGTCTTCTATACCATGATAATAGACAAGAGAGGGTCTTCTATACCATGATAATAGACAAGAGAGGGTCTTCTATGCCATAATAGACAAAAGAGGGTCTTCTATACCATGATAATAGACAAGAGAGGGTCTTCTATACCATGATAATAGACAAGAGAGGGTCTTCTATACCATGATCTCCACTGTTCTAATAGACAAGAGAGGGTCTTCTATACCATGATAATAGACAAAAGAGGGTCTTCTATACCATGATCTCCACTGTTCTAATAGACAAGAGAGGGTCTTCTATACCATGATAATAGACAAGAGAGGGTCTTCTATACCATGATAATAGACAAGAGAGGGTCTTCTATGCCATAATAGACAAAAGAGGGTCTTCTATACCATGATAATAGACAAGAGAGGGTCTTCTATACCATGATCTCCACTGGAGAACTTAGGAGCTTGTCATATTTTGCCTGTATATTAGTAAAAATTAGTAATAAGTTTTTACGAAAAATAAGCTAAATATATCGAGGCATCCATGAATACTAGTACATTGAAATTAACATCATATAATTTAAACAAAATTTCTCGACTAAAAATAAGCTCTGAATCAAATTATCAAACAAGAAAAAACATGAGCTCTAAAGTACCCACATTATTTAATTTGTGACATCCTGCATTTTGCACCTTCAATTAGCTTATATGCAAAGCTTCTCTTCTGAAAATACCAGTGGCGTGACCAGGATTGCAGGTACGCGATTTTAGACCTTAAATGGTGCGTTCTGGGCGAAAAATGTTACTTGTCTGGAGTCTTAAAGAGAAGTCATCCAGGAAAGATCATGAAACAAAATATTTTACTTTACTTTTTTATTTTTTACAACAATTTATTTTTTGCTCCATCATTTAGGGTATGCACCAGCGTACCCTCGCCTATGCCTGGTTAGGCGCCTGAATACCAGGACTTGAAAACTAATCGTATGCAAAAAACCATGAGGGGCACACACACACATCTTGATTTCTAAATGGCTATTAACTCACTTTACAATGAAAGCAATCTTTTTCAAGATTCATTTAATTTTCACAGAAAAGATGGTTTGTAACAAAATAATCTGAAGATGCAAGGTGCAGATGTGTACATGTCATTCTAAATTTTTAAGTTAATTCACTTTTCAAAATTTTCCTTTTCATTTAATTACACTAATAATCTATCTACCGATCAGTTACATACATATAACAAGGAAGTACATCTGTAAAATCATACATGGTTCAGTTGTTCATGCTTGTACATTGTACCCAACCAAGTATGTGTACATGTATAAAAATGCATCTTGTAATTTCATGCGTTTCCAATACAAAATCAGTGTATATTACTGTACTTTACATTTATACAGTGCACAATTAATTGTATATCTTAAGCATTTGTTTCACTACCTGACATATATACATTATTTTACAATATTTTTACACTAATAAAAATGGCTCAAATATTCCAAGCTTAGAATACCACTCTGGTCTAAGCACTGAATTTAATACCAGATTTTCAGACATTTTGAGATTTTCAAACATTTTAAAATTTTCAGGGATTCAAAATTTTCCGACATTTTTTAAATGTTTCAACTTTTCAAAATTGTCAAACAATGCCGAATTTTCAGACATTTTAAGATTTTCAGGTATTTCAAGATTTTCAGTTACTGGTATTTCAGGATAAATAATACCAAAACATTATCCAATTCCTTGCTTTTTCTTTTCCTCCCTTTTCTGTTTTTTAAAAGAGAGAGATAATACCAAGGTGATATTCCAATCTTAACATTTAATTGTACAAAATGTCTAGAATTTTCTGTAAATGAAAAACTGTAAACAATATTAATCATAAATATCGACCAATATTGTGGAGTAAGATTTTACACATAATTTAATTCTATACAAAAATTCATATTTCATTATAGGGTTGTATTTTCTTTGATAAATCTATAAATAAAATAAACAGATATTTACAAAAATAACAATTTATGGATTCATAATCAGGCAGAAAGTTGATTCAAAGATAATGTTTTTCTCTTGGCTGGTTGCCATGCAGTTGTTGTCTTGGTTGCCAATGTCATCCAATTGTCTAGGTAACCTATACATGTACAACTCAATGTCTCATTTGTTGGCACTGATCTTTTATTTGTGAAATTATAATTCAACCATGGTCTACAAAATCTGTACTTTACTAAAAAAGATAAATGGAAACTCTAATTTTGAACTAAGTTCAACAAGGATGTTCATAAAGAATTTTCACTTAGTCAGTAAAGTACTGAATGAAATATTGTATCTGTGAATATCAAGTATCATGTTGAACACAATATGGGAGAGTTTCAATAGAGTTTTTTATACGTTTATCTTACATTTCAAACTTATACTGTTCTAGGTTTCAAATACTTTAAAGCAGTTGGGACTAAAAGCACATTTTTGCACAATGGTCAACATTGTATTCGGAGTCAACTTTGGATGGAAAAACAAAATTTGCATCATCAAATCGCCAACCTGACATAATGATAATATAATTTGAGCGCTACATTAATTGTGAACTATTTTTTTTATCTTATTAAGATATAAAGCATTTTCAATCACTGGCCATATATAAGATTCATTACATTATAAGATTCATTAAGATTCATTATATTATAAGATTCATTAAGATTCATTATATTATAAGATTCATTAAGATTCATTATAAGATTCATTAAGCAATACAATGTAGAATGATGTATGTTAACTCACTGTATGTGATGGGGAGAAACTCTCAAAAGAGAATGTCCATATTACTTCCCATCATGTTAAAGCTGCAGTGAAACCTGTAAAGTGGAACACATTTAGAAGTGGAACACCTTACAAAGTCCCAAGACCAACTGACTTAATGAGAAATGAATCACCCCCCAAGCAGAATACTTTTCAGATTTTATTGTATTACAAAGCAATTATAATGAATTTGTTCAATAATATATTCACTCCAACAAGTTACTCATTGAAGTATTACCATTCAAAGCTTATATTATAAATGCATAATTCCCATGTGATGAAAATACCTTGATGAAATCATTATCCTGTGGGTTGAATATCCCATTAAATATATCACATATCTAGAAAGCATTTCTCACTCCTTTCTCCTGTATGTATCTTTCAATCTTTATTCTGTATGGATTTTTGTAACTTTATAACTTTCTCCTGTATGTACCTTCAATCTATCCTGTATAAATTTTTATATCTTTCCCCTGTATGTATCTTTCAATCTTTACCCTATAATATAGATTTTTATATCTTTCTCCTGTATGTATCCTCAAATCTCTTTCGTATGCATTTTCAAATAACAACACACGTAGTGACTATGAGGGCTTGATAGGGGTCAAGGCCGTATTAGGGCCAGGCTATATTATCAAGCCCTACCCCTTTGTCTGATGCACATCAACAAACCACTGGATATGCACATCTATAAAGCACATTATTATTCTTTTAACACTTATGGTGTACACATATTTATTCATAAGTGATCCATCTATCCATATTGTCATCCTTTGATCTTTCTTGTGATCTAGTGATCTGCTTCCCCCTGATCCCCTATTGAGATGTCCACTGATCCAATTATAATCCAGATCTCTTTATGACACACAGAGCAGTACGACACATATCTATGACACATATTTCACTGAATGACACACATTTTCTTGAACTCCGATTCAAACTCATCATCTATTTCTGTCAAATCAGGTTCCTTGCCGTCAACATTTGGCATAAATCGTGTAATGTCCAGCCCCGCCCTCTCGTAAAACAGCATATAAGCAGAGTCTGTGTCAATGTCTTCTGGTTTCACTTCCTGAAAAAACATGTATTTTCAAAAGTTTTTCATTTTCTTTAAATTCTGATTTCAATCAACAAAAACGCAATTTTTATGGGTTAATGTCAATAATGTTATGATAAACATGCTTAGATGGACTACATGCTGTTGCGCTATAACACATTAGCTGTGGAAGTGCATTGGTTTCCCCTGCTGCCTCCAACTTTCATCAGAATGGACATCTCAAATGTCTTGAAATTCAGAAGTGACAATATGAAATGAAAAACCTGAGGAGGCATTGTATAGTCATCATTGTCCTTTTTTCTTTCCAAGCCAGACAATTTTGAAGTCACCGTAACAAACTAATTGGCAAATCATTCAAAACATGTCTGAAGTGAGATAAAGGGTTTCGCTTGGAAAGTACAGAGGTTACAAACAGAAAAGATGGTTTGTAACAAAATAATCTGAAGATGCAAGGTACAGAGGTACATGTCATTCTAAATTTTTAAGTTAATTCACTTTTCAAAATTTTCCTTTTCATTTAATTACACAGTAATCTATCTTCCGATCAGTTACATACATCTAACATGGAAGTACATCTGTATTATGAACTTTTAAAACAAATTCATACATGGTTCAGTTGTTCATGCATGACCATTTCAAGCATGACCATTTTTTAAACTTCAGGTTGAATAGATGAAGTAGATGCTATTATTGTATATGACCCTTACCTTACAACTGCTATCATTGTACATGAACCACTTGTTCTTGGGATTCTTGCCATAAGCAATATAATGACCTCCACCTAAGATACCATGGTGACACTACAACAAACAATGAGTCAAAATCATAAATTGTGACCTCAACCTTGAATACCATGGTTGGCATGGTAACACTCTATCAAATCATGTATTCAATATCTAGTTGCCTCAACCATGTATCCTGTTGTAACATAACAACAATGAATCACAAAATGTTTAGCATAAATACCCCTTTCTTTAAATGCAACATTTTACTCATCATGAAAGGGGAACATAAATGTACATGTAATTATAAACATGAATGTTCACCTTTGCTTCCTCAACAAATCAAAAGCTAAGATGAACAGTAATTTTTCACAAAAACATGACACTACGTGGACTTACAGAAAGTGCATAAAGGTTGTATCGAACATTTGCATAATCTCCACTGTCGACTGACTCATGGCGTTGTCTCCGTAGTTTCCCAGAATCCCTCAGTTTAGGAGCAGATGTTGAGTCTGCTATCCTGTCATGGTTTGTAGCTTGTGTTTTATTGGACTTAGAATTCAACATGGTGGGGTCTGATTTTGATGGTGCCTCTGAGGGGTCTGTTTGTGGTGTGTTTGCCTTCGATTGTGATGTGTCTAAGGAGTCTTTAGTCTGTGGAAGGTGGGACTTGGAGTCAGCAGCTGCGCTTGTTGTACTCTCTGATACTGCACCTAAAAACAATTGGTTTGCATTTATAAGTAATCAGCAATTAGGGGCTTTAACCTATGAACCAGCAAAAATATTGTTATGGCGTCATGCTTCCTCATTGACTCACCTAAGCTTGGAGGAAATGTAGAATGTCACTCAACTTTTTGGTGATTTTGAAGTCATGTCTTCATTATACAGTTCAAAATCAACTTCTATTTTAATTTGACACCACATTCTAATTTACCTCGCTGACCTTTTATCGTTTCTTAAACATATTCTCTCAAAATCAGGAAATTAGGGTGATCAGAGCGGAAATTTTGTAGGTAATTTCAATCACAAAAACTAACGAGTGAAGAACTCTTACACTTCCTCCGAGTGTAGTTTGTTTGGTAATTTGAGAGACCATTTTTTACAATTCAATACTAATTTTTCCATTCTATAAACAAATACACACATTTAACAGTTTGTCTTAAAAAAGACAATGGCTAATTATGACTATTGGATACATATACTTAAATAACATCTCTCAATATGAAAAAGTCTAATAATAGATTTATTTTGGAATGTTATCACAACTGGAATAACGTCAAAAACAGTATATGAGCAAAACAATATTTTGAATGACATAACTAGAAATAACTGAATTATAAGTTATTGAATGATTTGAAGTGCAATACAGGATACATTCTGCTTGAGAAATTCTGTATTGGAACAAGACGAAGTTGAATGCCAATACAGAATATCAAGACAGAATATACATGTATCCTGTATTGCACTTCCAATCATTCAATAACATTTTTATCGTGTGATCCTCTGTATTGGTACTGAGTTTGTCCCCTCCATACCAATATTTTCTGAATTGCGACAGATGATCAACGAAGACAATCTCAGTAGCAATACAGATTGGTACAGCACAAGAACTGACCAATCAGAGGGCTTCATTTTACAGATCATACGATAATACTTGTTCCTTTGACACATTTCTGCATCACTTACTTGTATTATGTGGCACGTTTCTGTGTAACTGCCTTGAGGCGATGTAATTGGTCGGATCAAAATCGTTGATTGGGAACTTGACAATTTTCTGAGATTTAACCCACTTAGTGTTAAGGAACTGGAACCTCTTCAAATGTATAATCTGAAACATAAAGTATGTAATATTTAATTATTTATTACTCAGATTATAAAACATCTCTAACAGAGGTCTTGATAACGAGATTCAAGTTGTGCCAACCCACACGCAGTCATCCACCCGCCAGTTCCGCCTGCACTCCCAGCAGCATAAGACAGCAATATAGCTCACAACAATAGTTCACCATGTGAACCAATTATGATCATCAGCAAATGTAAGTATTTAATTTATTTTACAGAAATGAGATTATACAAACCAAATTTTGGGATTTAATCTGCATTTTCTTCAAAACTACTGATAGCAATTAAATGTAGCAAGTCGAATGAACATAGTAGAGAAACTGAATTTTTCAAAAGCTAATACACACCAAAATTGGGGGTAGCTTCCAAATCTGCATTTTCTTCAGTGCAACTCTATGAGCTTTACACTTTGAACAATACCACATTTCATCTTCTCCTAACACCTCCTCACGGGTGAATGACTGCAAACACGTGTCTAAGTTGATTGGTTGGGACTGTAAGTGGCGACTTTTTGCGACACTTTCATGATCTGTGTATATCTGAAAGAATATATATCAAATATTAAGTTCATGATTAAGTTAATCAACCTTCTCTTATAATGTAGCATGTTTGAACAATTGCGGATATGAAAGTTGATTGAATGGGACTAGAGATGGCAACATTTTTGACTTTGTATCCCATTTTAGATTCTTTTTAGTAATTAAAGTGTCTCCGAAGAATACAAAGTATAAAATGTTGAAAACCAAGCAAATGTTTCCTTAATACAATCCTAATTTTATCAACTGAAAAAAATATCTGACCAAATATGGAAGTGTAAAAATTTAAGATGCAGAAATCTCAAAGTTAATCAAAATTGAAACAGATGCACATGTTGCCTTTTTGCGAACATCTCTATAAAGACTGGACAGTATTCAACTCTTACCCTCTCTGCAGCAGATTGGTAGCGTAAATGTAGAGCAGTAGGTTCCCAGTCTATGGCGACATATAAACTGCTGTGGCTAAACTTCTCAGGGGAACACTCGATTTTACATCCACGGCAGAACTGGTACCAGGGGCACCATGCACATGACACGCCATCTTTTTGGACAACTTTTAATGTAAATGGGTACTCATACCCAAGACTGTCATCACTGAAAAATAATTCAAATTGTATGATATAATCTCAATAATGTAATAACAGGGCATCAACATGCAAAATGTCACCACTTGCCATTTGTTACAAACACCGACTGCCAAACATATCTTGTACCGGATTTTCTCGCATATACGCATGTAGTACGCTTATACGCCCATGGGCCTTTAAAAAATGACTATTTATTGATTTTTTCAATAAATTCAAGAGTATTTTGTCAGATCGTTCTGTCGTTACTTTGTTTCAACATTAAGTTCAACGCTGTGCCGTAAGTGGCAGTGGTGGATCGTTCTGTTATTACTTTGTTTCAACATTAAGTCCAATGTTGTATGTGACATTTCCTTTATAATTCTTACAAAACATGCGGTAGGACTACAACAGTAGGTTACGGTAGTCCATTGTATTCATCAGCTCTTCTCACATTTACGCCCACTGGGCCAAAAATCGAAAGTAGTACACTTATACGCCCATGGGCGAAAAATAAGAGGTAAAATAACAGACGAAATTACCCCTTCTTTCAGTTATACGCCCAGGGCTTATATGCGAGAAAATCCGGTAAAAAATATTATTTTACAAGATATGACAACAAATTTATTTGAACAATAAGAAGGAATGATTCTAACTAACTATTCTTGCCATCTGCATCCCATTAGAACATTTTTTTCGAAAGATTAATAATAAAACGTAATACACAGTAAATTTTGCCCAACTACAAAATCTCAAACTCTGCATGCCCCAGCATTTTTGATAATCCCCCCGGATATCTACCATACATACCAGTCTTGTGCATGATTGTGTGCTAGCGTCTCACTGGGAGGAAGTGGACTAACAAGTCTCGATACTTGCATCCAAACATGGCTGTATAACTTCTGTTGCGTCATAGAATCATCACATGGTAGAATCAATGGCTGGCCAAATAGACTTGGACGTGTCTTTTGTGATGAGAGAAAATATGTATCCATCCTTATCTAAAATACAAAGAAATTAGATAGCCTATATAATAACAAAATAAATATAAAGGTATAAATAACACAATATAAGTGCTTTCTTTTAAATGTAGCCTAGATGTAGTTAAAGTTAATTTCTGTTACCTCTGGGCATTTAGCAGCTTGATATTATATTGTATTACATAAAATTTATTGAAATAAATTGAATTGAATAGATTAGTTCTGTAACTTGATTATTAAAGCAAAAATCTTTGGTGTAAATAAAGGTGAAATCTGTGATGATATATACTTTTCAACCACACCCTATGAACACCCAACATGCAGAAAATGCAAAGTGTGCACCATGATATACATATTGAATTTGTTGGCTTACTATTTTTCTGTTGACAGCTATAATGAAATCTCCACCTAGAGTAGTTTCATTATTATTGCCATTGCATGGTGTGCCGTTGCATGATGTGCCACCACATGATGTGCTATTACAAGATGTGCTGGCTGTACTAGCATTCCTACTGTGACCTGCAGTTCCATTGGGATGTAGTCCTTTAGATTGTACACCTAACAATTGTAATTTATTGGTCAATTAAGTGTGATATTATATTTAGTATATGAATTTCATTCGAATTTTTAACAACATTCCAAATGAATGAAAACAATGATTGTCAAATGGACGCAAAATTCCTCAAAGTAATTTTGGTAAAAACAACAGGAATAAATGAAACCTGAAACTTTAAATGAATCCTGAAATACTTAATAAAATGGATACCATAGAAGTATAAAACAAGGCATTAACATAACAAAATGTCACCACCTAGTTATTCACAATATTATGAGTTCACTTTAAAGTCAGATTTGAATTTCTGAGAACTTGTAGATGATTTTGAAAAAATGGTCAATTTCAAGCAAGTTGAAAAATACCTTTTTGACCTTGATAAGGTCATTGAAGGTCAAATCTCAAGTCAGATTTGAACTTCTGAGAACTTGAAGATGATTTTGAAAAATAAATTGGTCAATTTGAAGCAAGTTGAAAAAAGACCTTTTTGACCTTTTTTAACCTTGAAAATGTCATTGAAGGTTAAATCTCAAATCTAAAGTCAGATTTAAACTTCTGATAACTTGTAGATGATTTTGAAAAAAAATTCAGGTCAATTAGAAGTTAAAAAAAGACCTTTTGACCTTTTTTAACCTTGAAAAGGTCAAATCTTAAATCTAAAGTCAGATTTGAACTTTTGAAAACTTGTAGACGATTTTGAAAAAAATTGAAGGTCTAAACAGTATTTGTTAAGTCATTGGAAGTTGTAAGAATTTGTTACAGACGCCAACTGCCACCCACCAATCGCCAACTACCAACCACCGATTGTCGCCACAAAAAACGGAGACCTTAACAATATGTCACCACTTTTTGGTGGTGACATAATGAGTTGACCAGATAAACATTTTTATTTAAGGATTTTGATTTCCAAAGCTTTCTTATTCATATTGTGATTTTGAACCATTTTATATGTATCACTAGTTCACACACAATTGTATGTTTTTACTCATCTCATTTCGGCTAGATTTTCACTCAAAATATGTGTGCTATTTCTTTACTTAAAACTATGTGTATCACTAGCAGAACCATCGATATGTGTGCTTCAACTTACCATTATGTGTGCTATTTGAGCAGTTGGAGTTGGAGGCAGGGCTGCTGTGTATGTGTGCTGGATTATGTGTGCTACCCTGGGACTTGTGATCTGCTGTACAACTTGTACAGCTTGTGTTTGGAATGCCTACAGTCAAAAATGATTTACACATGAATTTACATTTTTTTGATTTGATTTTTTTGATGATTTTTTTTTATTCCAGTTGTAATATCACTTAAAACATTGAAAGTCTTCTTGACACCAGACATTGAAATACTTATATTAAAAGATTTAAGTTACTTAATTTTTTATTTTTGAATATTGCATACTTAAAAGTAGACTTTCTGTACCTTTGTTTGTCATGCGTTGTATATCCCCAAGTTGGAGTCCCTTCTCTTCTTCCGCTGAAAGGGTGGGAATAGCTGAGGGAGGGGGGAGCTCATAGGCACAGAGGGACCCCCCTAGTAGTCCCTTGATCTTCTGGGTGTCCTGAGGGAAACTCTGCAATGAGAGAACATTAGAAGCTTTACATCCCCAAAATGCAATCTGATTTTTGACGCCGTTTCGGTGCCAAATTTTGGTGCCGAAAGATTTTGGTGCCGGAATGGTGCCGAAACAGTGCCGGAACAGCGCCGAATTTTTTCGATGTCGAATCGGCGCTGAATTATATTGGCTGTGTATTACACCTTTATAATGGCCTAGTCACATAGCTCGGCCGATGAGGTTACGATGAGCCAGCGATGCAATTTTCACCGAACTTGGCCGTACACCGGCCGGACACCGGCCGGACATCCGTGGCGTTTGTTGCTTAAAACCGCATCGGTGGTAGCTCGGTGAAATTTTAACTTCGGAGTTAAATTTCACCGGGCTCTCACCGAGCTCCCTCATCATGTCATCGCAGCCCCATCGTAACCACATCGGAAAACACGTCGGCCGGTGCACGGCCGAGTATCGGCCGGTGTCCCGTGCATCTGAGACAACCAGAGGACGAGGTTTTTTAACGGACAGCGGCCGAGCTCTGACCGAGCTCCGGCCGATGTGGGACAGAGCATCGGCCGGTCACTGTTCAAAGCCCGTTAACAACCCAGCCGGCGATCGCACGGTGTCCTGTTACCTGCTCAGGTACCGGCCGTATTCCTTCCGATGTCCAGCCGACCTCCGGCCGGTAGTTGCTGCCACATCGGCAGAAAAAAACTACCATTTTGAGACAGACTCCGTACGGTCACCGGCCGGTGTTCGGTTGGTCACCTGAAGATGTCCGGGCGGAGTCCGTTCACGTCACCGAGCTCTGCTTCCGATGAGGAGAGCTCGGTGGCACCAAAAAAATCCACCGAGCTCTACCGATGCCGGACATGGCCAGGCTATGTGACTAGGCCATTAGCCAACTAGAAAAACAGCAACTCCACGGAGTAGCAAATCCCACCGAACAAAACATGTTTTGATAAAAAAAATTGAACCAAATTCATCCACTGGTATTTGAATTATCAAAGATTATGTCTTTATGAAACATGGTTGCCATTTTGAAATTCAGCTGTCATCTTTAGATTTCTTCTTTAGCAGAGAATGTCCATCCAATGGTATCTGGGTTATCAAAGATTACTTTTTTAATGAAAAATGGCAGCCATTTTGAAATTCAGCTATCGCCTTTGAAATTTCTTCTGAAGCAGATCTCCTTTTAACCTAAACATCAGCATATAAAATTGGAACCAAATCCATCCACTAGTATTTGAGTTATCATTAATTACGTTTTTTACGAAAAATGGCTGCCATTTTGAAATTCAGTGGCCATCTTGAAAATTTATTTTTGAGCAGAACTTCTTTGTCTCTAGGCATCAGCATATAGAATTTGAACCAAATCCGTCAACTGGTATTTGAGTTATCAAAGGTTACATTCTTTTATGTAAAATGGCGGCCATTTTGAAATTTAGCTACCACCTTGAAAATCCCTTCTCGTAAAATTTGAACCAAATCCATTCAATGGTAACTGAGTTATCAAAGATAATGTTCTTTTATGAAAAATGGCCGCCATTTTGAAATTTAGCTGCCATCTAAAAAATCCTTTCTTGAGCAGAGCTCCTATGTCCCTAGGCATCAGCATCTAAAATTTAAACCTAATCCATTCAATGGTATTTGAGTTATCAAAGATAATGTTTTTTTATGAAAAATGGCCGCCATTTTGAAATTTAGCTGCCATCTTGACAATCCTTTCTCGAGCAGAGCTCCTATGTCCCTAGGCATCAGCATCTAAAATTTGAACCAAATCCATCTAATGGTCTTTGAGTTATCAAAGATAACGTTTTTTTTACGAAAAATGGCCGCCATTTTGAAATTTGGTGGCCATCTTGAAAATGTCTTCTTGATCAAGGCTCCTTTGTACCAAGGCAACAGCATATAAAATTTGAACCGAATCCATTCTCTAGTATTTGAGTTATTAAAGATATATATATTTTTTCCGAAAAATGGCCGCCATTTTGAATTAAGCGGCCATATTGAAAATTCCTTCTCGAGCAGAGGTCCTACACCCATTAAGGCATAAGCCTATAAAATTTGAATGAAATCCGTCAATCGGTATTTGAGTTATTGTCCGGACACAAAAACGGACGGACGGACGAACGGCTTTTCTATATCCCCCTCGAACTTCGTTCGGTGGGATAATAAGATGATGAGTAATTCAGTCTTGCTGCAGCACTGGTGCTATTTAAGTCAATGACCAAGTCAAATATGTTGACATCTTGGCATGCAACAACTATTTCATTTGACTCTGAATCTTAAATATAATATTCCATAAGATACACACAGTTTCAGATAGAACCCAGAAAAACCATCAACATTTTATCAAGATGTACTTAAATGCTTATATTATCTATATATTATGGTATATGCTATTTCAGCCTTGTAAATAGGTCTGACGTGGAGAGATTGGCGTTTAATTTTTATCAACACATTACGATGTTTTCTTACCTTCACCATAGCAGCAGAAACTTCACACAGAAGTAACTGATTACTTGGTATCTCTGACAAGACACTCAGTTGTTTCTTCAATTCTTTGTACTTCTCATCCATATTCAAACGTAACCCATATTTTACAGGGGTACTGCCATCCAATCGGGTAACTAAGAAATAAATCTCAAATTAAAAACCAATTTCAAACACTGAGCCTCTATATTTGAGGGCTATTAACATTCTAAATAAAACATTTGACTGATTTGTAAAAAATGTACATTATGTTTAATTATATCCTCCAATCAAAGGGCTTCAAAATCCAGAATATATTCTTTCTTTTTACCCCCTGCGATAAGCAGTTAGCATTTCCCCGATTAAGAACTCGCAATCTGATTGGCTGTCGCAACACTGTGACAGAAATCATGTATAAGTCACTGCGCATAATTAGATCACGTGATTCAGTTAAATCGGGCGCGTTCAAATTGGTTATAGCAGGGGGGAAGAAGAAGGTACTGATTCTGGATACCTGCTAAGGAGGATGGTGTAATTAAGGGCTTGCAGTTTTAAAGACAGCATAATTTTATTTACAATTAACACAGTATAATATATATCCTTCATTCCAATGTATGCGCAAAATGACACAATTAAAAATATGATCTACATATTACAGTTTGGTATTCAACCAATAAGAAAGCATACCAAAACCACAAAAATAGGTTTACATTTAAGAGTATTGTCTTTGAGAAATGACAAACTCTGATTGGTCAGTGACTTAATATGTTTATCAATAATTTGTAGAGTGTGAGATAAAGTTATACTTTTGAAAAGGGTATTTTACTTGGAAAGAGCAATTGGCTTGAAAAGGATAGTTGCCTTAAAAGGGTATTTGGCTTTAAAAGGGCACTTACTGACTATTTCCAGGTGCAAGCAGCTTTCCATTGGTAGAGGTAGGGAAAGGTATGTGAACGGATCAAAGCGTACACTGACATGGCTACACTCTCTGCACTTCACCTCAGACTTCAACTGGCCATGGAACAGATCTACGACAATGGACTGGTTGCGCAGTACATGGTTATCCCAAGCCTGAAAACACACAAAGAAATTTAATTTCACTCTCCAAAGTGAGAGTGCATGGAAAGCCTTTAATCAAAGGTCTTCGTACACATTGTTCACTGCTTTTGGAACTAAGTTCGACCTGGAATTGAGAGGTCAGTTTAAGGTCACTAAAGGTCAAATAAATAATAATCAGTTGGTTAATCTTCTTGAATATGTTCTGTCCATACATACTGAAACAGGACAAGCAGAGACCAGCAGATGTAAAACACCACAAAAAACAAATAGAAACAGTAGCATACCTCTCTGGCAACCAGTTCATCAGGTCTCCCCTCACTGTCTCTCAGCTCCACATATGGTTTTTCATGTACCCTGCAAAGCACACATACATTGTTGTCTATTAGAGCTGTATGATTGGATATAAAGGGAAAGTTACTCTCTGTTTTACACTGACTGGACAGGAGAGACAACTACTATGCCAAAATTTTACATATAAATATTTTTTTACCAAACTGTAAAAATTATATCTCATAGAAGTAAATCCTCTTCTATCTATTCTATTCTTTATTTTTATTTATTCTAGCTATTTTATCCTGGCTGCAAACTTGGAATTTAGTCGCAGTATCATGAGTTTCCCAACAAGGGAATGTATGACAGATTGAAAGCACACCTTTATTTGTGGACAGAATATCATTTAGAAAAGTAATAGCCGTTAGCTGTATATTAGAAAATCTGTGTCTTCTATATACAGCTTACTATTACTTTACCCTTGGCCTATGATTTAGACAAGGACGATTTATCTATTCAAACATCTACTTTAAAGGTTAACATGAGTTTTCCAAAACCTCACTGAGTGACCTTGTACATGTTCTTAATTTGTGCACAATTTAAATACTACATACCTATTCAAATCTTCATGTAAGCCATCTAGGAGGAACCCTAAGAGTTCTTGAGAGTCATGCTGCTGGAATCCATTGAAGCGTGGTGCATATTTTGCAATCGTCCACTGAAAATACACAGAATGAAATATTCAGTTGAAACATTTAGAAGTCATTATGACATCATGTTACCATGGCTACAGTTATGACTTGGGAATGACAGACTTAGAATCTCCGAGATATGTAAACTTGGCGATCATACAAGTACTGTGTTCTACTGCTTCATTGGGCAAGTAAAAAGATTCAATATACAAAAGACGTTTCCAATAAATCGTGCCATGTTTTTATCTAATCAGAGAAACTACAATATATTGGCTAGATTTATGATGTCATAGATTGTACTCAAAATTAGGAATTTGTTATATTATTTTTGCATGGACAGGGTTGCTACCTACAACCAATGACATCATAAATTTAGCCAATAAATTATAGTTTCTCTGATGGATCAAAAGATGGCACGATTTATTGGAAACACCAATGTAGCCAATTTAAATTCCTTAATATATTCCAATTAATAACTATAGTGGCACAGTAATGCCTGGGTCACATTTGCTCCGATCCATCGGCCAGGATTTTCACTACGGCGCCCGGGCGATTGAGAATTTTGTTCAAAACTGAATATAATATTGAACAAAACACCAATGGGTGGTCACATTTGCTCCGATCCATCGGCCAGCGCCCCCCCGATTGAGTGTTTTGTTCAATATTGTGTTTAATTTTGAACAAAATTCTCAATCGCCCAGGCGCCGTAGTGAAAATCAGAGCAAATGTAACCAAGGGTTTGATGCTCCTAGAGTTGTGGTATTCTCACAGTGTGAGTCTTGAATAAATGTGTCAACTCCAGTCTCCGTGATCACAGCTCTGTGACCTGCACCACGCCGTTACTAGGTATAGCAGTGGCATAGCCAGGATTCGGTGACCAGGGGTTCTATGTTTTATGTTATCTACAAATCTCCCCCTTCAGTGGTAGTCCATGGTATGAAATTTCTAGGACGTCTAATTAAGGAGTTGGTGACATGATATATGCGCAGTGATATTTAACCTTATATTTAGATACCTACATATGTCCCACGTTTTATTTTTGTATAGCCTTGATAAATACGTATATACAGTGGTAATAATACTTATAACCAGACTGGGGAAACAAGTTCAATTTCAGACTCCAGATGACAGATCTTCTGGGGTTTCTAGACAGACAGATGGATGGACAGATGGAAAGACAGACTGGACTGGACTTGGACTTGGACCTTGAGTGGACTCCGAGCTGGACTTGGACTTAGAGCTGGCCTGGTCTAGACTTGGACCTGGATTGGACTTGGGCCTGGACTGGACTTTACTTGGACCTGCACTGGACTTGGACCGGGACTGGACTTGGACCGGGACTCGACTTGGACCTAGACCTGGACTGGGACCTGGATTTGGGCCTAGACATTGGACTGGACTTGGACCTGGATTGGACTGGCTTTGGACCTTGACTGGACTTGGACCTTGACTGGATTCAGACATGGAATTTGGCCTGGACTGGACTAAGACTGGCCTTGACTGGATTGAACCTGGGTTGGTCTTGGACTGGATTTAGAAGTGGACTGGGCTTGGAACCGGACTGGACATGGACCTGAACCTGGACTTTGACTGGACGCGGACCTGATCTGGACTTAGACCTGGACCTTGACTTGGACCTGAAAATGGACTGCACTGGTATTTTTGTTTCAATATTTCTTCACTACTCTTGACTTTCTAGAAGGCTATCATCAGAACGATTTTTCTCGAAATTTGAAAACGCCATAACTTCACAACCGGAATTCAAATCGAAATTTGGTTTGCAGATTTGGATTACTGAGAAAATTCTACCCTTAATTCATAACTCATACGTTAAATTTGGAGAATTTTTATTCTGACCTACTTTTCGGACACCACATCTCAAAAGTGGGTTTATATCAAAAGTGGTTATATCTCAAAATACTTTCTGACGGAAAAAGGCTAACACTATTAGCACACTCTTTGACCTAGGGATTTTGGTGTCGTAATTTTAAAGCTAAGTGGCTTTTGAGGTCCCCTGCTTTTAAAGGCTTTCATTATATTAAGCTGTACTCAGTCTATATCTCGTATTTTACACTCAAAAAATCTTTTTTTCCAATTGACTTTACATGGGGCACCAAATTTAGCAATTTTTGAGCTTTCAAAACGCCCTAACATCCGAACCTGAAGACGAATCGAAATTTGGTTTGCAGATTCGGATTTCTGAGAAAATTCTCTCATTCATTCATAACTCATACGTTAAATTTGGAGAACTTATTATTTTGACCTACTTTTCCGACACTTTATCTCAAAAGTGGGTCAAAATACTTTCTGACGGCAAAAGGCTAACACTATTAGCACACTCTTAACTACATGTATACACAATTTCGAAGGATATAATTAAAGTGTAGTGTCAGAATCGCAAATATAAGGAAAAACATTGAATTTGACCTAGATTTTGGCCTAGGCATTTTGGTGTCCAAATTTTTATGAAAAAAAGCTTTTGAGGTCCCCTTCTTTTATAGGCTTCCATTCTGTTTAGCTGTTCTTAGTCTATATCTCGTAATTTTACACTTCAAAAAATTATTTGGTCCCATTTAACACGGGGAACCAAATTTAGAAGAAGAAGAAGAAAGAAAGAACAATAGACTCCAGATAAAAATCTGGAGTCTAATGATCGTGCAGGCTTCATTTAATTAAAGTAAGTCAACAAAATGACGAATGGTTTCGTTAGAAACCAGGATACTTGTTTTGACGAACGAGACAACAAAATCAACACAGATGTCTAGTTTTTTAAAAACCTTTTAGAAGCCTACTATGAATAAACAGAGGAACATATTTACATGTTCTCTTGCCAAAACGAAAGTCATGAATAGTGGCAACAATGCCATTGTATAAACTTGAGAAATATTTGCTAAGTGGATGTTCTTTATTCTTTAACCTACGTCAGGTCTAAATGCTTTCTTCTTCCCTCCTCAAAATGTAAATATGATGTAGTAGTGAACCCTGAATCATATTCAGAACGACGCCATAAATTTTGTAACAATAAAAAAGCGGAAAATTCTACTTTTCATTGTGTCATGGATGGATGGGTGGGTGGATGGGTTGATGGGTGGGTGTTTGGATGGATGGATGGATTGATGGATACTATTAAACAATACCAATACAATATGTCAAGGGTAACCTAAAACTAAAATAATATCAACAGAGGTCTGGCTTAAAATCTGTAGAGAAGACTTCTTAAGCGAGGTTTTAGGATCCAAAATCCTAATTTGGCCGACAATAAAAACGCAGATACAATTTTTGCCGATTTTTTACAAAATGATCTCATAAAACTACTGTTATAACAGTGACGTGAGTTATTGCAATGCAGGCCATTCGTAATTACTCATAAAGTCACTACAATAAATTCATAAAAGGTGAATTTTCCTCGACAACAAGGCGGCCATTTCGAAAATAGGTGTGCTTTTGAACCAAGAGTCACAAGGGGCTTTCTTGTATTGGTAATTAAAAAGGTAATCTAAAATTAGGGCTGGAAAAAAAAATTGACATCATTTCCGATACCTTTTTTAAAACGAGATATTTGAGGAAGAAATCCGCATTCCTAATTCATTGAGACTTCAGAGTTCAATATTAAATCATTTGCTGAAAATTTAGACACAGCATTTTGTAACTGCTAAGCCATTACACCCTTGGAGAACCACAAACATGCTACTTAGACTAACTAGTTGTGCGAGCCTCACTTGGTTGTATGCTTTCAACTATGTAACATCTATGTACGTCAATTCATATACTTCTGTAAAAATGGCACATAATGTCAGGTTGACCGAGCCAAAGATTTAAATATTATATAAACAAAAATAAATAAAAGAAGTTCAATATGTCAAATTCTGAAACATGCGATTCCCACACTTCAAAACTGAGGTAAGATGATGATTTGAAAATATTCCAAATCAAAAGAATTTTATTTGGCATTTCATTTTATAATAGAGGAGTGTTCATAATGACCTCATGCACCTATAGTTAGTTACTGAATAGTGGATGTTTAATAGCAAATATTTTCGAAGAGTGATATTTATTTAATCATGGCACACATATAAAGGCCTTTTTTACTACACAAATACTCTCAGTTGGTACTCAAGAAATCCATTTCGCTCCGTAGACTCTAAAAGTAAACCTTTTTTAAATTGCAATGCCTTGCAACAAAGATTACATAGTGCTCAAAATACCTATTTGTTCTTTCTTTAATTGAAAATAAAAAGTAATCTGTACTTAAAGGCAGCATCAGATCTATGGGGTGACAAATTTCGAAGTAACATGAACAATTCACCTACCAATCTATTCCTTATGATCTAAAATACAATATCTCCCAAATGATTCACGATATCTTTTAAATTAGTGAAGTTATAATGGATCCAAAGTGCAAAAATTGGTGATTTTTTTTAATTCTCCCCAGTAATAAGAATGGTAACCATTCTTATAGAAAATAATACATTATTGTAAAATTCTTAGTTTTCCTGAAACTGTAGGGATTTTCAGAAAATAGACATGAAAAGGAATGAGATAAGCAAGAAATATTCTAAGATTGAAACAATGTTTTGTTATGCTGCTGGCTAGATCTGATATATCTTTAATAACTTTGAAAACATTCCATTCCCTATAATCAATGTTAGCCGTTTTTTTTTATTTATAATAATGACGAGAATTGTTTTGAGAAATGAAAACATTTTAGAAGAATTTGTGAATCATTATAGACTTTGTTTTGAGAAAAGAGCTTTTTTTATTTTATTAAAGAATGCTATCAAATCCTTTTTTGGACACACAATTTGAAACGTGTGCAAGACTGATCCAGAAATGTCTCAAATAATGGCAAAGACAGAAATCTCCATTTCAGAAAATAGCATTTTTACATTTTTGGACAATTTTATTCTCAAAAATATAAGAAATCGAAGTGATGGATAATAAATACTACACCCATTCGATCAAATGCTTGCGTTTATAAATGATACATACATGTATACTTTATATAATAACTCATTTCAAAATGTTT